CAGTAATCATCTTCCACAAATATCGTCCCGAAAATGCTCCCCCATGCGATTTCAAAATGGCGGCCGCGCTGTAACTCATGAATATGCATAAACAGTCTGTGACGTATGACCTCGTGTTTTTGGACGTGCGTGCGGCTGCGCCGTACGTACATGTACGTACATGTACATTACTTGTAGACAACAGCCCAGTACGTGCATGCACACGTACGTCCGCGCGGCGGTGTGCACGCACGTCCAAAAACACGAGGTCATACGTCACAGACTGTTTATGCATATTCATGAGTTACAGCGCGGCCGCCATTTTGAAATCGCATGGGGGAGCATTTTCGGGACGATATTTGTGGAAGATGATTACTGAAAGTCGTCTTTTGGCCAGATGGATGAAAATATTGAGACCAAAGAACGTTTTTTCGAAAAGGTATGAGTTGCTCTACGACTAAGAACCTTAACTGTGGAAATTTTTGTCCTGGATGAAAAGATAATCTCGATCAAAAGATGTAGCAAAATCGCTACATCGGCGGCCAAAAAAATTCAGTCTTTTTGGAAGCATTCAGCGTCTGGCCGTACTACAGAGCTTGCGATAGTACTGTACGGCCAGACGCAGTCGGGCTAACCGCGGCCACACTAGTAGGGCTATCCTAAAAGTAAGGATTACCACTTCAACTGCTCTCAGCGGTCAACCGGAATCAATCTTAACTTTTGTAGACCGGCCCTGCTGACTTCGTAGAATTTTCCCGCCAGATGGTCAGGTGTAGCTAGCTGTACGGGAATTCCCCCAAAATGGAAATCAGAACAGCGCCCTCTCTTGTTTTCATTTTCCTCATATTAAACAGCTGTAGCTCGGCAATTTCGAAGTGAGAGCAACATGGAATTGGCTCATGATCTTTATATCCCAGTATAATTTTGTAGATGCACTATCTTTTACATGCAATGTCAAGAAAGAAATTAGATTTTTATTTGGGCGTTTCCAAGTTTTCTTTTTCTTGGGCAAAAATATGTGTAACTGACGGTGAAAACTGACACAATGGGGACTACTCAAACTAAACTAAATTCAGGATCTTTGAAAGGAAAAGTCGCGAGGAAATTGAATTAATAGAGACAAGGGACACAATTCTAGATTTCAATATAAAAGGAACCAAAAATAATTTATTTACAAAAACCTTGAAACCAAAAATCAGAAACTAAAACCAAAACCAATGATAAAAGCCAAGTTAAAAACAGTGTGAATTTAACTGGACTTAAGAGTAAAACAAGGCTGGCAAAAATCTGCAAATGGGAAAATACAAAAAGAGAAAATATACAAGAAAATGAAGTAATGAATATTCATTAAGCAATAAACAATTCTGTCATACAAAGGGAGTTGGAGACACTAACTCCAGGATTGGCAGGTAATAAAACAAGTCCAGTGGCACTGTATGAAAGGCCACGTGAGTCAGGATAGGAAGAAAGAAATTCCAATGAAAAGCCATAAGCACATGGTCAAGAATTTAAGAAAATCTCTGTATCTAATACTAAGAAAATGTACAAGAAAAAAACATGAACATCTAGAATCCAAATGAACTTTCAACCTTACTGAATAGAATAAACAAGGTTGAATTAAACTGGACAAGTTAAAAACTCAAAAGAGACTTCCAATAAAAACCTTTAATTTCCTCGTTAAAAGTACTAGATATTGATCACAAAAGAAGCAAAAAGTTATGTTTTCAGTAAAATAAGGTAAAAAGGACAAGGTCTAAACTTCAAAACTGAAACTTAAGTGCTCAAGATCTAAACTGACCAAAGTCAACTTTTACTCTCTGAACTAAACAGACTTTCAATGGTCTAAAACTGGATTTATTTACTGAAAACAATTATACAGAATAAATGAAAAGAGGAACGTTACAGACACACTCTCGCAAAATGTGGTCCGCCGGCAGCTTTCTATACAAAAACCTCGTTGGCTTGGGGTTTTGTACGAAAGCCCTGTAGTGCCATCAAGTATATATTTTGTCCAAGTTCGTTTTTATGAGTTATATATTTCGCCAAGTTCGTTTTTATGAGTTATATTTTTCGCCAAGTTCGTTTTTATGAGTTATATATTTCGCCAAATTCGTTTTTATGAGTTATATATTTCGCCAAGTTCGTTTTTATGAGTTATATATTTCGCCAAGTTCGTTTTTATGAGTTATATATTTCGCCAAGTTCGTTTTTATGAGTTATATATTTCCCTAAGTTCGTTTTTATGAGATACATTTTGACGAAGTTCGTTTTTATGAGTTATATATTTCGCCAAGTTCGTTTTTATGAGATACATTTTGGCCAAGTTCGTTTTTATGAGTTATATATTTCGCCAAGTTCGTTTTTATGAGTTATATATTTCGGCCAAGTTCGTTTTTATGAGTTATATATTTCGCCAAGTTCGTTTTTATGAGTTATATATATATATATAACTCATAAAAACGAACTTGGCCAAAATGTATCTCGTAAAAACGAACTTGGCGAAATATATAACTCATAAAAACGAACTTGGCGAAATATATAACTCATAAAAACGAACTTGGCCAAAATGTATCTCGTAAAAACGAACTTGGCGAAATATATAACTCATAAAAACGAACTTGGCGAAATATATAACTCATAAAAACGAACTTGGCGAAATATATAACTCATAAAAACGAACTTGGCGAAATATATAACTCATAAAAACGAACTTGGCGAAATATATAACTCATAAAAACGAACTTGGCCAAAATGTATCTCATAAAAACGAACTTGGCGAAATATATAACTCATAAAAACGAACTTGGCGAAATATATAACTCATAAAAACGAACTTTGCGAAATATATAACTCATAAAAACGAACTTGGACAAAATATATACTTGATGGCACTACAGGGCTTTCGTAGTTTTGCACGTAAACCTTATCAGTCAGCCCGATCACGCTCAATTGACTTCGGCCAAACCGCAGTCCCATCATAAGAAATAAGTTAACAATGTTAACCGGACCATTTTTTCCAAGAGTGTGTCTCTAATGGTTGACGGGCTTTTAAAAAGAACTTTTGCAAACGGGAAAGACACTTTGGAAACATTCAATCAGTTTGAGTATGCTTCATGAATTTCTGAATAAACGAGCACATTTTTAACAGTATTTATTTACTATTATTTTGCGGTGTTGTGGGGGTGGGGGGGGGGGGGGGGGGGGTGGGGGTGGGGTGGGGGGTGGGGGGTGGGGGGATGGCTGTGGGGGGGGTGTTGGCTAGACAGAAGAAATATCTGAATGGCGCAATAAGACCAACAGCGGGCGCAATAATTTTGATTACGGTTTCAAAATTTCTACGCGTCCGAGTCGTTAATTTGCATGAAAAGTGCCCCCCCCCACAATTTTTTTGTAAAAAACGAGACCGTCTAGTTTAAAAATCGATGGAATCGTGCGAATATAGCCGAGGATTATCTCCCTGGCTTTTGGGCTATTATCTAAGAGCAGATTTGATAAAATTAGGGTCCAAAAATGGGACCTATTTGCACGAGAAAATGTAGGCATGCCACTGGTAACTTTGGCAGTTTGCAGGCTCAGCATTACCGGCAGGCTTCAAGCATTACAGGCACACTCTCGCAAAATGTGGTCCGGCAGCTTTCTATACAAAAACCTCGTTGGCTTGGGGTTTTGTACGTAAACCTTATCAGCTGCCGATCACGCTCAATTGACTTCGGCCAAACCGCAGTCCCATCATAAGAAATGAGTTAACAATGTTAACCGGACCATTTTTTCCCGAGAGTGTGTCTCTAATGAAACTATTATGCAAAAGAGACCAACCAATGACTCCAACAACAGACTTGACCCAAGCACTGAGGACAGGCACTCCCGCAGTTAGAAGGAAATACAGTATGCATGTATTTTGTCTCTGCTTGTCTGCTGAACTGAACTGAACTGAACTGAAGTGGGGCTTGTGGCAGCTAAAATAGGGGGAACATAGGCTAAAGTAAACAAACAGGGGGTCAAAGTACCAACAAAAGGGGGGAATGTTAAGTAAAACTTAAATGATTTTCTTTTCTAAGGTGAGCTACTCCTATTTAATACACTATATCCACATAAAAAAAATTGCAACTAAAACTTGGCCCTGCCACATTTGCATGCATCTGTTGTCCTTCGTGCATGCATTGCACTGGTATTTTATAAGTCTGTCACTAGCCAACATGGCCCATCAGACCGGCATTTATGTCTGGTTTCCTTGGCATGAAACGACTGAGAAATTTCTATTCCTCCTGGATGGAATGCCGGTCCATCACGGGTAAGTCAGAGAGCATTTGCAACTAAAACTTGGCCAGTCAAGTCAATGATATTAACCAGTTCACGCCAGGTTTTATTTTGTCATTGACCGAACCCAGGCATAGGATTGTTTTTCACGAACTTTGACCATCCCCCCTAACTACCCCCCCCCCCCCCCCACCTGACCACCCCCCCCCCCCCCCCCCCCCCCCCCCCACCACGACTGATCAGTCTTAATGGTTTACATAGTGGGGAAAAAGAAAAAAAAATGTTGAATACTGTAATCACTCATTTTTGCAAATCTTTATTCGTTGGTTCAGGAATTGAAGTTTTTTATACATTGACAGCAAGGCCTCATGATGAGGCCCTCATCCACTCCCACCCCCCAATAAAAACGTTTAAAAAGTTTGAAGGACTTCCACTTGCCAAGCAATCCCCCTTTTGAAAATGGTAGATCCTTCACTTGCGCCGACAGATGGGTGGCACATCTGAATTTTAATTAAAATAAAATGGAATCGTATTCAGCGAAAAATAACATATTATTCACATATAGACTGGCAATGTCACTAGTACACTTCTATGCGCCCTGAGGGACTGCGAGTGACCAGAAGGCCGAGGGAAATAGGACATTCTTCTGGTCACTCATCACAGGCCTGAGGGGGGTATGGACGTGCACTAGGGACCGAATTATGCCAGTCAATATGTGTTTTATAACTCACCTCTGTCCATAATATAAAATAAGAAAAGACACCTTTCAAAGTTTCAGGGTTTTATTATTGAACTTTTAATTCCACAATTAACTCATAAGCAATTCAACTATACGCAATTCAACAATTAAAGGAACGCTTTTAGTTTCCCGAGATTAAATTTTTGAGTTTGAGTTTTGTCAGAGGGCGCTGTTACCAGTCAAAAATGGTTGAGTATAGTGCCCGATCAGAGTAATATGCACCACTTAGGATGAGGGTTGATATATATTGAAAGTTACAAGTTCTTATCATAAACCGTTTAGGAGAAAACCCGCAGAAACATGCGGTACGGAAAAAAAGAAAAGAAAGACAGGTAGAAAGAAAGATTGATCGTAACAAATCCAAAGAGTGGTCGGGTTGTGCCCGACCACTCAACAAGAAACATTCACAAAATTTTAAAACTTAACAAAAGCCAGGGGCATATGCCTGGGCTTAAAAAAGTTTCCCTGTGGCCCGAAGCCTATTCTAATACCTCTCGCTACACAAATACATGAATTTTTTTATATAAATCTATAAAAATCTATAAAAATTGATTAACAATAAATCCATAATATTCAAAATGACAGGTTTTTTTTAAGAATCAAAATGTTCTATCTGTGCAAGGTTTTCTAGAATTTCACACAGACGAACTTTTGAAATTCCTATTTTTCTAGAGCTATAAAAGTTATTCACCTTTGCAAGCGATGCTGCCTTGAAAAAAAGGCCCCACATTAAGTTTTGGAATAGTTGCTTTACAAATTTACAATAATTTTGCAGCCCAACAATAATTCACCGCGTAAGCTTCCTACATTTTCTGCAAAAAGATATGCATTAATATCCATCTGAGCAATTCCATGGTTACTCAAGTTACATTGTTGATGTACTTTTGAGTTTCCTTCCTTACTGAAAAGGTTTAATAACTGTTATCCCCATGGTAGATAGAGTAGACCTAGACCTATCTAAGCACCAAAGATGACATCCAGAAAAATGTGTTATGTATGATGAACAAGACGCACAATATCGGTTACTCACGTTACGAAAATGTAACGTGAGTAACCGTGGAATTGCCCAGCTGTAGAATTCAATCTATGCAGAAGGTTGAAGTATGTAGCCGGAATAAGTACATGTACTGAGCTTGCATTTGTATTGCGGATGACTACCCTAGGCACTGATGGCTGGTTGATCTGCTGTCTGCTGTGAATTGGAAGCATCAGTTGGCGATGGTGGATCAATGCCGACGGATTGATTGCCTTGTGAAACCTCCGAGTAGGTAGGCGGCTTATCCTCCTCTGCTGGTGCTGAAGGGTCAACATTTTTTGTTTCTATGTTAAAAAATATCAAAAGATCATTAAGGCTAGTTGATGATTCAATACATTTCCTAATACATGTACATAAAGGTACATGTAAGGCCACAAAAAGTCCTGGTTTCTGGTCTGCAAGCACGTCGCCGTAGCCATGCGTGTCAGAAAAGCTTTTTCCAATGTAAGATGATGTCTCAAAACTGCCAAACTCACTGGTTTGATTGGAATCCTGCTGCTGCACAATTTTAATGTGATTTTAGATGGGGTTACGATCGAGTTATAAGCTTTATGTGGCCTCTTGGGGCTCTCATATATCTTGTACTAAATTTAGTCGGGCATCAGTTGCAGACGGTGTTGTAATTTGTAATTGCGCGTCTGGAAGCCAGACTGAGGGAGAGATGATCGTGTATCTGGAACCTGTGACCGCTTTAATTTTATGTAAGGGAGCCGACTAATGACCAACCTGGCAGCTCATGCACAATGTCGATGTTGCTGTAGTGTATGGTCCGACGTTACTGTTTACTCTGATTTTTGTCTTGATCTTTGGTCTTAACTATCCAAATTTCCCAAAGACTGTTCGCATCAGTCAAGATCATAAGTTGAGATCTCAAGCCTTATGGCCTTACTGAGGTCATTTCAAGCTCCACCCTGAAGGATTTTTTTTAAAAGAGTTTTAAGGGGATCAAAACGTCAACAACAACATCAGGGGATGAAAGCGTCTGCACCATCAGCCGACTTTTTAAGAAAAAAAAAGTAGGAGGGAAAAAAAGCCTCGCCACACCAGAGTCTAATAGAAAGAGGTTCTAGGGATGATGCCAGGTCCAGTCCTACCAAATAATAGCCCTCTGCTGGGTTATATCATTCAGTGCATTCGATTACTTCCCCCGTGCTTACTCATGCAAGCGCGACAGTGTTTGATTTACCTCTCACGTGACTACTCGCGCTTACTCGAGCCTGGCCCAAGTGACCGACTCACCGACCCGGTTACTTGGGTAAGTATCCCATAAGGCCATGCAAGTCCGGCGGGAGGAAAAAAAAAGTGGAGAAAAGAGGCGAGAAGTCATATTGGTGTAAATTTAATGGAGCAGGGGGGCAAAATGTCCCTACTCCCCCTTTAAAACTGATAAATTGAGAATATGTTGCGAAAAACAGGAATTTTTTAAAATATATGTTTTGCCATCCTATAGAAAAAAATCCTTGCGACGCCCATGTTTCCAGCTCTTGCACGAAACTTTACCCGAAACTGTTAGTTAATTTAGCCCCACCGCGCATGTCTGTCATTACGCGAGGGGTCAGGCGCGAGTAAGCTGGCGGAAGTAATCGAACGCACTCATTAAAGGACAAGTAGCAGACCACAGCACCAGCCCAGATATGACTGCTTCAATTGTGTATATTATTTCACTGCTAGTATCAGTGCATTTTACCTGTTGCAGTTAGAAATGTTGCGTCCTCATTCCCAGGCGCTGTCCTGACAGATGCCGGCATTTCTGTTTCTGAGTAATAATAACATGGCTTATTATGACGCTCCTACAGCAGCAATTATAATCATAAAGAGTGATTTCCTGTTGAGGATCTTCTACAACACTGATGTAAGCAGTGTTTTGCAGTGCTTACTGCTTGCAGTCTCTGAAATAAAGGGAGGCCCAGGTAGCCCCAAAATTGGTGCTGTCCATTCTTTCTTGTTAAAAGAAGTGAGGCTTTGGAATCACTGATCTCTATGTCTTTATATAGAGATCAGTGGTTGGAATATTCGGATCTATTTCCTTTGGGTGGCATGAAATGTGTGTGATACAGATTTATCCGTGAGGGCGGATATCTTATCATAATCTGTGGGGTGCATATTCGTGCGGAGACTATCCTTGCTACTCTTTAATTCTGATCGGTTCGGTATAGGCAACATCGGGTGGAGGCAATTTGTGATCGGAGTAGGGCTTTATTGGCAGTATGTATGATTTGAGCAGAATTGTTTCCTTTGATAGGGTCTCGTAGGCGGAGAAGCTTGGGACTACGTTTGCATGTCTACATCTCTTCAGTAATGGCAGGTCATTTATCAGTTTGCAACTGGTTCGAATCCATGTCGCCGCTGATCATTTGCATAGACTATTTTTCTTCTCTAAATTTATCGCTGAGATAATTTTTATTTAAGGGGAAAAAGAGAACGAGAACCTAAGTGTATTGCAATGATTCCAAGGAAAAGCTGAATTATGCACGACTTGGCCCCATCCCTCCTAGGAAAAAAAATTGCAGGGGGGGGGGGGGGGGGGTGGTCCCAAAAACCCTGGTCCATTTACAAGGAGCCGGTATTATTGAGGGCGTGTGGGACGTACCCTTCAAGCCAAAGTGGCAGACCGTCCACGCATGAACGCACATAGGCCTACTTGCACACTCCATGCCATCAATGCCGTACTAGTCATACCAGTGCTGCTGGTCTCTGTGGTCAGTGAGTGCAAGATATAAAACCACAGGATTCATTGTTATAAAATGGTGATTTAGGAGCCAGGAATGCCAACCATGAGCGGGTTTTTAGCAAAAGGTCACCCGCTTTCACAACACACAGTACTTACAATGGAACAATGCCCCCACACTGTTGGCTTGGATGTCATGACCTCTGTCCTGTTTATAATTCAGGTCATGACATCCGGGGTCTTGTGTTCTATTGGTTAAGCTTTGTATACTGGTGATGAATGCGTGATGGAACAGGATATGGCATTTCATTAAAGTTATTTCAAATGTTGATCTTTAATGTTCAGTGTTTTGCTGTTCCATGAGTAATGTATGTTTGCTTAAAACAGTATTTTGAACAGCTTTTCAAACTCGCCCCTTACTAAATGAATTTGGTCATTTCATTCAAATGCATCAAAACAATAAAATGGAAGCATGTAGTCACTCTTGAAATATTATTACCTATCTCAGCATAGACCTGCGGAACAGTCACTTGTTCTGGAGGGCACAAACAGCCTGTAAAGAAACATACCCACACAGAATGAAATGATTACTTACTTGTACTAGATTCAGACTGAAGGGGAGGGGTGGGGGGTGGGGGGTGGGGGGTGGGGGGGGGGGGTGGGGGGGGTGGGGTGGGGGGTGGGGGTGGGGGGGGGGGGGTGGGGAAAGGGGGGGGCACTCATTTTCTGAAGGGCACACAATGGGTCTGGTCATAGTTTCAATCATCCCAACGTATAATATGTTTGCTTTCTCCAAATTCTGAGTGACGACTTTCCAGCAGACATGGCTGACAAATTCTTCAGAATTAATGCCTTAAAAAAAAACCAAAACATTTTAAGAATACAACAGGCTTAAAGGGAATGTACAACATTTGCTTTTGCTGCAATTTTCAGAAATAAATGGATTTGGAGGATTAGTATGCTATAGCAAATACTGTTACACTGACTTGTTTCACGTTTTGGGCTCGTAGATGCTGGAAAAACCAAGAAAACCAATCATATTCGTGTAGTCTGGTTCCCTGACCCCACTTAAGATAAAACGGAGCAATTTATAGACTTTGGGGAATTGTAAGATCAGAGAATCAGTCTAGCAGGCTTGTAGTCTTCACAGGTGTGTAATCAATTGCAAAGAAAATGCAGACAAACTATATGTGAAAAATTAGGAGCACTTTTTGAAAAAGCCAGTTTTCTCCAACGCTGGTCGGCCGACCAGCGTTGGAAAAATACAGTTTTTCTTGAAAATATCAGCACACCAGGAGCCACAAGTTTACAGGATGCTTCAGACTGTCGTTCCCTAACAATCCAGTGAGATATTTCGTGATAATTTGATCATTTTGTTTTTTGATGTTTGCAAATGTTGTATCTTCCCTTTAGAGGGAACATTTTAAGAACAGATCTATTCAACAATATTTTTGTTTCAGACTTAAAAACTGATTTCCAGTTCATAAGATTCCATTTAGAATCCAAATACTTACAGATAATGGTACGATTGGAGCAGTACAGGCATCTGCACTTGTTGCCTGCAATAAAATTATAATGCAGAAGAAACACGATTGTAAAAACTGTCAGCACAGTATGAAATTCAAAAGCCATGAAAAATGCAGTCAGTGAGATGTCCTATGGAGTACCGAAGTGAATTCGTCACGTGCACAAAATGTGTGTGAAAGACATTAGCGCGTGATTCAGCCTGTGAACCAACACGCGCGCATACTCCATTCGTTGCTACTACACTTTCTGGTTCTAAATGACGTCACACTTCGGTACTCCATAGCTCTTCAATCAAACTATATATAAATAAAATTAGGTTTTGCCCTTCACCGACGTTTTAAACACTGTATACTCAGTGTGTTACCTCCCGAGTGAAAGCTGGAAAAAATCACTCGGGTGGGACTCGAACCCACGACCTCCTGCTTTCTAGTGCAGATGAGTCCCACCCGAGTGATTTTTTCCAACTTTCACTCGGGAGGTAACACACTGAGTATACAGTGTTTAAAACGTCGATGAAGGGCAAAACCTAATTTGATTTATATCACCCTGGCGCAAAAAAAAAAAATTCCATCTTATAAAACTATATATAAGATGGAATTTCAGTCAGAGTAAAATGTAAATCCAGTATTGGGTTTCGCCCTTGCTTTACCAACGTTCTTTATAGCAGATTTCTTGGCCATATCTATTTACTGTTACTAAATCTCATTTGATTAAAGTGATACAGAATCATTTGCACTTATTCCAAAAGTAACCTGCTGAATTAATATCACAAAAATAACTTGGATTAAAGATCGTACTGTTACTAAACACCCTGTGAAATTATTGCTGTCATTTGGATGGAAAATGTGGGGGATTTTCAATGACCAGTCAATGGACAGATTTTTGGAAATACAATTTTACAAAGTACTTATGGACAAAATCTTGTGTCGTTTACGGCTGCCCTGAATATACCGATTATTCAAATATTCCAATAACTTTTTGCCAGCGCATTTCGAGCGATGATAGGGAGTCGGGAACTAGAACAGCTCTTATGAGCAGAAACCACTTCAAACTAGTTCCCGACTCACTATCATCGTTTGAAATAAGTTCGTGTTTACAAACGAGATCCAGACTACTCATTATCATAATCGATGCATCGCGCTCGTTAACGGAATCCTGCCTGGGATACCGGGACCATCGAATGAACGCTGGGCACAACCACATCACATATTGTTCAAACAGGAGTGGGAAATTTAATATGTTCATAGTTGCGAGGGAAGCTCTCGGAATTGAACGGGAAATTTCACTTTTCATCTGTATCGTAAGTAAACTTCAGTACCTCCATCTTAATCATCGATGTCTACTTGTACCTCAGGTAGCGTATCTAGTAATTTGGAGGCTGTTTTGAGGGTGAAATCTGATGTTTTTGTTGGGCAATGTCAGCTTTTTGGGTCAATTTGAGAATTGTGTCGTGTGATGGCAGCACTTCTTCTTGGACCCTACTATCGCCAGACCTTGTCTAAATGTGAAAAAGACGATAAGTTGGGTCCAAGTTACTCGGACTAGTATCCCCTCAAGGCCTCAAAGCCATCCAATATCATGTAGGCCTAAATACTTACAAATCCATATTGTTGTACCGACAGCAGCAATGGCAACGGCAACATAAATAGCAATCATGAAGTCAGCCATTCTCAGTGCATGTACCGTCCACACAGCAGAAGTCTAAAAGAAAAAGAAAAGGAATCACAGAGTAAACATAATTCAAAGCACATACTACCTTGGTATATTGATTTGTAGAATTCTGATGAGAGTGTCAAATGGGGTCAGGATGTGCTGGGGTGAAATGGAGAATTTGAGCAGCTCCTTCCCCACTGAAATACCCCATTGTATAGCACAGCGTCTCAACATGAGCTTTCCCCTTCTCCTAATCAAATCCTACTGTCTGGCTTCTTGTGCCGACCCCGTTTCCACTGAATGGCAGAGGATGTCAGCGTGTCCCTGGCGCTATAACCAGGCAGCTCCCAGGTTCTGTGATAAATTATCACGGTAACGCGGTATCGAGGAAGGGGTTATCTTTGAATTCCGGATTTCTGTGATAAATTATCACGGTAACGCGGAAGGCAAATCATGGGCAGTTCAAGCTTCCATGGTATAGGCCTAAAGGAAATAGGCCTTATAAGATTAGCAGGTCCTAGTACCACAATTAAAACATGCCAATTGTCATAGCCTACCCGTCAAGTTGGATTTTGCAATGTTAATATTGTTATGTAATTGTTCGAGTCACATTCAGAATTCAGTTTACTCGTGTACTTCTCTCAGCGGTCAAACGGAATGGCCGAACCTGATCGCTGACCACTTCAAGTTCAAACAGAATTTTCCCGCGAGCTGGCTAGCTGGGATATGGGGGCGGCCGGCCGGTGTCGTATGAAAATTGAAAATCGGACTCGTACCTTGTACCTTGTAGTTTGAACTCCTGAACGGTCCACCAGGGACTAAACTGGAAGTTGACAAGAGTGGACTATTAAATGTCTAGCGGGGGCTGTGATGTTTTTGTTGGTTTTGAATGGCCCTTCTCGGTCCTACTAAAGCGCGTCAACAAGCGTCAACAAGCGTCAACAAGTCTTAGTAATCGTTAAGTGCGCGTCAACAAATTTTGTATAGGCCTTTGAACAATAAAAACAGCTTTATATGGTAGAAAAAGCAATAATGAACATCTTCTGCATATCAATTAAAGTTAAAATTATTTTAAAACTTGGTTTTCTTAACGCGAAATGTACGACGAATTTGTCGATAAAAGTTGGCCGCCATCTTGTTTATGTGTAGCTAGCCGTACTACGCATGCGTGAAGTGTAAAGAGCCATACTACGCATGCGCGAAGTCTACAGCGCCATCCAAACAAGATGGCGGCCTACTTTTATCGACAAATTCTTCGTACATTTCGCGTTAAAAAAACCAAGTTTTAAAATAATTTTAACTTTAATTGATATGCAGAAGATGTTCATTATTGCTTTTTCTACCATATAAAGCTGTTTTTATTGTTCAAAGGCCTATACAAAATTTGTTGACGCGCACTTAACGACTACTAAAACTTGTTGACGCTTGTTGACGCTTGTTGACGCTTGTTGACGCGCTTTAGTAGGACCCGAGCTTCTGAAGGTTGCAGAGGAAGTTGTGTTGACAGTTTGATGTGGTAGGGTATTCCAAAGTAAAATGGCTTCAGGAAAAAAGACTAAATAAAGGGGGTAGATGTATGATGGTAGACTTCAAACTGCTTGTTGTGGGTTCTCCTGGATCTAATAGTTTTCTGTCTGAGGTATAAGTTGGCGTCAATGTCGATGTCCTGGTTTAGAATTCTGTGGAGTGTAACTAGTCGTTGCGTCTGTCGCCTGGTTTCAATGGGATCCCAATTGAGTAGGGTGGTCGGCACTTTTTGGGTTTTTTTTGTCCAAATATTACAAACTTGGTATCATTGGAAAGAGCTTTCAAAAAGAAAACTAATGGTACCAATTATAAGTTTATATCTTAAAGTATGGTGAAGTTATGGTCCATTAAAGGGGCATGTCCAACCCTAATTATTCTGCCGGCATGGTGCGGGGTGTAAAATGATAAAAACCAACTCCAAATCACCTCAAAATATTTGAGAAAGGTTTGGAAAACATTTTCAAGTTCATTTAGATGAGATCGTAAATTAGTATTCTTTGGTCCCCTTTATGGTAGTCCTTTAATAATAGCTGGTAATTAGTGGTATGTGTAAATTTCCTCGGAGCTGTCATATTTGAGGTTGAACCAGGATGGCAATCCAGGGACCGTAAATAGAAATGCATGGAAACCTTGCATTGACATTCACCCAACTGTGTGTTGAAAGTATTATACGGCCTCCCCCAAAAAAGGGTTTTTAACTTTTAGCAAAAGTATTAAAGTATGGAAGTATTTGATGACAGACAACATTTCTCCAATATGTAGGTTCCAGTGGGAACTAACTTTATTCGAAGTGGCTATCGTTACGGCACTCGTTGTTTAGCGCCCTCTACGATATTTTTTTGATACGCACGCAGGTATATAATTATTTGTTTCCACACGTTTTATCGAGCAGTGCGCCAGCTCAGCCGAGTGAGGGTAGGATTTTGTACCGCGAGGTTGCGGGTTCGAATCTCAGTTTTGCAATCGAATTTTTTCCCTTTTCTAACCTGAGGCTTTGGAGGATTTTTTTTTAAAGGGAAATAAAGTCCGAATTTCATAAAGTTCAAATTCACTTTTTTCCTTCTAATTTTATATTTTCTTGTCATGTTTTTTTATAAAAGTTGCCAGGTTGCAGTCTACCGTAACGATAGAAAATGGGAAATGCGTTACGGCTGCCGTAACAATAGCCACTGCGAACTTTATTTTGTCCCCTTTGTTTGGCCTTATGCAGAGATGGATATTCAAAAATAATTTTAAAACCCCATCAAATCTTGTTCTCAATTATACTCAGACCATGGTTAGATTCTGGACTAGACATATTCAGGAACTAGAAGTCTAGGGCAAAATAGCAAAAAACAAAATAAGCTAATTTTAATATGTTTAATACAAATTTAGTTCAAGGTTGAAAAATATTCAGAAACAGTTGAAATATTAGTATATTAATATTTTTAGCAGAATTGCATATTTTTATAATGTAAATTTCCCCAATAAAGCAATCCACCAAAATTTACCCCAGTAATCACAGCATTGTAATATTATGATTATTGCTTCATGCATGCATAAAGCATGGAGGAAGAAATGGTGACTGCTCTATGTTCCGACACCCCTATGTTCCGACAACCTAGATTGTGTTACTCCCGGTTAGGGTTAGGGTTAGGGTTAGGGTTATGGTTAGGAATAGGAATATGTGCAGTCAGAACATAGGGGTGTCGAAACATAGAGGTGTAACCGAAGAAATAGGCAGCCATTGTGACACCGCCGTGCGCCATATTTTAATCACCTTGCTGAAGGCACCCCGACAACAAAACCCCCCAGCGTCAAAAAGCGTCATGGGAAACATAAGAAAAAAACAAGTCACACAAACTCCTGAAATTCCACTCTTCCAGAAACTACCCCCAGACCCTTTTTATAGTCTTTCATGAACTCCTCATGTGAGATTTTTAACAATTTTGCGGCCAAAAAATCATGACAATCTGTACTCCTAGAACTATGAGGCTACTTGCACTGGAGATAGGAAGACACCATCAAACGAATGTCGTTCATCGTCCAATCACAAAATGGCAACAAGGCTACGACTATTGCGCAGTTAGCTTGGATACGACGACATGTATGAAAACTATCATGACTACATGGACTATAGACTAGCACGCGTCACGCCTCACGTGCGGCGGAGCATAGTCTTTTTACATGTCAGCATCCGGGGTGCGTCACATGCACATGTCCGGGTTCGGCCGGGTAACCAATAAAAATCGGACTCTTTTTTCCTTTTATTGGTAAACCCTATCACGTGACTGGTCCCTCTCCTAATTATCTAAGGCTGCATCCGAATCAGTTGTCTAGAGCTATGTCTAGGTCTGCGCCCATTGAAAATACGCGGGGACGCGCTGACAATAGACGTAGCCGTAGCTCTGGAAGCGCGTTTCGGACACGGCCTAAGCATCCGCATTTCATAAAACCCAATTTCATGCTACACCGGAATCACAACAGCGCCCTCTCTTGTTTTCATTTCTCCTCAACTACCCTCCGCTCCAGCTTCGGAAGTTCGTCAAGTAAGTTTTTCCGATTTTCTTGACTATTCCTCACATATCGATAATACATTTACAACTTTGGCTATCGTTTCTCACGTACAAACAATGTTATCACATTTTTAATCCACCACGCTCAGTTTCCCCACAATTCTAACCCTAAATCGTTGGCAGTCATGCCTCATGTCAATGCATATGTAGGATGGAACGCCGTATTATCGCGGTGTTGTGCCCATTCTTGAAAATCACGCATTCTCGAGAATGGGCATGCACATTCTCGAGAATGGGCGCGCATTCTTAAGAATGAGCGCCCATTCTTAAGAACGAGCACGCGTTCTTAAGAATGAGCGCTCATTCTTAAGATTGGGTGGGAATATCACGTGCACAATTTATGAATTTTGCCCAATCTTAACAAACATTGCACGACATAATTATGTTAAATGAATTGTATAGCGGTTAAAAGGGAAACAATTCATATAAAGAGGAAAGAAAATGTGCTATGCTTCTGTACTCGTATAACTACGATAATTTGAATCAAATTAAACCTGTAATTATTGCTTTTTTCTGCCCACTATGGGAAGTTTTGTAATAACGGAGGACTGGGAACTAGTCTGGGAAGTGCTTTGTTTAGGCTAGACAAGTTACAAGTCCCTGCATGTATCATATGCGTGCCACGAAAAAAAACGATGTCCAGAAGCTGCCAAAATTGCTCTTTTGACTAGATAGAATCCAGCTCTGCGACGTTATGGTGGGATGTGAACAATAAATTGGTGGCAATTTAAATGGGAAATAGCATTAGCACTATGAGATGTCGCAGTATTCATTCTCATTCTTCACATTCTTCATTCTTACGTCCCCCCCCCCCCCCCCGCTTTTATTATCCCAAAAATCAGAATTCTTTGCACTAGTATTATTATGTCTCTTATATTTTCCCGGTCCCCCCCATATTAATACGCCTTTACTTATCATATCCACTCTACTTTTCAGCGCCTTGCGTTGCAACAGTATAATTATTGAGAATCAGTGAACGAGGATTCAGCTAGACTTGCCAAGCGCAGCCGGTGCTCGGCATCGACAAGACCGTTATCTTGTCGCGCATTCTCGAGAATGTGCGCTCAATCTGGAAGAGTTATTTTTTGCCAAGATTGAGCAAGGATCCAGTTGCACATTCTCAAGAATGTGCACGCCCATTCTCGAGAATGCGTGATTTTCAAGAATGGGCACAACAGCGGTACTTATCACGTTTCTCGTTCGGAAGAGAGATTGCCCTCTAACCTTCCAGAATTGTCCTGTCTTATGTGTAGTATACATCTTCCTTTTTTAAATTAATATAAAAAAATCTGACGGGTGGTGTGGTTTATTCCGTGTACGATGCCTGTGAAAATAGACATGCGCGGCGTGTGCGAACGGAGGTGGACTCCCTATTATCGCGGTATGCGGGAAGTGGTTTTTAAAATGATCCCAACTTTTTTGTTCATAGATTATGTTTGACCAAAATACCCCCTGAATAAAGTCTGATATTTTCCCTGTAACGTTCAAGTTGATTAAATACAAAATGTCTGCAGGATGATTTCTTAAGGCCCTGCCCTTCCCCCGAAAGGAGAACACAAATCCCTGAGGCAAGTCTACTGATCGGCGATTGAGGGCGACATTCACTTTACACGGTGTGCCGTTTTATTTTCGCTAACGCGCGATGCTTATTTTGATCCCGTAAAAGTTGTTACGATTTCGCGCTGCAAATATCGTCGTTCGACTTCATTTTACATTTGCAGCTGAAGAATGGGAACAAGACAATGGAACTTTCATGGACAGAGCGCAATTAAAGATTTATGTTAAAATATAAACGGTACCTTTTAGCAGACACGGTGAGGGAAAATTTTGCAAGTTTTGGAAAACGTTAATATTTATTAAAATCGTTAAAAGTCCCGAAAGACACAACATTTTTTAATCGTCCTTTTTATACAACTCGGTAGAAAATCCTTGATGACTGGTGAACTGGATAAAAATCGCCACTTGAAGGAGCTTTGACACTGTAAAAAGAGAAATTTCCCATGCCGCGATAATAGGGATGCCGCGATAATAGGGAGTCCGACTATACATGTACATGTACTGTGCAATTACCTACTCTACTGTATTCACCAGAGTACGGACATGACGGATAACGTTAATTACGGGTGTCGAGCGCAAAGTGAGTCCCCCGCGCAAGTTTAAACTTGCGCGCGCAATCATTTCCTTGCTACAAATTGCGCACGCAAGTTTAAACTTGCGCACTGCATAGATTTTCCTGGCCACGCAAACAGAGCCGGAAACACCCGAGACACGATTCACTCTTAAGTTCAGGATCACAATTACTGCACGCAGACACAGTCCCAATCCCTTCCTGTGGAACTCGAGAACCACAGCTACGCCATTTGCCCGCCAGCATACTTTGAGATGGGATTACCATGATTACAGTACGCTGATGACATCACTTGGGCAAGTAACAATACCACCCGATAGCAACTGTGGAGAGGAAGGCACCTGAGGTACTAAAAGAGCGAAACCTCACAGTAAACACGTCTAAGACAGAGAAACACCTCATCAGTAGAAACGGAAGCAACACCAGTTGGAAGAAATGCAAATACTTGGGATCTTTTCTCGATACTGAGCAAGATATTACCAGGAGGAAAATACTTTCGATGGTATCTTTCAACAAATTCAGGGATGTCTTCAACAGTGATGCAATCTCAAACAACACGAAACTCCAAACATTCCGCGCCTACATAGCATCTGTAGTCCTATACAACAGCAAACTATGGACATTGACTAAGTCACTAGAAGAGAACATTGATGCATTTCACAGAAGACTCTTGTGTTCAATCCTTAATATAAAATGGCCCAAGAAGATCACCAATAAAGAACTGTACAGGAGAACCAACGAGATCCCTTGGAGTACTGCCATTACCCGAAGACGTCTTCGGTGGACAGGCCATCTCCTGAGACTACCCGAGGAAGCTCCTGCCAAGCAAGCACTTCTAGAGGCAATCCGCAAGAACAAGCTACCAAGAGGGGGACAACGAACCACGTAGCTGAAGAGAGTAAACAAGGACCTGACAACCACGGGGGTCAACATCAAGGATCGATGCACCTGGCACGTGGCATCAGACAGAGAACAGTGGAGAACACTTACAGAGTGCGCGATGTCAGATCAACTTGACGCAAGCACCTAGATGATGAAACAGAGCCGCTGAACTATTTTGCCCCTGGCTATACTCATGCAGATATGTAACATTATTTTTAAAGCAGATTTTTTTCTCCAATTGAATAGCATCACTGAGCTTCGGGAGACAATGCCTTAATGCCTTTTTTTGAAACATTTGATTAAATTCATTAATTAAATCATTTGCAAATTTATTTACTTTTTAAAATAATTACCATTTTATATGCATAGCGTTTTTAAGTTGTAAACATTTTTTAATATGAATTATTGAGCCTGCAATAAAAAATATTTGTTAATGTAATACATTTTATTAATTAATTAAATTAGTAATGCATTCATTATTTTTTTTCAAATGATGCATTTTTGAAGTGTACACAGCGCTCGAAATGTTATGCAAGTATTTCTAAAAACAATATGAATTATTGTACCGTACAGTTTATTGTAATTTTGTTAAATTAATTAGTATTTTTTTAAGAGTAAGTACTTTTTTAATTGTAGAATACATAAGCATTTTACAAATAATGTAAATGATAAGTATAATGTCAAAACTTGAACAATTGAAGGGATCATAATCATTCTTTTTACGTTAACAGCGGGTTACACCTAGGAAATTATGATTTATTTACATTCAAGAATATAAATAAAATGCTAATTAGGTTTACAAAGCAAAAAACTTGAAGCTGGTCTCCATTTTTGAACAACTTCAGTACACTTTCCAAGCAATCGCCGCTAGTGTGCTTAAGTTGATTGCTTGCCCGGTCCCCTCCCTGGCCCCGCCCCCACGTACCCTTAAACAACTTCTCTGATAAGCACTGCTAAATCTCAATGTTTCTTTTCATTGAAGCTAATTGAATTCCCCTTTTTATTTAGACCCAGTCTGGTAATTTTAAAATAGCCACATTAAATTACATGTAAATTACTGCCATTCAGAGATAGGCCAACTTTACTGCAAGTTCACTTGTGTTTTCTTATATTCAAAGTTATTAATGGAGTCAAAATCACAAGTCAAATCCCATGTTATACAGGATGAATGATAGGGATGCATTAGTCACTTGTCACTTGACTACTACATTTAGTTAAAACTAAATGGCATACTGAATTCCTACATTTGTGCGTTATATTCACCTGATATTTATAAGCTATTAAGCTTATATTTTAATTTTGGGATATGGTTACTGGAAGACTTAAATGAAACAATCATTGTTTTGACCTAATTCCCTATTTTTTTCTTTGACATGATTGAACATCAATAAAATAATGTGACTGTCCTGTTTATCAAGAAACTTTTTTGTTATCTAGGTTACTAACAAATACATGTACATGTATATGGAATATTATGATTTCATTCTGAATATTTTTTTTTTGGTGATTATGATCAGTGATTAGAGAAAACAAAACATTAAAACTTACAGGGAAAAAAACAGATTATCACAGATTCCTTGAAATTAAGGTGAAAAAACTTGCCTGAAACTAACAACTGAATACTGAACAAACTTTGCTGTCACTATTCAGTATTCATGCTATTCAAACACTGCCCCAATCGGGGCACAAAACTATTGAACATGTTGAACCCACATTGTAAAACACAGCAAAGTTTGAACGCATTTAGCTATCTAAAATAACTGAATTTAAAACAAGTTTTCAGAAACAAAATAATAAAATTTTGTGTCTGTATCTTGCAAGATCACTGCTTCTCACATAAATAGGCACAGTGCAACAATCTTCCCATCTTCCCAATTTATACATGAACCTTATCAGCATTCAGTCAGTACAATGTAGGTTTGTCATAATCTCCCCATTTCAAAAGCCCCAAAACAAAATATAGCAAATGAACAGCAATCATTCAATTTCATGGGCCTACAGGAGAAATGTCTCCATGATGCTTGCTTTTTGTATGTGTGATGGCATTTGCACAGGGCTTTAACAAAAAAATTAAATGAAAACAAATCTGTATAAAAAAAACCAATAAGTGGGGTATACCCATGGAGGGTACTCAGAGAATGTTTCTCAGCACTTCAATTTTTCCCTCTCAATTGATGTAAGCGCTGACTGTCAACATGGGCTCCTTACAAACTGTAGCTTAGCAACCAACGTACATGTACATGTACGTGTATGTACATGTCTTAACCTCCTGTTTTGCTAAGACATGTACCATCTTGCTTTTCTCTCAAACATTCAATTCTGCCTACCACTGGACTTTGTAGTCAACCTCTGGTTTGACGCTAAGTCTCTTGAGGATTTCATAGGAGACGGCCATGACTACACCAGCAGGTACAGAGGACAGGAGACGGGCTGAGAGTCCCTTCTTGAAGCCTGATATGCCTTCCTCTTGATGCAGTCTTCTGAATGCTCCCAAGATAGAGTCACCTCCTGTTACCTTAAAAGGATTCCAATAAATAACTTCACTCCGCATTTCAAAATTACATGCAGGTGTTTAATGTTGCTTTGGTTTGAAATACAGGGTCTTCAATTGTGCTCAGGTTTTATTGAAATTTGCTGACAAAATGGAGGATCAAAAACTGCCTTCTCCTTCACTTTTTGCAATGACTGGCAACTGGTGGCAATGGTGTTCAGTGTGGGTGCAGGTCAACTCGGTCCCAAACCAACTCGGTCCGAGTCAACTGGGTCCCTATGAAAAAAAAATGTATGTACATGTATGTATACAATAATTGAATAAATTGAAGTATCTTTCCCCTAAGGCCAAAAAAAAAAATAAGTCGGTCTCTGGTCAGCGCGCGCGTCTATTTTAAGCATGCGCGTGACAGCGCGTCGATCTTTTTTTTTTCCAAAATGTTCCGCGGTAGCACTAACAGCGCCCTCTATTTCCACACCTCCTCAATTTTTTTTACCAAAGAGCACCAAGGAATGGGAAACTGCACCAAGGCAAATGATCGAAAGCACCAAGGCAAATTATGGAGGCCACCAATGTACATGAGGACACCAAAAAAGCAAAATAGTACCCACCTTGTCTGTACAATCCAAGCTGAAGAAAAAAAAGAACAAGGGAAAAAAAAAAAAAAAAAACCTCGTGGCCGCGTCAATTCCGGAACTTTGGTCTGACCAGAGACCGAATATTTTTTTTTTTTGGCCTAACATGGCACAATAAAATTTTTCGCCCCTTGTGCCTTGCTAGAGCATTTTTTCCCTAAAATGTCACCGTTGATCTGAGACCGAGTTAACTTAGCACCGAGTTGATCTGGGACCAAGTTGACTTGGACTGAGTTGGTTTGGGACCGAGTTGACTCGAAACCGTCAGTGTCACGTCTTTCTTTGTCAACAGTGTGGGTTAGGGTTGGTACACTTGTTCACAGAAGCCAAGTTTTCTGACTGTGAGAACTGTGTTTTGAATACATGACCAATTATTCACAATATTGATACATATACATGTATTACTATTTTCTAGGAACTACTTACCTGTAATCGTGTTCTAACAATGTCCATTGGGTTTGTTAGGATCGTAGCTGAAGCGCTGGCCAAGGGTCCAGACATTGCCTGGATTGCCAGTGCTGGCACTGATACATGTAAAGAGGCATTCAATAATAACGCTAGCTGCTCTGTAAACAAAAACGAAACAAAACAAATATTTCAAAAACATTACCAAGAACAAAGGAAGGGTGTAATGGTTGTTCGTTTTCCCCCCCAAAAATAAAACTTTTTAGACATGCTTTTAAAGAAAACCTTTGCAAACAAGTAGGGAAAGAAAAACTCAATTTACATGTACACGTACATGTATATTGTTTGCAAGCATCTGCATGTATCTGGCTGGATTTGAAACAGGTTCACCAGGAGTAAAGGGTGCTTACCAGTGTCCTTTATAGTAAAATAAAGAGCTTACACATTCAATCCCATTTTGTTTCAGTTGCTCTTCAGCAAAAAAGATTGAATGCCTAACTTTCTGCTTAATGCAGAGCGCAGACGTCACACAACTTGGTCATTATGTTGCCTGTTGCATGCATTTCACACTATGGAGTAAATACTGAAAAATCTCTTCATCTATTTTAGCCTAAAATAAATTGTATCACCTTGTGTTACGCTTATAAGCGTAACACAAGGTGATACAATTTATTCTATCCTTTGGTCTTGCACTAGGCTAAAATAGATGAAGAGATTTTCAGTATTTACTCCATGTTTGGTTGATCCACAGTTTCCCACACAAGGTGATACCATGTTGCTTACTTCTGTCAACTATTCAGGAGGATTTGCAAGCTATTGCTTGGACAGATATCATCTCCTATCTAAGAAAGTAGACATTTGACATTTTTCACTGCCGTAATTAAATTGGAGGGAAAAATTTGCATGGTTGGGATATAACCGAAAGACCACCAAGACCAACATGTTGAAGGAGAAAACACCAATGTTGGGTCAAAAAGTTAAACAATTTTTTCCAATAAATCTGTAATAACTGTCAAAATGTTGCCCAAGATACAATGAAATTATTGCTCCCTTTTCAACCTACCTGCATAAAAATGATAGAAAGGCCACCACAGTGCATTCATCGGCATGAAAGTCATGATGGAGGCCGTGTAGCCTTTATAAAATCCAATTGGTCCGTCTTTGTGCCATATATTATGAATGATTCGCCGAGTGTCTTTGAAAGTCACTTTCCTCCGTCCAGCCTCTAAGTTCAGTGCAGAGCCCTGCATCATTATGTGCTGTGATACTATATCGATGGGTACCGTTATACTCATGTCAACCAGGGAGGCACAGGCCCCTCCCACAAATGATTTGGTCGTGTTGCTGACATGGTCACCAAAGGCCCTTCTGGTGACTTCATAGGTGGTGATATAGACCTGGCCGGATAAGGCAGTCAAGGTGTTGACGAAGAATCCTTTATAGAGCCCCCGTATCCCTTCGTACTTGGTGATCTTCTTGAAGGCGTCCCATGTGCCCGAGTACAGAGCATTCTGTGTCTGTACTTGGAGCCGTGTCTTGATCAAGATGGTTGGGTAGTTGATCACACGGATGAACATGCTCATCATGAAGCCATAAGTGTAAAACTTGCGCTTGTCCAAGTCGTCCCATTCTAGGATTCGTATCTGGCGTTCCTTGGGCGCCATTGGTCTCCCTTCATGGACCCCCCGTGGGTGGAACCTACTCTAGGTGATGACCGGACAAATACTTAGGACTAGTCTTCAGACTGGAACAGCACCACTCTGGAAAGGGAGTATTATAAAAAAGACAGATTGAAAAAAAAATATCCAAATTTAGCACATATGATGCACATTGACAAGATTTGGGAAGCAAGATTCAGGCAGTAGGCCTACCGGTAGAATATTGTGATTAAACTTCTGCACCTTCCATTCTGGACCCAATTTTATGGCTCTGCTTACTGTAAGCAAAAAATAAAAAATCCCTGCTTACCACTACCAGAAAATACTGTGCTTAGGCAAAAAAAACAAACATGTTAAGCGTCCCCTCCCGCTTCCTTTTTGGAGGTCCCCTCCTTTTTATCTGGCCTCTTTGCCTGTTGCATCTAGCCCATATAAAGCTGGTATAAAGCAGGATGCTGTAAACAGTTTTTTTGGCCTTACGGTAAGTGTATTGAGGGAATTAGGAGTTCTATACTGGGCCACCACTTACCTGCTGCCAAACACATCAATTTTCACCTCACCTTGTGATTTCATCCAAGATTAATCCAGGAAGCCTCGGCAATGCGAACATTTGTTAAGAAATATGTGTTTTAGAGAAAATTTTGGCTGCACACGTCGTGCAGAACTAAGTTGGAGGCAGCCGGTCGAACTGATTGAAGTGTCTGGAAGACAGCAGTACTGTACATTATACGCATGACATCGACAACCATGGCAATGCATGAGTCGACCAATGACAGTGCAATATGTCATTATGAATATTTAATTTCTCATGAATATTTAGTAAATTTCAATGAATACTTTAAATACATCCAAAGATTGATCATAGCAAAGCGATCATGCACAACCTAGCGGTAAAAGTCAGTGTTTTAAACAAGAGTCAGAGGTTTGAATCTCGATGAAGTAAGTGACCTATTAATAAGAATAAAGATAAAGAGAGGGTGAGATTAGAGAAGGGAAAGTGGAGGAAATAACCATAGAGGATGCATCTTTTTGGCGCTTGAAAAAAGTGGTGGCCCAGTACGGAAATCTTTCTCAGAATTTTTCTGCTTGTACAGTTAGCACAAAATCATTTTGTCAAAATGGTAGCGAGGAATTCTGTGGTCTACATGTATGTTACTACATGTAAATCAGTCATGTCAGTTGTTTGTTGTCCGTACTTTCTGTGTCAATCCACCATTTCTTGTTTCCTTTCAACCAGATGTTTGAAATAGGCTAAGTAAACAATCCAAAACATAACATTTTCGGGGATTTCAGGACCTAGACCTAGTGTCCCTCTAAGTTTAACCATTAACAGTGACCATGGAGGAAGTCTATTCCATGCAACAAAACACATGACACATTGACAGAAGTATCAAGTAACAAACAGAACATGATAATGATACCAATAATGATGTGATGTACTACCACCGGCCACCAATACTCCATCCCATCATGTAGCACTAGCAGTAGCACTGTAGCATAGCAGTAGCACGACCAGCACTTTCTAAAAGTGAAAAGTTTGAATGTGATGACTCCATAATCGAATTGATGGCACCATCGACTACACCTGTAGTGACTACCATTACTACCATCCCGGCACAATTGCAGAATACCCCACCACACAATCTATCCACCTGGTAGCCGGCTACGGAGTCACAGTTGATTGCCTTCAATAAACCTTCTCAGCGCTACTTGCACTTTATATAGAGATCAGTGGCTACTTGCATGTACATGTACTATGCGTCATGCTTCACTGCACTCCCATTCCGTATCCACGTAGCCGCCAACAGGGTACAATGTAGTTGGTTTGGACTTACAATTTTTTCAGCAACTCCAGTTCTTTTTGTGTTGCTTCGTTCTCAAGCATAGGCCCCTATTCAAGGGGACTCCAACACCGTATCCGCGTAGCCGGCAACAGGGTGGTTGGTTTGGACTTAGAATTTTTTTTCAGCAATTCCTTTTGTGTTGCTTCGTTCTCAAATAATGGACCCCCACTCCATATCTGCGTAGCTGGCAATGGACTTGAATTGTTTCTTTACCGTGATTCCAACCATGTAGCCAGAGATTTAATTTAGAGGTGTATTTCTGGTGGCGGGGTATTCTGCAATTAGTCGCCGAAACCATCTCTAGTGGTTAGTATTTAAAAAAATACTAATTAATTTAACAATTAATAAATTGTACGGTACAATAATTCATATTGTTTTTAGAAATCCTTGCATAACATTTCGAGCGTTGTGTACACTTCAAAAATGCATAATTTGAAAAAAAATTAATGAATGCATTACTAATTTAATTAATTAATTAAATGTATTACTTTAACAAATATTTTTTATTGCAGGCTCAATAATTCATATTAAAAAATGTTTACAATTTAAAAACGCTACGCATATAAAATGTTAATTATTTTAAAAAGTAAATAAATTTGCAAATGATTTAATTAATGAATTTAATCAAATGTTTCAAAATAAGGCATTAAGGCAGTGTCTCCCGAAGCTCAGTGATGATATTAAATCGGAGAAAAAAATCTGCTTTAAAAATAATGTTACATATCTGCATGAGTATAGACCGCTTGCAGACGCGTTCGATAATTGACGCGCGAAGGTGCGCGACGCCATGTTGTGGGACAAAATGTGCATGGATAGATATGCGCCTGTCCCACAACATGGCGTCGCGCGCCTTCGCGCGTCGATTATCGAACGCGTCTGCAAGCGGTCTATACCCAGGGGCAAAATAGTTTAGCGGCTCTGTATGCGTGGCCAGGAAAATATATGCAGTGCGCAAGTTTAAACTTGCGTGCGCAATTTGTAGCAAGGAAATGAATGCGCGCACAAGTTTAAACTTGCGCGGGGGACTCACTTTGCGCTCGACACGGGTACCCCTCCATACAAACGCTCCACCAATTTGGCATACTTTGGTGACGGCTTCACAGAAGCATAGTCACATACCCACGCGAGGACAAAAAGACCCCCAAAAATTCCGGTAAAGAGAATACAAATGAGAGAGACAGTTACCCTGGATTGATCTGCACATTCATGACATTCCATCAGACACCTTACATTGTTCCCAAACAGCAAACATTTTGAAGAAAAACAGCAAAATAGTCTGAAAACTTACAGCTCAATGTGTTCGCCGTGAAGCTCAATCCTTGCACCGACTTGCCGAATGAGGGCATCTGACGTGACGATTTCTTCAAAATGTTCGCTGTTTGGGAACAATGTAAGGGGTCTGATGGAATGTCATGAATGTGTAGGTCAATCCTAGTCCGAGTAACTTGGACCCAACTTATCGCCTTTTTTAACATTTGGACGTGGTCTGGCGATAGCTATCGCCAGACCACGTCCAAATGTTTAAAAAGGCGATAAGTTGGGTCCAAGTTACTCGGACTAGGTCAATCCAAGGTATTAACTGTCTCTCTCATTTGTATTCTCTTTACTGGTTTTTTGGGGGGGTCTTTTTGTCCTCGCGTGGGTATGTGACTATGCTACTGTGAAGCCGTCACCAAAGTACATGTATGCCAAATCGGTGGAGCGTTTGTATGGAAGGGTACCCGTAATTCAACGCTCCACTCAGTAGAGCTACATGCCACCCGGACATTGCCATGGCAAATCCGGATCGGGTTGTGGGTCGGGGCGGGGGACCCTAAAACTTAAGGTGTCTTGCTTTCCGAGTAACTTGGACAACGGATCCTACACACAAAGATAAACGACTCTGCCAAACTCTTGGTTAGACGCTAGCCCAGGTTGACAACGTCTCCATTTATACGACTGACGTCCAGGGAATTCTACCAAGTACTAGCTCTACTGAGTGGAGCATTGAACTACGGTAACCTCCGTACTAACGCTCCACTGATTTAGCATACTTTGGTGACAGGTACACAGTCATGACGGTATGCATGGTATGAGGACAAAATACCGGTAAGGCCCCTAAAAAACTGGTAAAGAGAATACAAATGAGAAAGACAGTAACCCTGGATAGATCCACACATTCATGACATTCCATAAGACGTACCCCTTAAATTGTTCCAAATAACCTGTAATTTTGAGGAAAAAAAGAGCAAAATAGGCTGAACTTACCGCTCACAATTAAATGTGTCTGCCGAGTTATTCAGTCCATTTCACTGACATGACTGATGCATAATTCATCGCGCGTGTGTGATGTCGCGCTTAATCAATGACTGTTTCATGTACTGATATGTGTCCCGTGCCAAAAACCCACACTGTCAGACGGCCCGGGGCACACCTTATTTTGTCCTCGCGAGGGCATGCACAAAATGCATACCGTCACGACCGTGTACTTGTCACCAAAGTATGCCAAATCGGTGGAGCGTTTGTACGGAGGGTACCGTGGTTCAACGCTCCACTCGGTAGAGATAACCAAGTACCATAGGCCTAGGGCCTACTACTATTTACTAAGTAGTAGTAAAAATTCGCGCTGCTCAATATTCGCGCAACCAACTTTCTCAGCTTGTATCTTTTTTTCACACAACACGGACCGACGTCAAATCATTATCACCGTCGATGATCCATTGTCACATCCCCACAAACTAGAGACCAAAGTTGTGCACATAAACTTGTCCTGTACTCGACAAACATCGATCCACATTGTTTTCAGAAGTAGGACACAATGGAGACTCAACATGGGCTAGTTAGACGTGTGATAATGGCACCTATACTAGCATTGACTGGTGGCAAATACCATGAATACTTGTCAACAAAGACCCCTGCGCGCCGTGGCTTTCAGATTTGCAGGGCTCTTCGCCCGATCTGGTGTCGAAGTCTGTCAAGCCAGCTAATTATATTTTTGAATATTCATGATCCTACGTTTTTGGCCTTTATTATTGAATTCTGATAAGTGATAACTATAACCATGTTAAAGGGAATATACATCATTTGCTTTTGCTCTAATTTTCAGAAATGGATGGAATTGGGGGGTTGGAAATATAAAGCAAATATAGTTACACTGACTTTTTGGAGGTTTTGGGTTCGAAAATGCTATAAAAACCAAGAAAAACGATCATTTTCCTGTAGTCTGGTTCCCTGACTCCATATAAGAAGAAACAGAGCAGTTTACATACATTGGGGAATTGTAAGGTCATGGAACCAGTCTAGCTGGCTCGCACCCGTTCAAAGGTTTGTAATCGATTGCAAACAAGTGCAATGGTCAATTGGGGCCAGTATTTGAAAAAAAGCCAGTTGTTTCCAACGCTGATCGGCCGATCAGCGTTGGAAATTGATACAAAAATACCACTTTTCTTGAAAATGACAGAATACCAGGTGCCATAATTTTACAGGATGCTTTAGACTGTCATTTATCAACATCCTATTAAGGTATTTCGCAAAAACTTGGTAGTTTTATTTTTCGATGTTTGCAAATGTTGTATATTCCCTTTAACGTTGAGCACAATATCTTTAGCTTTAAATTTTATTAAAATAAACTATTAAATGTTGCTTTTTTTTCATTGGTTCAGGACCACATCTCTTTTTAATGAAAGCCTAATTAAAAATGAAATTTGGGTAAACAGTGTTCTCTTCGAAATTTGACATATATTTATGAAGTAAATACTTCATCTGTGATGACAAAAACTGCACAATACCTAGCCCCACTAGTGTGGCAGCAGCATTGCTGTTCAGCGCAGCAATATCGTGGCCACATTAGTTGGGGCTACACAATACCATCTGTTATGTCCTGAAGTATTTATTTTTTAACAATTTTGGAACAATTATATCTTACCAAAATGTGACATTGAGCTGTCCATATATACATGTGCAGTAGTTATTAAAAAAATACCCCACGTGCAACGGCACCAAGCTAGAAAAGTGAAAATTGATCGCGAAATGTAGACACGCTGCGGGAAAATTTGGTATCGCACTTATGATCCAGATGCTCCTCAAGTTCTGCTCGTGTGTGTATTTTATCGTGGATTTTGAATAAATATTTTGACTTGGCTTAATAATAATGAGTTATTTGTTATTTTTTATTTCCTTTTCAGCCATGGCTGATCGTACGATACCTTTGATCTTGCTAGCTGTGGCAATCTGTGCCATTGGTTGTTCCCATGGTGACAGTGTGACATCACATGCGCACAGTGGTTCATCATCATTCCTGGCAGCGGTATACCAGCATGCAGTTCACAATTGGTACCTACCCAACATAACGCACCGGGAGGCCCTGAAACTAATGAATACAAATGTCGATGTCTACGAAGTGCAGGTCAAAGTTGCCTCTTCAAAGGTAAATATTTGTTGGGTGCGATTGATGGATCTGCGTTATCGGTTAATTGCGTCTAGCGAAACTAAAAACTGACATATATGTACACTGTACAAGCTTTTTATTCTATAATAATAATAATAATAAATAATAATAATAACTGTATTTATATAGCACTTTTTGCCAGAGGATACAAAGCGCTGGGGGAGAATGCAACCAAAGCCAGGTAAATGAAGTATATGAACATATGAGACCCATTATGTAGCACCTTTTTGCTAGGTGCTGCGGCGCATAATTGCTGCCACTGCCAGAAACACCGAGGCAAACCCCTCCTCTTAGCGACAAGTGTTACTGGGTTCTTTAACGTGCATTACACAACACACGGGACCTACGGCTTTATGTCCCATCCGAAGGACGAAGCAATAATGGTAAAGTGCCTTGCTCAAGAGCACAAGCACCATGTTCCCACGGTCAGGATTCGAACCTGTGTACCACGGCACACGAGTCGAACACCGTAACCATTGGACCACAGCGCCCCACAATTCTATTCTATCAATGGTGCTTATAGATTCTGTATTGTGTTTATTCCACAGGGAGTCTCCATGATTGTTTTTCCCGAGTACGGAATCACTGGTTTCCAGTTGTCCCACCTATCCATAGATCCGTTCCTGGAGTATGTTCCAAACCCCTACAAGACCAGCGTCAATCCCTGCATCCAAGCAGAATTCAAGACATCACCCATCTTGCAACGCCTCAGCTGCCTTGCGCGTAAGTATTCCATCATCATTGTTGCTAACTTAGCAACAATGATACCTTGCAATGAGAGTCGTCTGCAAGACCGGGACTGCCCGACAGGTGGAGTCTATAAATACAACACCGATGTCACTTTGGGTGCGGATGGTAAGTTGCTTGCTAAATACAACAAGGAGCATCTCTATGCCGAAGAGCTGCTTATGTTCCAACCTGGCGAAGGCCCGGACAACTTGGCTGTCTTCAAAACCGACTATGGAATCTTCGGACTGTTCACGTGTTTCGATATGCTGTTCAAGGAGCCCGCCGAGTCACTCCTTGATAGCCTGGGCGTAACTAACATGGTCTTCCCAACAGCCTGGATGAATGAACTACCATTGCTTAGTGCAGTGGAGTATCAAGAAGCATGGGCAATCAGATTTGACGTCAACCTGCTGGCTGCAAACATACAACTCCCAATTGCCTTAATGACAGGTGGAGGGCTGTATGCTGGCGTACAAGGTGCTGTTATCTACCATCGCGATATGACTGACTTCCACGGAGAACTCTTGATTGGGAAGTTGCCGGTACGCCCTAAAAGGCCACCGAAAATAAACACCAAAACTTTCAAAGATCTCAGCGGACAAATCAGAAATCTCACCCCAGAAAACCTTCAAATGGTTTCTCCCATTGTCAAATCAATCCTGAAAGACACGGCTCAGTCATCTTGGAGCGAAACCATGAAGAGCTCTGAATCCTCTCAGGAAATCAGATTTTCATCTTCGTTCACCACCCCTGACAAGTCTTCTGACAAGCCATTTCAATCACTGATGAATCATGACCTTTACACATTCGTTCTCCTGACTCAGAACACTGCCAGTTTGTCTGTGTGTAGTGGTGTTCTGTGTTGTCATCTTAATTACACCTTTCCTTCAATGTCATCCACCAAACGAGACATGTTTGCATTGGGTGTCTTCAACGGGCTTCACAAACACAACGGCCAGTACTATGTCCAGACCTGTGCCCTGGTCAAATGCAGGCTTGATGACCAGTCCAGTTGCGGGGCAGAAACCGTCCAATCTAACACACGACTGGAGAGTTTCAGTTTGGCCATTGAGGGATACGACCAAGAAAGTCGGCTTTTCCCTTCAGTTCTGACATCAGATGTGCGTCTGGCAATCATCGGTAAAGATTGGGAGAGCGAGTTCCCTTTTGACCATATTTGGAGTGAAAGTGGAACAGAAGGCTATCTTCTTGCGGCAAATATCTATGGGAGATGGTATGAGAAAGATTAAGATTTCCCTCTCCCCCAGGGCCCCCTTCCCCCTCCCAGGCCTTGCCACCTCCCCCTAACAGGCCACCTCTCCTCCACCTCCTTGCCCCCACCTCCCCTCTCCCCGGCCACAATTTCCCCCTCCCAGGCCGTGCCACCTCCCCCTAACAGGCCACCACTCCCCACCCCCTTACCCCCACCTTCCCCCTCCCAGGCCACAATTTCCTCCTCCCAGGCCGTGCCACGTCCCCCTAACAGGCCACCACTCCCCCACCCCCTTACCCCCACCTTCCCCCTCCCAGGCCACAATTTCCCCCTCCCAGGCCGTGCCACGTCCCTCTAACATGCCGCCACTCCCCCACCCCCTTACCCCCACCTTCCCCCTCCCAGGCCACAATTTCCCCCTCCCAGGCCGTGCCACGTCCCTCTAACAGGCCACCACTCCCCCACCCCCTTACCCCCACCTACCCCCTCCCAGGCCACAATTTCCCCCTCCCAGGCCGTGCCTCGTCCCCCTAACGGGCCACCACTCCCCCACCCCCTTACCCCCACCTTCCCCCTCCCAGGCCACAATTTCCCCCTCCCAGGCCGTGCCACGTCCCCCTAACAGGCCACCACTCCCCCACCCCCTTACCCCCACCTTCCCCCTCCCAGGCCACAATTTCCCCCTCCCAGGCCGTGCCTCGTCCCCCTAACAGGCCACCACTCCCCCACCCCCTTACCCCACCTCCCCCCTCCCTGGCCACAATTTCCCCCTCCCAGGCCGTGCCACCTCCCCCTAACAGGCCACCACTCCCCCACCCCCTTACCCCCACCTTCCCCCTCCCAGGCCACAATTTTTCCCCTCCTAGGCCCCACCTCTCCCCATTTGTGCATACTCCTGTCGGTAGGTTTGCAATTATGCAGATCAATTTGATTGAATAGTCGTGACGTTACTGAGAGGTCAACTCAGTGCAACCTTGATTAATGGTTCATGCTTGTTTTAGTGCACATTTAATGAATGACTGTCCAAGAATTTTTTTGTTCCTGTCACTTAATTTAATATGTGATTTTTACAACTGACTTTTTAATACAGTACTTTCTGTATGATTTAAATGACTTCGTGGTGAATTTTAAACATTAAAATCGGGTGATTTATTAATAAGGCCCCCAAAAAAACATTCAGTCTCTGGTCAGACCAACGTTCCGTAATTGACGCGGCGACGCGGCTGTTTTTTTTTTTTTTTGCTTTTTTTTTTCTTCAAGCTTGGATTGTACAGACAAGGAGGGGTACTACATGTATTTTGCTTTTTTGGTGTCCTCGTGTACATTGGTGTCCTCCATAATTTGCCTTGGTGCAATTTCCCATTCCTTGGTGCTCTTTGGTAAAAAAAAATTGAGGAGGTGCGGCAAAAGAGGGCGCTGACCAGAGACCGACTTATTATTTTTTTTGGCCTAATACACCATGTATATAGTAAATTTTAATCCCACAGTGAACATCGAATTTAAACAAATGTAAGAGAAAAAAATGAAGATACATATGCAATGCAAATAATTGAAAGCGTCTTTTTAGAATTCAGTTTATTCCCTCTAATTGGTTTATTTAAATGATCTCCACCAACATTCATAATTGCCTAATAACTTTCTTAAATAAAAACAATTATAATATAAACATCTCAATTTTTATATTCTTATATCGTTCTACAAAATTTTATAATTTGAAATTATAGTTGTGAAATTGAAATAAATAATTTTAATTTCTACATTGTTTATATTAGAAAAGATGTACTGTATATACTCCAAGAAACAAAATTATCACAAATCACATGTAAGTTTCAGTTTCAACAATTCTACAGGGTATCCTCTGTTAGGGTTGAATCTACTCTTTAAAATGACACCCTGATCATGTCATTACATTCACGGTTGACTGAGCAGTGACCAATTTTATGAAAGGGTCTATTTAGAGCATTGCGCTGCTTTTCAATTGTGGTTTTTGTTGTGTCATTTGTCACAGAGTGAAAGGCTATGGTTGCCAATCAAGGCAGGTGGGAAAAAAAGAGATTTCACCATGGAAAGTGGCACAAGCCTCTAAATAGACCCTTTCATAAAATTGGTCACTGCTCAGTCAACCGTGAATGTAAGGACATGATCAGGGTGTCATTTTAAAGAGGAGATTCAACCCTAACAGAGGATATCTCCCTTTGATTCACATGTGCCCTACTTCTGTTCCAATTAGCAATAATATCTCGGTTTCGGTTTTTTTATCCACCCTGTATTTGTGATTTTTTTTATTGAACTGAAATATCACAGTGAATATTTTCTTATTACATGTATATCTCTTTATTATGTATGTAAATTGTAGAAGCAAATATTAAAAAAAATTTGAGAATCATTTCCAACTGAGGATCTCCAATAATTTCATGACTGAGTGAAAGATTAGATTTGGCAGAACAGAACTCTAATAATAATAACAACAATGTGGTGCTCGCATGGCACTATTTACTGAGGTCTCAATGCGCATCACAATTGGTTCCCTTGTCCATCAGGCTATGAGACCATGTTCTTTTCTGCAGCAGCTCAAGATAAGTGCAATCTCTTATACTCCTGGGTGGAGAGGGGCAAGAAAAGTGTCTTGTCCAAGAACACAAGCTCCGTGTTCCCTGTTGGGTTATAAACCCACAACCCACAGCACATAAGTTGAACACTGTAATCATTGGACCGCAGTGATTTCTAATCCTAACTAGTTTTTTTTTTTTTTTCACTAATGACTAAAGCCCGGTTCATACTTCCTGCGGAAGCGAATGCAAAGCGAATTTGACGTCATGAAACATTCGCTGCGAAATTCGCCCGAGTTGAAATGTGTTCAACTTTTACGAATTCCCAGCGCGAATACTTGCCATGATGTCACAAATTCGTGTTTGCTTTTGCTTTCGCTTTCGCGCCGAGTATGGACCGGGCTTTATAGTGCGATCAAAACAAATTACCATGAAGACTCCATCTCAGTTTGAAAACATTTCAATAGAATACAAAGCATTGGTCTGGAAATAGACTTCAAATAGGACCAGTGACTTTGCAGGTTAACTTTAAAAAAAAAAATTAGTACGACTGATCCAAGCTAAAATTTCATAAAAAGGAGTTGCATCTCCCCAGTTACTGGGATTAACTTCCAAGTAGTTCTCAAGTCTTATGTCACAGAATTACATAAGTACCCTCTTCAGTGATTGACACAGAGCACAGTGCCAGACAGTAGAAAAAAAATGGCATTTCGCGAGGAAGTTACCATTTATACATGTATGGCAACTGCGCAAGTCAGAATTGTGTAAATTTATGCATGTATGTCAATTGGTCAATGCAGATTTATTGCATAGAATTCTGGAAAACATTACTCCAGTTTCTAAGCACATTCTCTGAACGTTAAAAAATTATCCATTAAACATGTGTAAATACATGTGCATTTTATCTACTTGCTGTGCTCACTGACTATTTAATTAAAAATGACATTCTATTTAAAAAAAAGTATTTAAAAAATCACACTTCTTTGGAATGATGTAAATGTTTATCATTATGGAAATTATGAAAAATGCCAAAAATCTTCACTATAGCACAGTGGAAGGACAGTAACGTCCATTTCCCTGCAAATATCACTTTTCTGTACAGCCACCGTATTCCTGAATGCCCAAATGATCCAGAACCAATATCGAACCTTGGTCTTGGTAAAATCCAAGCAGACATTTGCCCAAAATAATACCTAACTTTAGTTTTGAGAAAATTTGTCACTAAGTGAAGTCTTGCCCGAGTTAATTTGAAGGAAAACCACTGAAGACATTTGGCACAATAAGATCTCCCCAATTCATTTACAATCACATACTTAAGCCATCGGAAGTACTGACACAATTTACTCAATTTGAGATGCATAATGACACCCATCTTCCCGTCCATCAAACTGTGATGTTTCTGATCTAGTAGCACAAGTCATTGGTAGATTTGAAGCGCTGAGAGTATAACAAACACAGCACAGATGAAATAGGAAACCAGGTAGGCAGATTCTAGCGTGTACAGCACCATCAGCCATAAGAAGACCAGGAAGAGCCAGGACGATAGCTTGCAAAGTCCCCTGTCAAAAGATAGCAGGAAAGATAGTCAAAACAAACAAAATGGCTGATCAAAAACACCTCTCATTTTAAAGGTACTCAGGATCATTTGCTTTCATGCTTAAAATAAATAAAGGCAAAGACACTTATAACATGTATCTCTACAATCAGGCCCTGTCAAGTTTGATTTGCGGTCACATGAAACCTGTGTCAGTAGCCTTGGAAGCACGTCTGTTTGTAAAAATATGCTGCAGTTTCGGTGCCTTCATCCTTCATGATATATTTGCTCGTACCCCCGCCCTGCAAACAGGGCACTGGGAAGGGCAGATGAGCTTCACAGAATCTTGCGAAGGAAGTGGGGATGGCATTCTGGGTAACTTATCATGACCTATGTATAAAGCATCTGGCTGCAGCTGTTTAAGACCGCAGTTTATTAGCCAATGCGCGCAAATGCTATCCAAAAACTTTCTCATAGAAATGCACACAATGCATACTGGATGTGATTTCTTTTTCATTGCAGACCATGTGGACAAATTTGAGCGTCGCATAATATGCGATTTGACCCTTTTGTGAATTTGCGAAACGGAGCCTGAGCAAGTGACGGGAATTGAAAATTTACAAAACAGATAACTTTTACAGATTTTCCTACCTTATTAAGCATTATAACGAAAGAAAAAGTAATAGTAAAGAGTGATGACTCAGTCTTAGCAGCCATTTAAAATCTTGCAGGGTCGTGGCCATGATTTTAGTGATGACTTGCATGTCACAGGTCACGCAAAATCTATCCAATCAGAGCGTAAATTCAGCAGCCCTTCCCAGCGTCCTGTTTGTAGGGCGGGGGTGACTGTGCCATGTGCAGTTTTGTGTAAATGAACAATTCGCAGAACTCACTTGCATGTAGGAATGGTGTATCTACCATCCAGAAACACTGCCATGGTGCTACATACTACAGCTGCTATGTAGACAGAGGGATCCTTGGCAAGATGAAGGCTATATCTGCAAATAGAATATGAGATAAATGTTCAAAAGAAATCAACTAAAACAATATCACGATGGAGAGTGCAGGTAGGGAAACATTTAGAGATCACTCAGAGAGGATACTGTTTTTATAACAAATAGTGAAATAAACAAAGAGAAAGTGACTAGAGAATTCTGGCAAAGTTGTTCAGAATCCCTCAACTGATACAAAATCCAATTAGCATATTCTGGATAAGCCAGCAACGTGCTGGATATTGAAATATATCACCGCTTACACAGACTGGCAGTCAAGATGGTTATTATTCATAAGATGGAATTTTGCGTCGGGTGATGTGAATCAAATTAGGTTTTGCCCTTCACCGATGTATAAACACTGTGAAACACTGAGTGAAAATTGGAAAAAATCACTCGGGTAGGACTCGAACCCACGACCTCCTGCTTTCTAGCGCAGATGTCTTACCACTCGACCACCGAGCTAACGGGATCGGTTGGCTGGTTCGAATCTGATGTACATAGCAGCGGGTACCGCATAACTATTCATAAGATGGAATTTTTTGCGTCGGGGAAGATGGTTAATGTGTTACTGCCGAACACCACCTTGAGAAGAGAAGTGTTCAAGATATGCGAATACCCAAGAGAGTTGTAATGGAGTTGTCACAAGTCATCACAAGCCATCACAAGCCATCACAAGTAATCACAAGTCACCACAAGTCACTACAAGTTATCACAAGTCATCACAAATCAACACAAGTCATCCTAGTCATCTCAAGTAAATCAAAAGTCCTCACAAGTCCTCACAAGTCAATCACAAGTCACTCACTCTCAACCCAAGACACCCCTATTCAACTGACCTGTGACAAAGGCATTCCTTTGTCATTGTTCAGCCCTGTAATGTGACCTGACTTGTGATTTGACTTGTAACTGACTCAATGACAAATCTGATACATTCCGAAAAATGTCTTGGTCCATGATTCAACAAAACAATGGTAGCTACTGCCATTTCCAACTTTTAACTGTTCAAGCCGAGGACCAAATAATTGATTTAAATTTTTTATTTGTATTCATGGTATTAGAGAAATCAGTAGCACCTGTACTACACTGTAGTACATTGTAGTACATTGTAGTACATTGTATTACATCGTATTACATTGTATTACATTGCATAATTCATTGGTGAATCCATAAAACCACAGAGTGCTCAGGAAACTTCCAAAAGCAGTACAGGAAGCAATAGGCAGGCGGTTTGGGGCAGTACAATGACTAAAGGAATTTTAACCTACAGGTACTTATGCAAATTGCCTGATGATGTCATCACACGCTAGTACTCACCCTAAATTCTTGAACCAAACGATCAGCGCAGGAGCGTTCAGTACGCACAGGCACCACAGGAGTAGCATGATGGCAAAATGGAAGTGGTATGTCTCTTTGGCCAATCCTAAAGGGCTGAGATCTCTGGGCTTAGGATCATCAGGCTTGGGAGGCTTGACGTCCTCAGTACTAGTAGAAGACGAATCGTTCTCCTTGACGGAGGAGGCTACTTCGTCTTTGGGCGAAGGCGTGGCGTTTACGTTTGCATCTGCGATGGCACCATGCTACAAGAAGCAAGCAATATCATGAAACTTTGTTGATGGGGATAGTTTGTAGCCTGGGAGAGGGTGTATAGGGTCCAATCATATGAAGTCAAAGTACACAATGTACCACATAACCTTTTGGTATTTCCCCTGATCGGCCACCATTGAATGCAGTAAGTGTTTGGTTAGCAACCGCATCGTGTACTGCAAACTACACAGTCGTGCTACCTTTCATGTAAAGTAACTGCAAATTCTTCATCAACTGGCACAATGGTTACTACCCATGCAAACCCAGCACTGGGTGTTGGCTCTACATTTTTGCCATCCATCAGAACTTTGAAGACTTGTCTGCTACCTACTGTGTGCGGGGCTGTACAATCTTTGCCTTCTACAACGGCAACCCTGACTTTCTGGTACAAGGGTGTGAGTGACCACTGACAAAAATAGCTGAAAACAGCTGAAAAAGGTGTAAAAAAGCTGAACTTTGGAAATCTCCTATAACTTCAAAGTGTACACAGCGAGTGAGGGGAAAAAAGCTGACATCCAAAACAAAAAAAGCTGAAATTGGCTTTAAAGCTGAGATTTCACACCCCTGCTGGTACACGGATGCTAAGCCTGGTCCCGAGATAGCCCTACTTGCGAGAAAGACTTGTAGCATGATTTGTAATTGGGTCATGAGAGGTCGGGTAAGGTCAAAAGGTACAGCATTACAACGCATGGTTTCTTTTGAGAATGACATTTATAATCTTAGAAAAGCAGTCTTATCTTTCCATGTACAAAATTACTCATCAAATAAATTCCAAGTTGTTTTGACTTACAATATTGAGGCAGTGGCTCAGTCGGATGACCTTGGCCTTCATACCAACGACCTGAAAAACAAAACAAAAAGACATGGTTACATTCATTAAAAAGTAAAAATTCTTTAAACTACAAATGATTTGAACTTATGATGTTCTGAAGTATTCATACTCACAACTGGTTTTTCTCTCTTGAATTTTTGTAGGCAGCAAATCCATAAAGACATGAATGTTGTTGAAGGTTATGAACACCATTTGCAAGCATTCAAAAATGAAACTGCTGAAATATTTTGAAATATCCTGTTTGATTGCAAGTTAATAAGCATCCTGTGAAATCATTGAATGCCCTCATTTTCTAGGAAACAGAAATTACCATCTTTTTTTGGTGATGATTAGGACTGAAGCATTGCAAGGGGAAAGAAGTGGCTTTCTTTTTCAAATACCGCCAAAACTGAGCAAATTTAGCTTAGCTAGCAATTTGTTACAAATCCGCGATTGAGAATTATATTTACCAAATGACAAACTAAGGATCATACCACAAGAGGGAGCAAGTCACAATGTATTTATAAACTTTTTGAAAGAGAGTGTCTTCAATGCATACCTTGCTTTGTGTCGACAAAAGTGAAGATGCATTTTCACAGTTATCTTGAAAAGTTTATCTACTGAGCTGAAATTTCAACCTGAAATTTCAAGCCTCAGATTTGTTGTTTCCTGATGCAGCATTTTTTGAGCAATTGGTTTCCAGTACCTTGATTGAAGCTTGAATATGAATACCCTAAACCTTTCTACCAATATGGGCGATTTCTAGTACACTGCACCACCAAGAGGCTACCACAGAGCCCATTTTTCACAGTGCATTGTGGGAGACGGTCTACAAATTCGCCATGGCGAGGGACATTTGATCAGGTCAGTAGTTTTGTCAGCGTATGATTCAAGTATCTTTTTTCTTTTCGTTTCTGTTTATCCAGATTTTTTTTTTGTGCGGGCACAGAATGCTACGCTCGATCTTCCAAAACATTTCCTCAAGTTGTCAACTGACATTTGTTCAAATCATGGCAAGTCAGCTATGTTTTTGTCCGCCGTTAACTTGAAAAATGGACTTTCCGTAGCAAACTCTGTATTGGGAATCGCCCATATTTCTTTATCTGGGTGAGTACCGGTCAGAATACAGAAATTATAGAATGCTCCTTGAGCATATACCTTGAAGAAATACAGAACCAGTGCTGCTATGAGGCCCAGCGTTCCGCAAGTCATTGCTGACAACGCAACCAATCCACCTACTACACCATACATCAACCAGGGCGTGGGACCAGCTGGGTTAAACTGGTGCTCATCAGCCTTTGTCCTGATAATGAAAATGAAAAAGAAAAACCCTTATTGACCATTAGCATGACCATTGTATTTGCTTCGGGAAGAATCCATGAAACAATAGAGGGATGGGGCGGTTTGGGACGGTTCAGGGAGTAATGGGTTACATCATTTTAAAACAGTTTCCTGCCTGAAGATTTCAAACCACTTGATCAAATAAGAAAAATAATATAAAGCGCTTATGAAGCGCTTTATACCAACGGTCTCAAAGCGCTTTACAATTATTACCCCTGTTCATCAGGTCATAAGATCAGTTTCTGCAGCAGCTGGAGATCAGCGCATTCAGGTCTCTACCTTCACAGGTACCCATTTGTACTCCTGGGTGGAGAGAGGCAATTGAAGTAAAGTGTCTTTCCCAAGAACACAAGCACCATGTTCCCTGTCAGGGTTCGAACCGTAACCATTATTATCGCTCCACATTATTACTCATTTCTTCTCCTCTCCCCAATTGTCGCATTACGCTCAAATTATTTTTACATTGATGTTTCCCTCTATACATAATGGACCGATCCATTAACCCTGTCTTAGTACATCGCCTTTGCGACTTAACTATACCTCTACCTCTTAGAATTTTTGTACGCTAAGTTTTGTTTGTCTCAGATGTTGCGCATTCCGCGTCCATTTGTATATCATGTAATTGGACAATAATTCACAAGCTGTGTTGACGCGATTCTACCGCAATTCTACCGTGATGGGTCAATAGACCTAATTCACAAGGAAACCATTTTCGATCGTGTCCCCCGAGTCTATTTTATAAATCGTAAACTGTTGAATGGGATGGTGCCAGACTAATTTATGATTGGAAAGCGTGTCAAGCCTCACTTTCAATTTCTTTTTTTCATGTGGCTTAAAACATTAGGGTATGTTTAATCACAACTTTTAGATTATTCATCCAAGCAGACTGATTCTAATTTGTAGAAACTTTTATTTCACTTCTTTCATTTCTACTCTCAAGTTACAAAAATGAAGAGTTTACCTTGCTTTCAATTTAATATGGCCGACTCATGAATACAATTGATGCCATGCTGCGTATTCCTGCCGCATGTGTCAGAGATTTGTCCAGCCATGTTCAAGGGTCGGACTTTTAGGAATCACGGCTACCTGGGATATTCCGTGTGCCAATGAGGGGCATTCTCATGAAAACACTTTGAGGGTACGGACACCCATGGTTAGTGGCACTCATTTACATGCAGGCATGCAACTGGAAAGTCACAAAAACAGAGGAAATTCAAATCTTTCCAACACTTTGTACAGTGTTTTATATTGTGTTTCTATTTTCAATGACACACATGGGAGGTCAAAAAAGAGGAAATCAGCTGATCCAAGGAAAAGTTGCATGCCTGTACATGTTTCTATGATTAACATTCACAATTGATAAAGTCAATAAAACTACATTTGAGTTGAAATAGCTCTTAGATAAAGATGCTTTGCACCACAGTCACTCACCCTTTAACAAAGACAGCAAGGCGTGCGTAGAGTGCCACCTTGAAACTGGTCAACAGAGCTAGCTGTGTCAGGAGCGCATACCCAAACAGGAAGAACACCAGGGGTAGAACGGGGAAAAAGATATTCTTGTCTTCGAAAGACCGAAGATCAAACGTCTTGTCCAATGATTCATATCTGAGGGATTATCGAGAACAATAAATTTATAACAATTAGAAAAAAAATTGTCATTATTCCCAAAGTATGCTATTAGAATCTGTAAACTAATAAAGTTTACAATTGGAAAACTACATGTTTATGGGCTCCGTGCACAAGTACCCCCTCAACGGTTATGAAGGGAGAGTTGGGGGAGACCACTAGGAGGGACATTTGAACGCATTGCTGACAGCGCCGTACACACAGGCAAAGATGCTATGGGGGAGGGGGGGTTGTTGGAGACGAAGTTGACACCATCTTCCTGTAGGGGGTGTTGTTCAAGCGGATGATCATGGATGGTATCAGACAATAGGTGGTGCTCTTCAACACAGCAAATTTGCCGATGGACACACCATTTGCTGACAGGTCAAGGATTTTGCAAACAAAAAGGAGGACCATGCATACCATATGCTGCGTTCCAATCACGTTGTATTTCTCTTGTTCATGAGTCATGAACTTGAGAAACAAATTCCACCTCCAGTTCACCACTGGTGAATATGAGGTACCAGGCAATAAGAATGCTATAATACGACTAGTGAACTTGTGAACACGAGAAACACGACACGATTGGAATGCAGCCTAAGCCTGCTTCCTACTCCAATCCAGTAGGCCCCGCCCACAGCGCACGTAGGCAATTAACGCATGCTCCTCTCCAATGACACATTGCATGTTAGAGCTGCACACGTTTTCAGCATGTTAGACTTTTGTGTACACATGTCCGACATTAATCACAATTGTGATTGGTCAGAACACCATCGGGGTGGGACTTAATGAATCAGTCTATTATCCAGTTTGTTAGTGTGACGTCATCTCAATTCAACCATGTGTACTTCACATGGTGTAGCATAGCACGAATGGAACCGGAATTTAACACATTTCGAGCGTTTATCCAATGGGCGCTAGTAATCAGTGGTGCGCGCGCGTGTATGATATTTTATGATTTATGGTATGATTACCAGTGAATGACATTCAAACAAAGGACAAGAGAGATTCATTTGCCTAATTTTAATTGGAATATTCAATTTACTAAGAGAGTGACTTACTTGACAACACCCCTGAAGATTGAAATGACCAGGGCTATGGCGTTAGGCTTGCAATAAGTCGACTGCATCCATATGAAGTCATCAATAGCCTCTAAATAAATCACATACAATGTGGGAGAAAACAAAATATAAGTACAAAAAACAAAAAGAGTTTAGTAAATGAATGGGCATGAGTATGAAGTGGTTAAATGGACACGTTTGACAGAAAGTAGCCAGTTGGGTTAAACAAAAAAACATGCTCTGAGGCCTTCGAATAAAAACCTAATTGAAAACCGAAATTATTTACACATATGCAGCGAACAGACGCGCGATAGTTAAAATAAGGAATACGAATAGTCACATTAGTACTAGATTAGCTGTTTTCGTGTATAAAAGTACCGGCCAAAGGAATTTTTAGGGTACATATATCCAGCCATGGGAGTGCTAATCATAAAATCCTCTCCTACATGCTTCTTTTGTTAAGGTTCCTCGCTGTGTGTAGAATTCTGCAGCTAGCATGGGACCTGATATTTCACACTGAATCTCACAGAGTTGCGAACACATCAGGCAGTGCCAGTCTTTTGTTGACAGCCCAGCTCAAACATGGATGCTTGAAATCTATACTGACAAGGCCAAAATCTCCTCAGGCACCAGATGTAAACAAACAGGGTGTTCAACATTTTCTCGGTAAATGTACAAGTAAGACGTTATGTGGGTTTCCTGCAACTTAGACTTTTTAAAAAATAAGTTTAGAAATAATCCAGAACATGAAGTTTTTGCAAAATTTGGCTGAATGTCAACATTAAAGAAATGCAGTGAATTAGCACTGCGCACTACATGTTCTTAGATCGGTACTTATAATTATCCTAAGACATTCAACAAAGACCTTTCTGTTTTGTTAACATTTTGAAAAGACACTCATGCATGAATTTTTCCTGAGAACCCTCATATCTGCTCATGTACATCACAAACGTAAACCAACATTTTGGGGCAAGGTGTTTTTTATGACATTTGACTAGGATTGAAGCAGCTAAATAAAGGGCAGGGGTGGAGGGGGGGGGGGGGGGAGGGGATGAAACTTACTCTCTGTGTAGATGTGCTTGAGTTGAAAGGAAATCAGAAACACCAGAACTACGACAAGGAAGTTGGGAAGTAAGTTTGCATGGAACCTGACAACCTGAGAGGGAAAGATAAGAAAACAACGAAGAGAAGATTTATGACAAATTTATGACAAACTGAATAAACATGACCGTTTTTGAACTTTGCATAAATGAACTTTTATAAGCCTAACACGAACACTGCTTTAATATCCACAACAAGTTGACCTATTTGTCAGAGAGTCAAGTCTGCTCAACTGGAACAAAAATACATCAAAAACTTATTCACTGTGAGAATACTTCAAAATTGGAAAATATTTTCTATATAATAATATTTTCTAAATTTTTTTTTTTAAGGTAAAGGACACCATTTGCGAAAACTGTGTTTATTTTTACGATTCAAGGAACAACATTACATTAAATCTGAAGCAAGTTTTAAAAAAAACCTGTCAAACTTTCTGCTCGGTAGATAAAAATGCATGATAGTTTATCTTGATGCAAAGCATGGGTTTCCATTGGATGGGCGACAGATCGCAAGGAAATTACAGCAATTCCTCTTCTTAAAAAAAAAGACAGAAAACCAGGTGCAATGATTTGATAGATTTCATAGGATGCTTGATCCTATTAATTACTGACAATCAAGTAGGATGTTTTTGAAAATTTAATTTTTGTATGTTTGCAAAAAAAGTCACTTGAAACTCTTTTTAAACTCATTCTTTTTAAGGTACTGGATGTTATCACTTTGAAGAAAATAACTCTTGTTATGGAAATTGTACGCTGTTGGTTTTGTTTTGTTAAGCATTAAAAGGAGCTACAGACAAACAAATACAAAAATATCAGCCAAACAAAAAATCACAATAAACAAGCCTCTACTGAGTAGAAAAAACAAACAGATACTAGAAGAGAATTCAGCTAGAAAATCTAAGAAAATCTTTCAGGTCGTCAATGAATGATGTCTGAATAAAGATAAAAGCTGGTGCTACATGCCAATTGCTGACTTTACTAATTACAACTGAAGCAGAAACAAAACACTCCGAGCAAAAGAAACTGTTTTCTCAACTTACAAAGAAGTCTACTGAAGCATTTATCTCTGATGATTTGTAAAGAGCATCTCCGTGCGTTGCCCTTCAGAAATACCGAGCGGTGTAAGTAATTGGTACAGCAGCAAGCATGGCTATTGATCATTGTGTCAGGGATCAAATGATGTGCTTCAGAACTTCTCATTATGGTTGACAAAAGATGCAAGACTTAACGCGTAGGCTGCATATTTCTCACTCTGCCCACTGAAGGACTTTCTTCTCGATTTCACAATGGTGATGCTGATAAGAAAAACTTGAGAACACGCAAAACTCTTGCAGCACAAAATACAGCAGACATACTACTCCTGAAGTATCAATGTGTTTATTTCACACTAAGTTTAGAATTTGTTGTACAATTAAGTTTCTTCCAGACAGTTACCTCCCTGCCTGTCAAAAACAAACTCACATTGTGGGGTCCAGTTCTATCAAACACAGCACAGCAAATCTTAGGAAAGATACATAAGTAGCGGTATAACAGTTGTTTATTTATATGTTTTGATGCTGCAGCCAAATTTGATATGAGCGCCTTTCTTTGAAAAGAAACATGATAGAATTGTTTATCGCAAAGATATTCATAGGCAGTACTGATGACAATACTCCATGAATAACTTGGTCTCCATGGTGACACCAACCAGTTTAAGTAGCCTGGCAACACTAGTTACTATGTGCCCTGATTGGATCCCGGAGGGTTATTTTTAGAAATAATTGCAGTTTTTAATCCGAGGCTACGGGATAAGCCGGTACCGGACAGGTGTTACTATTCAAAGATTTGGAAGACATGAAGTAGCACTTGGCAGATTTCTACTGACATGCTTTGTTACTGGATTTGTTGGTGTTTGTTGTTTGCTACCAGGATATGCGTGCTATTCTTCAACATAACGGTTTACACACAGCCCTGAAGGTAATGTACGATGTTTGCTGAAGATCTGAATTTCTTGAAAAAAAGGAGAAATTTCAGGCAAAGTTCTCAACACTGTTCTTCTTATAAACATTCTTGTTATGGCCCATCTCAATTAATCAAAGACTTAAGAAGCAAGTTTTGAAGTCCCAGGAACTGAGAAAAAAAATGTTATTGCTTAGGCCAAAAAAAAAAAGTCTCCGGTTTCTGGTATGGAGCTTGCCCAAAAAGTGGTGCGGTGACGCGGCTTTTTTTTTTTTTTTACCTGATTTTTTTGCTTCAAACATCGGCTGATGACTGCAAATGGTGTCCGACTAAACTTAGTGCAAATATATGGGAGTCCAGAGAGGCCACATAAAGCTTATTCTCGACCATAACCCAATCTAAAAACACGTTAAAATTGTGCAGCAGCAGGATTCCAGTCAAACCAGTGAGTTTGGCGGTTTTGAGACATCATCTTTCATTGAAAAAAAAACTTTTTCATTTTGCCGACGCGCATGGCTACGGCGACGCGCACGCATACCAGAAACCGGAGACTTTTTTTTTTTGGCCTTATTGCAAATTACCGTACAAGAAGGTTTTATTTCCCTTTTGTAAGTGTATCTGAATGCTTCTAAAAGATTTTCACAATTTTGTTTAAGCTAATGCGGGGAAACAACTTTTTTTTCACCTAACACAGACAGGGTATGGAGAAAGGTTCCATCTCCTCCTAAGAAAGTTTTAACGTAAATGACAATCATGCTAGATATTTACCTTGGTTCCTTGTGTGAATATGTTTTAAAGTGGTATATGGGTGACAAAAGTTTAGGCCAATTTATGGGTCCATTTTTCTAACCATAAACTCTGATGATGCATTAATTAACTCAGTCTCTGTGCTAAGGCTATTGAAATATTGGGTGTTCAAGTTGAATCCTCTGCTGTGACATTTTCACTGATTGTGTGAACTGACTACAACCAAGGCAACAAGTTGTATATAAACTGCTCTGAAAACTGACTTAAAACAGTTGCCATGACAACTGACTGTAAAATATCGAACAGTGATCCTATTTCAACTTTGTCTGATGCATTCCACAAAGAAGTCTTGACAAATATAAATCCAGAAAAAAAAAATAGATTTCTAATTCTGTTTTCATCTTAATATACAAAAAATCATTTATATAATAAATGATAATGTAAATATTTGTAACTGTTTTTTTTAATGATTGAACAATTTGCTGGATATATAACCTAGTTGACAAAAGACAACGCTACCACTTTTGTGTCAACTGCGGAGGGTTATTATCAGTTGTCCTAGTGCTAGCCCACCAGTTTGTTTACCTTGTCAACAGACTAATACCCAGATCATCCCTCAGCCCAGTGAGCGGATCATTTCTAGGGGTGATGGTAGACTGCCAACAACCCCTGAACCATCAGAGGAGCAACACCCACCTGCATTTGGTTTTACCACTTACATTGTATCTACCAGACTGAAGTATAAAGAAAACGGTGGTTTTTGATGGGAACACTTTGTGCCTGAGCTTTGTTTGGAGTTTATGTCTTGTCCATGAACAGAAGTTTTTAATCAGTTGGAGTCTCTGTCGGTGTGCGAGGATTTTGGAACAAAACTTTCAGTTTGTGAGTTCAGTTATGTGCCATCTCACGGGGGCCAGATTTTTGAACTTATGCCGCGACATGGATCATTTCCATTTGGTAGGTAAAATACATGTGATTTTTTTACTTTGTAAATCAGGATTTTTATGTAGATCTACAGACTGGGCAAAAGCAAAGAAAAGAGTTGATCTTTTGCTGTAAATAAAGAAGGTTGAGTCCAGTTATCCAGCATATTGAAAACCAATTTATTTTTGTGTTGTAAATGTCACATACAGTTGTGTAATTACTTTTTCAAAAAGGTATGCAAATGATACTTTTGCACTTGTTAATTACTAAGATCTTTTTTGTCTCCATGGTAAATCTCCAAGTTTCACAATCAATTCTGATGCAGATACATGTTAATTTCTCACATCTTTTGATTCAAACACATCCATATTTCCTGTCCTTCTCAGCTCAAGAGAAAGCGATGTGATTACATGAACATTTATGAGAATAAAATTCAGGCCTAAGAATGATAGCCTGGTACAAGGTTTTAACGTAATGAAACGGCTCATATGAAAGTCACATTCAAAACTGAGCTACAATTATTTGGTGTTTATTACGCCAAATAATTATTACTTTCTAGGATATTTTTGTTTGAATGTTTGAATCAAAAGATGTGAAAAATTAACTTGAGTTGAATGTACTGATATGTGTACGTATCTACATCAGAATTGATTGCCTACTGATTGTAAAACAATATGATGTCAGTCACTGTCAAATTGCCCAAATTAACTTTTTTTAAAACCTAAAATGGAAAAAAAATTCTAAGCAACTGCATGAAGAGCACGTCTACATTTAAACGGCCCATGCAATGTCATACAATCCTTCGAAATGCACCTTTGTGTCCCATTTTACCCTATTTTCAATCTTGGTTTTGCCATTTTCAAGGGTATTTTGGTGTTTTTTTTTTATACTGATCTGAATTCCATATTCGTGACCAAAAGTGTGATGTCATTTAGGGCAGAAACATCAATGTTACAGCTATTCAGCACCAAAGGTTACCCGAACTTCAGATATTTTACCGTTGTACCGGTAAATTTTCTTTTCTTTGGTGATTCATTGTTGTGTCAGTGAATGGCAGTAAGCCAATGAGCAAATGTTTCTCACAAATATTTTCAATAAGCAAATTTTGGGCTCACAATTTGAAGAGAAAACACCTTAGATAAACAGTGTCTTCCTGAATAGGCATCACAGCAACAGCACCTCCAGCTCTCCGGAAGCAGGAATTTCTAAAAGCATTTAAAAGTGCACTCCTCAATGAAATTAACAAAAAAGGGATGTCAAATGTTTTTCATACATTTAAGCAAAGTAGAAAGTTGCACAAAATATGTTCCAAAGAAAAATTTACTTCATGAAACCTTGACGGATTGTGTTCCGATGCCACAATGCCCAAAAGAAACTTCCCAAAAGTTGGTAGGATACATTATGTATGTCAGTTGATCATTTATCATGTGAAATACCGGCAATTTATTTGTCTGATATCTCACATGCATCTTCTGTGTATGACCCCAGACAGGATTTAAATAATGATTATTTTATTATCGCTTGTTATTTCAAGGTATTTAAGTTGTTGATTAATGGGACACCTCTGGCAGGGAATGTAGCAAGGTGAAGGGACTAACAACTATCATGAATAATCACGACAAACATTGATACCATCAGGGGTCTGTGGTGTCCAAAGATTAATCACAATAACGCACTGATAATATTTTGTCACTTGACTTTTAGTTGTGCTAACCTCAAATGAGATATTGATGTATAAACAGCCCATTCCTTATTGTCCAATCAATTACTTATTTGTATAACTGTTATACCGGTAAGATTTTAGGCTTTGCATGGTGGAGTATCAGTATCATTTCGGTTTGCAGTAACATCATATGGTACTGTCTCCTGATGATGACTAGAGCAGGCTATTCAAAACGTTGAGACCAAAGACAAGTTCTCTCAGAACTTCAAGCAGGACTGTTCTTATCAGAATTAAATCTACTTAGCCAAAGTTGACAATAAGCAGAACAACTTCTTTTCAGAAGTAAATATCTTCTGTATAATTGTTAATGTTATTATGCACAAAAAAGACTTGTGCACAAAAACAGATCCTACATGTACCTTTAATGACCCCTAACCCAAACCGAACCTACTCCTCCCCTCACCAAACTTTGTAAATTAGGGCTTTGCACCACGAGGAATGAATTTAGCCTATTTTGCCTAGAAAGAGGACTTGAAACGTTAGAGAGAGAAGTAACGTCCGATGATAACATGTCTCATTTGCAGGAATTACATGTACATCAGGTCTTTTATACTCCAATTTCATTGGTCTAGAATGGCCACATGTCCAGTCTGTAAAAATGAGAATTTACTTCATATATACACTGTGTTGCATATTAATGACCTCATATATAATGCACAATTTCATATACAACTGACCGTACAATTAATGAAGCACCAAATTTAAAGGACACTTGGTATTACTTCTGAATGTTAAAATAGTTTGATACAACATTTTGCTCAAAATAATTTCAATGAATTCTTTTACTTTAGAGTTAATCTAGGTCTTGTAACCCCCCCCCCTTGTGGGATATTTGCTCATTCTCATTGTGTGCTATTCTGAGATCAATTAAAGATTAATTAAGATTAAGTAAAGAAATGGTATGTTAAAGCAGCTTACAAAAAATGTCTCCGAGTCACATGGATGTAAGTGGAATCTGATACTAAATACTATAAGTAAAATAAGTTTAAAGGTTTCGCTGCGATCGAGGCCTGAAACTCTGATTTCTTCAAGCAAACTGGCATGTTGAAAGAACCAGGGTTGTTTTTCAAATAATCCTTTTAAAAATGGATTTTTTTTTTATGACTGGACCTTGGGCCCTCTCACAAAGGTTAAAAAGGTTATCGAAGTAGGAACAAAGACTACCGACTCCATTGTCTGTAGAATCAGCTTGCGGATCGCTTCTGATCTCCTTGTTCAGTTATTTACTTGACCTTCTTTTATTCAGCGATTTATATTACGATTTGTCAAACTTGGAGTTCAAGCCAAACAGATAAAAGGACAAACTATAATTTTGTTTGTGCCAAACCAAACACTAAGTAGCTAAAAAAAGTTGGATGGATAAATCTATAGATTTCTCGGGTAAAATGATAAAAAGTTTGCCTATACACCTTTTTGCTTAATCTTTGATTTTTTTTTTTTAAATCACGGTAAAAGCACCACTAATTACCAGAACAATTTGAAACGTTAGATTAAAAAATGGTATCCCCTGATGCAAATTTAAGATTTCCAATGGGTTGTTTAAAGGATCATGTACAGACTAACTTAATTTTAGGGTACATTAGAGCTAACCTGTTTCAGCTCCTTTACATTTTGCGAAAATACAGAAAATTATGCACAACTTTCTAGTGTCACATGAAATTTGGACTCCTATGAAATCCGGTGCCTTTTACCGTTTCATAGATGAACGTTCACAATCCTCATGTAGGCATGCGCAACACTACGAGTGAGTCAGTATTTCCTTAAAATGTACAACGCACTCACCATGCACTCACCACAGCTTGATCTGCACATCATTGTGCAGTGCGCGCAACGCGCACGCCAATCTCCATAAAAGGAGTTGCTTACATCTTACTCGCGAACTGGACACTCCATTATATAGCTTGAGGGGTGTTTCGAAAAACAAAAAATTAAACTTGTTGAACAAAATAGTTGGAAAATTTCAATTTGTGACTTGTTTCGACTTTTGGACAAAATTTTTTTGATTTCTTTTGACCGAAAAGGTATTAAAGAATATGAATTTTGACTTGGGTAATTATCAGCATTCCCGACTCCAACCAGTCTTAAACATAGTGTTTAACACCTCTCAAGCTCACATTTATTCCCGTATTCATTAATGCCTTTAATTCCTTCTTATAATCCTCACAATGCTGTCTTGTTCTGTTTGTACTTTACAGAGCTCAGCCGAGATATGTAGCTACCATGTGGACTGCTACATGTGACATGCCACGTGCACAACTGCTGTGTTAAAACACGACCGCATCTTTTGATAAACTTTTTAAGCTGCTTATCACGATAAACCATCTGAAAGGAAAACATCCCATTGCACGCCATATAAAACGTGCCATGGCTTTATTGCACCTGCATTGTGTGAATTTATGGATTTAGAGGATACAAGTTTAGTGACTGCACTCGGCTCAAGTACAGGGGTTTCATTGACTTGTTCATACAGCCAACCATAAGTGACGTACCTGTACATTTATGTGAACACTAAAGTTCTTGGATTGCTGCAAAGCATATTACTTGGATGCTGTAACTGCCACTGGAAAACTTTCAGTCTTCAGTTGGAAAACTCAATTTGTTTTCCATCAGAAAATGAAGACTGCTTATTCACAAATTGAGAGAATGAACTCTTATCCTAACATCACAATGCAGTTATACAATGAGACTGGCTCCCTGACCAACACGAGCTCCCCATTTTAAAACACAACACCCTTCAAACTGGACAATCTGAGGAGAACACCAGACCCTGTTACCATGTCTAGCCCGTCAAGCTTTGATGACCATAAAACGTACGGTGTGATCACAAACATGAATGCCGGGACTGGTAGAAAGAGTGCATCTGCTAATGAACTGCAACGGGGGTCAAACTCTAGAAGGAGATCGGACTCCGATTTAGACCACAAAACACTCCTTCAGCCTTCTCCTGAACACCACAGTATGATCAATATCGGGACAGAAAGTCTACTAAAGACATCTTATAACATAGCACCTCTGACTCAAGAAAGAATAAAGACCAAGAGAAAAGCAAAGCAAAGACATGACTCACTGAGTCCAGATTTGGAGATAGATGGATCGACGAGGAATCTTGATATTAATCGCAATGTCAGATCTGGTACCAGCAATTTGCACAGTCATGAGGAAACCCAAAAGAGAAAGAAACATTTGGACTTGCGACCGATTCAAAGAAACAGCCCCTACCCGCTCTGGAAGTTCAGTAAATCACGGGAGCCCCCTGAGACGGCGTTGGATGTCGCTTACAGGACAATTCTTGACTACAAGCAGCCGATAACTCTCCACAGGCAGCCCAAGGCAGACCGTCAGATGATACACTACGACTGCCTCCCAAGTATCAAGGTCTTCAGTGAGGAACATCAGCAGAGGCGAGAGGCAATGCGATATCAACTGAAGCAGCAACTACAGCTGGAGGACCACAGGAAACGACAAGAGATCCTAGAGATGGAACAGGACATCATCCCGGAAAGCGAACGAGAGGAAAACATCCAGAAGAGCATCTTCCTTCCTTCAGGGGAGGAGTATGAATTCTCAGAGGGTGATATCACCATGGCAACCTTACCGGTTCCAACCCAAAGAACCGAACGTAGGAGCTCTACCTCGAGTCATCATTCCAGTCGAAGCCTCCAGAAATCCAGTTCCTCAACACCAGTGTCATCCAGACGTAGCTCTCATGATGTAGGGCAAGCCAATACTACGCCTCTCTCTCTCTCCGTTATGCCTCCATCACCTTTGCCCTCAACAAAAGGATCAAAGCGTCGTCACTCTGTCAGTACTTTAGTCCGCCGAGAGAAGATGTTCAGTGTAGTCAGTCACTGGCCCGGTATGAGACCTAGTCAGAAGCTGTTTGAGATGGAGGAACCCTCTCCTGAAATGACTGATGAGGATACTTTTGTTGAGATGCCTACACCTCCACCTGTTCATGACGCGACACCTGTCCATCAGGCACATCATAGGAAGAGGAATTCAAGAATGCTGAAACATGCCGAGAGTAAGGCGGTGTAAAACAGGGCACACTCTCCAACCAAAGACATGATATGAACTGTACATTGGCAACGTTTGAAACTTGCTGTTCATGTATACAACAATTATCCATAATGGACATTTACATAAATATGTAAGAATTAATGAACTACAAACAAGTGTTAAAAAACCAAATCATATGTATATACATGTACATTGTAAATGTATGAGAAAGTGGGAGTGTAAAGACTCATCATAAACACAATTTTTCAGTGATAGCCTAAAGAAATGACATATAGCCTTATGTCAATGTCAATTCAGTTTTCAAATTCTAGGTTTATATGGTTAGGCCAAAAAAAAAAAATAGTTCTGCTTCCGATTACATGCCTTTCCAAAATAGGGTCGGTCGGTCGGAAATTATTTTTTTTTGCCAATTTTTTTTATGCAGCTTGAATGGGGTATTCAATTATATGCGAAGTTTTAGCCTGAACTATTTCTATTGCACTACGAAAGCTATACACGAAATGGCAGCAAAAAGTGAGTAAAACCTACCTTTAATTATTGTCAATATATTTACGTTCGATTATTTCAAAAAATAATGAAAATTCAGGCCGTTCGCACCATATGCACAACGCTAGTCAAGACGCGGGGAGCTGGCCAAAACTCCGAGGTGTGTGATGCGTGCGTGTGTGGCGAGCGGCCCACCATGGGCCGACAGACCTGTTTTTACCGTCAACAATTTCGGGAAACATGCGGCATGTATCACTCCAAATACGAGTAGTGCGATCTCAAAATGAACTCTTGAACACAGAAAATACATACACAGACAAGCTAGATCAATTCTGAAAATTAACTTGCAAAAATGTTCTTTCTCCATCGGTGTTTTCTTGGCATTTTTACGATGTCGAATCCGACCAGTTGACAGTGGCCTGCACTGTACTGATAGCGCGCTATCGGTCACATAGCTAGCTATGGACTGGTTACCGCATTTTCATTATGTCTGGCCCATGCGCGGCGCGGCGGGAACCAGTCGTCGCCACATGATTATAGTCACCGTGCGTGACTCGACATCGAATTGCGAAGTAGTTATATCGCGAAGCGAATTTGTAATAACGGAGGTTTCTTTTGAAAAAAAAGCGAATGTAAGTAAGAAAACAAATAAATACAAGCATTTTTGGATGCAAAGGGTTGTTGAGAGGTATTTTGTGAAGAAAGAAAAGATAGATTTTTTTGTTTTTTTGAATTGCCGATAAAATGTTTAGGGTCGCAGCCTAAAAATAGGGTCGGTCGGGTAACCGGAAGCAGAACTATTCTTTTTTTTGGCCTTATTTATTATTTCTAGGGAGTACACAAAAAGACCATGCTATGATGAGCTTTGTATCATGAGACTGGTTTGAAAAAAAAGTATGTAATTTTGAAGTAAATTTATTTAAAATAAGCCACAACGGGAAACTGACCACATAAAATATAGGTGCATTATAATAATTTTAGATTGAACAAAGAAATTGACCAGACAAGGGTTTGAACCTGTAACCTCCAGATTGCAGTTCCTGTGTTCTACCAACTGAGCTATCCAGCCCTATGTTGGCGGTTCCCTATTTTTCACTGTTTTTGTTCAATTTCTTCATTCAACTTTAGAATTAAATGTTTTACTTATACTTAATTTTCAATATTATATAAGAGGTTACATGTACACTAAAGAGCAGCTTATATATTAGCCTATCAATCCTGAAAATATTTGTGTCTGAAAAAAAAAAGCTTACATTAAAACAGCTGGGCGCATCCATGTTTCTGTACAAACTTAAATGGAAAGCTCAAAATGCTGCATTTATCTGCATATTTGCATATGAAACCAAAAAAAATATGTAATTGAAGCCAATATGCCAGAATTCCATTCAAGTGTTTTAAAAACTATAAAGGTTATATCTTACCTGCCCCATCTTCTCCTGGATTGACCAAACCCCTCTGATGGTATACCGACATCTTGGGTTCAGGTAGGTATACAGCTGAGCAGATTGGTTGTAATGGGACGGCCAACCAGACGGCAGCTTGAGAGAGAGTTTGTTGATCTGACCGGCCTTTGCAACAGAAAACATATCTTGGCCTTCAGCCCATGGGATGTGAAGACGAAGGGTTGTGTTGGCATCTAGAAGGCCAAGAAACGATTTGCAGGAAATGAAACATATGGCTCTTTGATACACTTGTTGCTCATTTAAAGTACATTAACTGTTACTGGTTAGGCCCCCTTTGCACATGGCTGCGACCTTTGTACCACCTATGAGCGACCACAAAGTGGCCAGGACGCTCAATGGTCACTTAAACCCAGAAAATCCTGTTTCTATGTAACTTCTCTAACCTTGAGCCTCCTTGAACTGCCAAAACTGAAATTTTCGGGTATTTTCATGTCGAGCTATGAGCAACCTGTGCGTCCGCTGAGCCACTTGCCTGCCTCCCCTGTGCTTCCCCTGTGCAACCTACGGCAACCAATGCCGAATGGATGCACAGCGGTCGCCACAGACATCGTTCAATGCACGCTCTTGGACGGCCAAAGGAGGCACAAGGGAGGCAGAAGCATATCGCCCAGATTGACGGCAAAATTTGCAATTGAACGGATCTATTACGACCATTTGCCGACCATTGTGCATCCATTCTGCAGACATGGCAATGCTTGTTTCTCCCTTCTGCCTCATTAGAGCCACCTTTGAGCAACCAACCTCCTCGGCGACCTTTGTGCGACTGTTTTGAACATGTTTAAAAAATTACGGCGACCATGGCAATGTCTGAACATCCTGTGTACCACCTTTGAATGACCTAGGCAACCATTCGGCCTCCTTTGAGCCTCCAACGGTGACCTGGCCAGTTTTATGGTCGCACAAGGGAGGCTCAAAGGTCACAGCCCTGTGTAAAGGGGGTCTTAGAACTTTAAAAATAGTACATGTAATTGAACATTTTTGTAGAGTAGTGACATAAACAAAAGACAAATGTACACATCAATGTGCATCATTGCTCCTTTACATCATCGGTCACAAACAATGAATGATTCATCATAAAGCTGGCAGATAGTTTACCTGAGTGAAGGTCCGTGTCGCAAGTAAGAGGTTCAAGACGAGCTTCATAGGCCAAGTGAAATAAGTTAAAGTCGAGCATTGTGATGTTGTAGAATGTAGCTCCAACATCAGTAAATTCCAGCACTATACTGGCTGATGCTGCAAGCAGAAAAGGGATAAAAATGACCAAAGAAAAGTCCCTATAAGTTCTGAGTTTATAGAACTAACATCCATTTCAGAATGGAATACAGAAAGTGTGTAGAACAAAATTATAATTACGATTTAAATTTAATTACATGAACGTTGAATGAGCAACTGTTGCAGTCCTTGGAACAGATTCAGAATCTAGTCAATGCAAAATCAATACATAATATTTGCCTGTCTTTCTACAAGTCTTAAAGGTCATTTTACAAACTTGGGGTCCGCTTTTTTCCTGTCTCTGTTACAGCTGACATCTGTGATTTTATAATTCTGATGCATTCTTCAATGCAGTGATCCTCCAAGTGATTTTTGACCCTAACCACCCCAGCCCTTCAAAATCCAACTGCATGTTTTGTTGGAATCTGTTGGGGTGAGTTCTGCACTAACCCTAACAGAACTCAACCTATCAAACCCCAACAGCATGTATTGTTGGAATCTGTCTGGATGGGTACAGTACCCCTAAACTGACAGTCTTTTACATTGGGTTGGCACACATCCAGAAACTAAGTCAGAAATATGTGTGCACAGTTTCCCATATGGTGTTGGAATTTGCCAGGATGGGTATGGTTCCTAGTAAATCATGCTAGGGAGTTAGGGTTAATAAACTGATTATGCTTTACATGGGGTCAGGCATACCACCATAATCAGAGTCCAACAGTTAGGGTGTTGAGTTTACCATATGGTGTTGGATTTTGCAAGAGTGAGGAAGGTTCCTAGTAAATCACTCAAGGGGTGAGGGTTAATAGCAAACTACATACTCAACGAAAATAATTGTTTGAAGTCATTCTTAATGACACTTGAATAGCAAATAACAAGGAACCAAGGTAACAGGGACATGAAAAAAGCCACAGTTTGGACCGTACATTTATAGAGTAACCAAGATGATTGAATCCTGAATACTATGTGGTTTGGGCTGACTGTGTGATGCTGGTCAGATAGGGATGTGCCGTAGCTTTGTCATTTGATCTCAGGAAAATGTTCTCATAATAAAAACAATTGATCTTTATCGAGAGAGTATTTCGGAGGACAAATCAATGATGTGTTGATACAATTTGTTTTTCTACAGAGAAAAAATAATCAAAGTTAATCTTACGTCCTGAAAATGGTCCAGGTAGGGTGAAATTGACATGTCTTTGGTTCGTGTCATACAGCTCTGCAGTTACAGGAACCTGTAAAAAAATAAAGAAAAAAGTATGGTGCATAAATCAAGAATATTTATTATCAAGTTCTGAGATCTACCCAAAGTAACCCTACAGGCATGCAACTGGAAAGTAACTTTAGAAAAAGAGGAAATTTAAGGTTTTGAAACACTTTATACAGTGTTTTTTTTCCCAATTTTTTTAATGGCATGAATGTCAAGTGAAAAATGAGGATATCAGTTGATCTGAGGAAACGTTTATTCCTTATCGGTGTTTGATTCATTGAATCAGAACGACACCTTCAACACAACAGACTTCACTTTTGATTCTCTGCATACAGACAGTATCATTCAGCCAAGTGACACAGCATTTTTATCATCAACATCATCCTAACATCTTTTACATTCTTCTGTGTTCACCATGCTACCTCACATTTCAGAAATGGCCACGATGGCTCTTAGCCCACCACTGTTGAGGGCGCTATTCCCCAAAAGTCACTTGCATTTCCCTTCACATACTTCCGTAACTTTGTTTTCCATAAAATACCTTACGTTTTCGTCCACGCACGATGGTTTCGAGCATTCCCTTTTCAATTACAACTTTTTAAAACTTGCAAACAATACATATATGTGACTCCAACGGGACGACGGGTGCCACGCAAAGCGAATCATGGTAGTCGCTAGTTCAACACAAGATGCTTACTGTCCAATTTACTAAACAGCTAATTTGCACTGCTGCCATCTTAGAGGTTGCTCTTATGCATTCATTGATAATGAAGATAACAAAGCACACCCCAAAGATGGCTGCTGAACGCAATCTATCTATACATACTGCTAAGCCAGATGGCACCTTCAACACATTACAAGCTTACCGTCTGATTTACCAAATACATACCGCTTTGCCAGATGGCACCTTCAACACAACATGCTTAGCGTCGGGGTAATCATCTAGTTTCACTACTACTTCTTTCATATCAGCCTTCAGCGGAGGGATCAACCTTGCTGTGGCTGAAATGTCCACCCCTCTGGAGCAAGAAGTGGAATTGCCCTCCTGACACACAAACAGCCAATCCCTGGGCTCAATGCCTGCTAAGGCCACAAATGCATCCTGGGTGTTGGACTGTTCCACTGGGAAGAGGTAGTGTGTGGTTTTCTTGGCGCGCCTGCCGACGGAGTGTTTCTGTGAATTCGTCGCAAGCTCAAATGTAGCACCTTGGAGGGAAAAAATACATTGATTAACTGAAAGGCGAGCTACTTCTGTGGATTGAAAAAAAAAACCACAAGAACACCCAGTCGTTTTTTGCTATGCTTCCGAGGATTGGCTTTGTGTTTTCCTTTGTCCCTGTAATATAACACTCTCCCATAGACTAAGCACACAAACCTGCGTTCGAGGACAATAGGCACCTTCCTTCGAGGATCAATGGCCCCTTTGTGCTCCTTTTGTTGTCTGTCCTCAGGCGTAATGCCATGCAGGAACACAAACATTCATATTACAACTGAAACACTCCAGCTAACTCAAAATAACTCACCTTCAAACGTCTTAGGTTTTGCTTCAGCGAAACTAAATTTCTCCTTCCCATTATGTTCCACAAAGTGATGTCTCAGAACCTTCATGCGAAAGTCAGGATCAGTGGATATCTGTGAGAAAAGAAATCAATCAAATCAGTTGAATCATTCCTGCTGTCACTCCACTGACAACTTGATACATATATCTGCAATCAATGTCAATCATGTATTTAATAATTGAATGATGAAGTCTTTTGATGTCAACTGTTAAGATGTCTGCACTAGGGCTGTCCCGTACATACCGAATATTCAAATATTTGATCATCAGCAAAATATTCGAATAGCTTTTTGCCAGTTTGAATATTCAAACACAAAAAAAGCTACGCAGGCATCATGACTGTTACGTTATTTTAAATCATACTGTTGGCCGCTTTGTTGTCAGATGCCACTTTTTTATTGGCGGTAACTTTTTTGGTCGACAGCAATTCATTGTTCCTATCCTTTTAGCATGTTAAATCCATTGACAGTTACAAAATACTGCAAAAATATTCGGTCAATCGTAGTTTTACATAATTGAATACTAAATTATTCGAAAATGGGCAGCCTTAGCGTGCACTAGTCAGCAGGAGGTCGCGGGTTCGAGTCCTGCCCGAGAGAGCTTGGCAATATTTTCTCCCACAAGCCCTACGACAACATTCAAGTTTCCAGCGGTTTGAATTTTAACTCAGTGAAGGGCAAAACTTAGTGTACAGGCCTCAGGACAAAGCTTCAGCATCAAGCCAGATTCATGGCAGCATCTCAACACAGACTGTTCATTCAATCGACAGCAGACGAATACTTTTTAAGGATGATGAGATGGGGTACCGATTACATAACGAGCAGGTGGATACATGGACTTTATAGGAATAACATGAACTACCTGTTTGGTTTGACTATCCACCATCTGAAACAAAGCTCTCTTACTTGCTAGCACCAACTCTTTGCACCTGTAAAGCAGAAAGACAAGAAACTAGTTTCAGATCTGCTTCATAGTTACAAGCTTTTAATATATTAAAATCAAACATTAGGATGAAAACGTTGAACACGTACAAAAACTTACATTTTCAAGCAAACTTAAAACCTTGATCCTGAGTGATTGATCCATTGCAACAACTATAGCACAGTTCATACTGCACTCCACATATTGCACACAGACACACTATATTATTACATGTTCCACTTGCACTCCTGAGATAACTAGTATAATCCTAAAATCAGAGCCAATTTTTTATGCAACAGTAATAGTTTCTGAAAACGTACGATACAACACCAAACTTACCACACCACACACTGATGATCGGTTGACAGCCACACTCTAGGTACAGACATGGCCTGAGCAAAACAAATACAGAATACTTCAGTCAGGAATCAGTTTACCTAGTTTGAGATACGCTCAAGTGAATACAATCAATAGATCTAACACAGGAATTCAGTAATATTCTCCAGTGGACTCTTCGTGAAAAAATAACATCAGAGACACGTATTAAGACAAGTCTAGCCTTGTAAAGCTGGCCCCAGAGCACACAAAATTCTCTTCCATAGATTCAGAATGGCTATTCACTGGACGTCTTTTCATGCATCTGGTCTGCACAATGGGCCGGATTTTGGCCAGTCACTGGTGTTAAGGGGTAATCCTATATGATAGCACTGCTCGGCTCCCTTCACAAGACACAAGTGACACTGGGGGAGTCAGTCGGTCAGTCAGTCAGTCAGTCGGGGAGGGAGTCAGTCAGTCAATCAGTCGGGGAGTCAGTTGGAAAGAACTTGGTGGTACTTTTGTGAGCTTTACCGTCAGTCAGTCAGATAAGTCGGGGAGTTAGGTTGGTTGCTCAGGGGAGTCAGTCAGTCAGTCAGTCAGAAATGATTCTAGGCGGCCCTCTGGGACCAGCAAAACTGTTACTATCAACCAGCATCGTTAATGTTTTTACACATTGAAAAGTTCATTATCTGCTCTAGCAAAAGAAAGACTTCTCTGAATTCAATTTTTGCAACCTTTGGTATCATAGGAGTGGTGATGCTGCATCCATACAGTTGTTTACAAAGTGAAGGTGAGCATACTTAAAAACGTTTTCTTTACAAGCTTGAAGGCAATAAGGGATGTAACGCTGGATGGAATCATTGCTGAACAATGCTACTTACGTTGACGCTAAGACCTCGATTTGGTGGCACGATATCATGCAGTGACGTCAAGCCAGATCGTACCATAGTATCGCGATGTCCACCACTGACAGACAACAGTGTTACATCCTTCAATCCATCGCCATGTATATGCTCCTTCCAATACTGAAATATAATCAAGAACTTTTTACACCTAACCATTTCCAAACTTAAGAGTAATAACAAAAATCACTAAAATAATTATATGTTGCCACAAGTTGTCATGGACCAAACAATCATTCTACATGTCCCTACCTAGCTCCCAGAATAAAACATCATAAACTCAGTGTAATATTGGAGCTGTAGAAGTTTCTCTTATTATGGAACAAGTATTCTCTCAAGGGTTAAATGGAGAGTTGGGGGAGACAAATAAGCCAGTGATTCCATACTTGGGACCTAGGACCATCATAAAATGATGACAGTAGATGGAGCTTTGTGGCCAATTTTGCGAGCTCCCGTGGAAGAGACACACCGCGTAAGCTGCAAAGTACGAACGACAAATTTGATTCTGAATCTAAACAGACTGTCTTCACATGGGTGCCAGACATGCGGCACCAATGCGTCCATCCCATTGGGATGTCTGTAAAAGAAAAGTTAAGTCTGCCACAGGCCAATATTGCCTAACAGTTTATCTCAAGTTTTCTTGGCATGAAACAACTGAGAATATTATGCTAGTCCATTGCAGGTTACTCCCAGCTAATGCCGGTACCCATTTATACTCCTGGGTGGAGAGAGGCAAGAGGGGTGAGGTGGCTTGCCCATGGACACAACATTTAACCAGCAGCTGGATTTGAACCCCTGACCCTCTGATTATGGCTTTGTGATGTCAGTGACCCCTCCCAACTCTCCCTCTGTAACTATTGAGGGGGTTCTTGCGCACCAAGTCTATAGAATTGCCCTTCAGGTCCATCAACGAGGCATTAGAAAATCGACATCTTGAATGAATACACTACCTTGTTGACTGTCGAATAGAAGTCCACGAGGTATTTATCTGCCCCAATGACTGGGCTTACATGAGGTGTAGCCTGGGTGATGACAGTATGTACTAGACTTTGCTGGAAGTCTGGTAGAGTGAAGAGTGCTCTGGCAATCACACCACCCTAGGCAAATGACCACAAAATTCTCAAATCAAAATTGACAATTGTTTCACTTGTATGAATACATATTGAAAAATCTTCTGAGAGAACTGTTGTGGTCTACTTTTTGGTAAAAATGGCACGTCCCAGACATGAGTATGAAGTGAGTTTGCGTCCAGGTTAAAACCCTCCCTTTCTGGCTGGCAAATGCAACAAAGCCAACCCAGCAGTCAAATAATTCAAGTGACTGTTTTAAACATAAAGCAGGATTGACTGACTGTTACTGTTATGAAACTTAATACAGCTTTGCTGTGACTGAAGGCGCTCGACAAGCCAGCATATATCTACTTATCATTTGCTATTCTATGTTGATGGAATATAACTAGTCACGGTGCCTATAGAAATATGATCTGACTGGTGGTGACTAGCCTGTGTAAAAGGCATGGCAGGGGAACAAAATTTGAACAAAAGAAGGGTTTTAATAAAAACTGCCCCTCAAAACATGTCAAAGCAGAACTTGTAGTTTTCAAAAAAAAAGTCAAATCTCACTGAAGTATGGATTTAAAGCAAGACTCTCGTGAAGGCAGAAATTTTAAGTTTCTCTGTACTATTTTTAAGAGTCATCCCTCCATTGTTTTTAAATTGCTATTTTTCTAGCAATACAAAAAACATTCACATCTGAATGAGACATTGAACAAAGAAATCCACCACCGTTTAGAGATGGAAATATTTGTTGTACAAATTTCGATTTACATGTATTTGAGGCCAAACAATAATCCAGGGGTATCTTTCGCGTGTTGTGGGCACAAAAACAACCCAAAATATAAGTGAATTTTAAGATAGCATCTTTACATGTGATGATGATAAATATATGACTACTATTTCTTATTAAAATTTAAAAACGAAAAAAGGCTTACCATGGAGTGACCGACCAGAACAACACTTGTAGGTGGATTTTTCTTGTGTTTATACAATGTTAGAATATGCCTGATGCATTCATGCACATACTCTGGAGGAAAGAAAAGAATATCATACAAAATGGGTGTTGAAAACAAAACATATGAAATGTCAGAATGATAGACTTATATCAGGGCAACAATTTTAACTGCACCAAGCAATATCTATGGGTCATTCTATAAATTTGGGGTCCACTTTATCTCCTGTCCCTGTTACATCTAGCGTCTATGATTTTCTAATCTGATGCATTTTTTAAAAGAGTGATTATGAACAGCAAACTACCTACCCTAGAAATAACAATTTTTCTGAAGCTATTCTTAAAGTAAGAAGATGAAAAAGCCAAATCCAGAAGCTGATGTTTGCCCCCCCCCCCCCGCTCTTAGGTTGTATAGCGCCCTCGCTAGTTAATGAACAGGGCAAATAGACCATGGCATACTGACCTGTTTGTTGCTTAAGTGTACCTCCGTAAACTCCCGTCAATTCCTCGTTGAAATCGATGGTGAAGTAGTTGAAGTGGAAGCTGTAGGCCTGGGCTTTCCTCAATGCTGCAGAGCCTAGAGAACGCACTGTGAAGTGGCAGAAGGAGAAATGTAAGAATCCAATGTTAAGGACCTGCTAAACAAAAAAAGACAGCTAAGCAAATTGTAACCTGTCACCACTAAATGAGCTTAAAGGGATTATACATCATTTGCTTTTGCTGTAATTTTCAGAAATGGATGGAATTGGGGGGTTGGAAATATATAGCAAATATAGTTACACTGACTTTTTTGAGGTTTTGGGTTCGAAAATGCTATAAAAACCAAGAAAAACAATCATTTTCCTGTAGTCTGGTTCCCTGACTCCATTTAAGAAGAAACAGAGCAGTTTACATATATTGGGGAATTGTAAGGTCATGGAACCAGTCTAGCTGGCTTGTACCCGTTCATAGGTGTGTAATCGATTGCAAACAAGTGCGATGGTCAACTGGGGCCAGTATTTGAAAAAAAGCCAGTTTTTTCCAACACTGATCGGCCGATCTGCGTTGGAAATTGATTCAAAAATACCACTTTTCTTGAAAATGACAGTATACCAGGTGCCATGATTTTACAGGATGCTTTACACGGTCATTCACTAACAGTCCAGCAAGGTATTTCAAAATGATTTGGTAGTTTTATTTTTTGATGTTTGCAAATGTTGTATTTTCCCTTTAAAGTCAGATTTGGCCGTGTTGCCGTGCAGTGGGGCAAAGCCCAAATTTAAAGAGGTGGACAATTTTTTTGTTTCCAGTTGAACCTTGATCACTAAGTCCTGTTCTACCTTTCTCCAATTTTGTTCGTTCTGTCAAACATCTTTAAAAAACAATTCATCCCGTTTTTATTACCGGTATGTCGTCTTTCATTCAGTGCAACAGAACTGTAGGATTTTAAATGCCATTTTCTTGAGTATCAGTTTTACAACTTCAAGTAATTATTACTTGATGGTCTATATTTCTGTTAGTGAATTTAGTAACCCTAAATGTTGTAGTCCTACATTGTACATGTATACCATTGAAAGCTCTTGCTCTGCAGAATCCAGATATCTCAATTCTCAAAAGGCCCTTAAAAGTAATTTAGTAGTGACAGGTCATAATTTATTTGGTTAGCAAATATCAGTCGAGTAGGAGTCCCAAGCAATCAGATGAACAAAATGTTTTTGCAGCTTAACACACTTCTGTGTTTTACAGCTCCCTGACACTGACGCAAGGGAAAACCAATTGATTGACTGATTTGATTATTTATTTAGTTTCAGGCATACAATGAAACAAAAAATTCTCAATGAAAACATTAAATAATGCATTACAAAAAAGGACTGTTTCTATTCTCATCCTTACTGGATAGTTTGTGTGGCCAATTTACCGACCACAAACTTGTTATTGTCACATTTGGCCAAAAGAAGTATATTTTGAAAAAACAGAAGTCTTCCTATACAAGTTTTTGTGTGTATTATTGGTAATTAAATAGTTAGACAGGTTAATTAAACAGAATAACATTTAAAGATATTCTAAACTGAACAAATTCAGTATAAAAGACCGACAAACAGACATAAAAAAAAAATTCTACCTACATGTACCTACCTGGATATTTTTTAGGGCGTTCCCATAAATACACAAAAAAATATATATTGACCTAAACCTGTTGAAGTTATAGCTCAGCGGCTTCAGCACGTTTCAAGAAAAAACAGAGAAAACTCATGCACACAAAGTTTGAGGAATCGTAACTGAATTCCTCTGCCAATGAACATCAAAAAAGTGTGTCTACAGGCACACTTTTAATGTTACCTTAATTAAATGTTTCTTCCAAACAGTAGCATTTCAGCCGGAATAATTTCAAAGGGTGTTTGGGACAAGGTACGTGCTTTGGCAATTTACCAATGTACCTAGGTGCCTTGAAGTGTATAATGCAAAGTAGTTTGGTATCCGCAAATAAAATATGGATATCAGGATATCAGCAATATTATCAATCTGCATGATCTGTCTCTTTTTCAAATTGCTAGTCCACGATCATGTTTTTGTATACAATTCTTTCTTTGCAGAGAGTTATTACCTTGTTTATAGCTACCAGCATTTCCGGGTATAAAAAGGACAGGTATGCCATTCAGTTTCAGGTTTCTGCAAAGAATAATAAAAAAATAGTGCATGTAAATTCACAGAGATAATCAACCACAGGGACAATATGAGGGTTCATTATTCATATCTGTAATAAATGCAAATCAGATATCTCCCAATGTAAGCAGACTTAAAAATTAACACACGTATAGTGAAATCTCGATAAGTTAAAACTTTATTATTTATTTATTTATTAGATGATTTCTCAGGAACTAGACAATTTAAATATAAAAATATAAGGCAGTTTTAAAATTCAATTACATAAAAATTGCTAGACACGACAACGAATATCAAAAGGACAGACTACAAAAGGTTACTATACACGAAACTATCAAACAAACACATTAAAACACATTCGACATTAAATTGAACCATATGCAGGCCTGAAGGATTGCCTAAAAAGCTTTATAAAAAGCTTGTCGAGAGGCTCTCCAACTACAACAGTACAATTTGATTAGACACAGAAACAAACAAAAACAAAGGACGACAAACAGACAGACAGGCACAAGTTCACGCACACATAAACAAGCAAAACAAACATTAAAAAAAACCAAAAATAAAAAAAATAAAACAAAAAATTAAAAATCCAAAACTCAGGGGGATGGGCTCAAATTTTGAGTTGAGCAGAGTCTTGAGTTAGCAAATGGTTTTTCTTTTCAACAACAATTGACTGGAATAAGTTCTTACTTTGAGTTAGATGGGTTTTTCGAGCAGGTTTTGACTTAAATCCAGATTTCACTGTATGTTTATCAAGCAAGTGCAGTAAAGCTGTAAACACTTTCAGGAAAACTCTACATGTACAAGTACCTACTACCACCATGAGCTATCGGAATGCTTGTGAGAGAAAAAAACTAGCTTAGTCCGGAAATTTGGTACTCTCAATAGGCCTACTGTGTATGGCATGTATGAGTGTCCCAAAACTTAAGGTATTGAAAACATGCAATGCAAGAAAATAGACTGGCACATGAAACAACCAGTCCAACAGCCCCTTAATACTGTAACGGACAGTCTATGCACACTTTTGTTGTCATTGCGTTCTAGCACTAGTGCTCCGGTGGAGGGGCTCCGGCGGCGCGCACCTGACCTGGTTTTGGGTCTGGCTAGCGCGCGCTCCGGAAATAGGCTCTACAAATAGGTTGGCTCAGTGGGGTTCTTTTGTTCAATTGCGCGGGAAGAACTTGGCTGGATTCAAGGGTTGGGTAAAGTTGCTACATTTGTATACATTTGTTCAGATTGTGTGTATGTCTATGCTGGGAATTGATCAGTTGCAGTTCTGGTAGCGGTGTGGCAAGTTGCCCGCAGAGTCCGCTTGGCGAAATAAATGAGATCTTCCTTCAGAGTTAGAAATCCCGTCTGTCTGTCCCCTTTTCTTGCGTTTGGCCGGATTTGGCGGACAAGAGCCCAGTAGGATCCCGCTACAAATGGTGGCAGCGGTGGGATATTGACGGGATTTTGGACCAACTGGAAATGACGGAAAGCACAGCCGCAGATGAGATCGTGGACGCCATCAACGATGTCATCATTGACGTTCTGAAGGTGGGAGACTCCTTGGAGCGGCAGATTTGTGGATCAGCCCATTCCTCGGACAGAAGTAATCCACAGGCCACTGGAGCAGCGGTAGGTGTGTTGCAGAGGATCAATAAAATGCTCGGCGAATTGGAAGCGATGTACAGCTCCGATGATTCTACCAGTGCGGATCAGGATGAAAATGAACGACGAGCAAGCCTGTTCAGCGGTCCGGGGGCAGAAGTTGATGTTAGGCCGGGTTGTCGCGTGAATCGGGAGACCACGAGTAGGGAGGCCGCTACGAGCGATGATAGCCCTGCTGTTGACGTGGAGCCCCGTCCCGTGATACTGGCGAGCATGGCGGCTGTCAGGGCTTGAATTGAACGACGGCCACGACGGCCAGTGCCGTCGTTGCCTTCTTACTGGCCGAGGTGCCCCACAAAAAATCCCTGTCTTCACGGCCAGTTTTGCCTTGCCCCATAATTACCTTGGCCGTCGTGCCCTTTTTGCAAAAACATCTATCAGCCTATTAAAACCACTACAATCCTTGATTCCAGTTGTTTTTCCACACATTGACAATGTATTTCGATGCCATGCCAGCCCGATCAGTTGTCTTAATATCTCGCCGAATCAATCACACGCGCGCAGTACGGCCGTGGCCGGCCGGCCAAACGCCGGCGATTCCCCACTCACGATGTACACACACGTACATGTACACTGACAACTGAATCTCCAGTTCCTGTATGTGCCGATACTTCAAGTAGCGACACCCCCGCCGCAAAAATATATGTCTGTATTCGTAGACACACATACCAGCAGGAGTAAGTACGGCAGATCTTACGTGCAGTCAACAGACTTTCTTTTTCTCAGTGCTTGCATGCGCGGTACATACAGAACACATTGATGTTCGTGTACGAGGCAAACGAGCTCGGGGCATAGTAAAAACACGCGTGCACATGGCGTTCCGAATTCCGATTGTCAAAAGCGGACATTGTAAATGGCGATCGTGTATTAATTATGGGCCCGATTCCCCAAGAGAACAAAATCAACTTTTAAGCCACATTAAAAACATGCAGGTAGGTTATAGATAGAGGGAAGGGTTTCGAATTTTTAAGGGGAATTTGGAGGGAAAACGACAACGAAAAAACGCAACACGAAAATAGAGATGGCGATCGCACGTCACCAACCATAAAACCGCTTACACAAAACGTAATTTCTATCCCCAAAAAGTGTTCAAAATTACAAAACAGGTGCCATATAAGCTGAGAGAAGTCTGCTTTAGGTTGAAAAGGTAATTTTTTGAATGATAAAAACACCTATGACTCAAATTTGATCGAAACTAAAGAGGGGCCATAAACTACATGATCGCCGATATGAATTCGCATTTTTTTTTAGCCGGCCTCTGTGCCCCTTCTGCAGATATTAGTTTGGCCTTGGTGCCCTCCCAACTGGCCTTGGTGCCCTCTATAATTTTGCTCCATTCAAGGCCAAAGTGGCCTTGCCCTAAAAATTCCCAAATTCAAGGCCTGGGCTGTCCATCGGATCGAGGTTCGTGGATGCACTGACTTTTCCAGTCCTGATCCAACTGCTGCGGAGAAATTTAGCTGCACATCGATAGCTCCATCGTTGCGGACATCTCCATCGATGCACACTGATCTACCGTTGTGGACAGCTCCGCTGGTGCATGCCGATCAGCCGGAGCACGCTGAACTCATCGACCGCCGTACTTCCGGGACAGCAACTCAGACCACGGACAATCGACCACAAGACACTGACCTTCATGTTCAGGTGACGGCAACCGAGCCGGAGCGGCACTATCCCCCGGCGAAAGCAGCCCCGCTGGAGCAAGCAACGACATTGACTTTCAGACCGCAGGTGCACGTGACAGGGACAAGAACGGTAAACCAACAGACTGCGGATCCGGCGATACAGAACGCATCAAAGAAGACGAGGCCGAAGGTACAGGGAGTACCACAGAAGACAGGATTTCCGTTGATGCAGGGAGCATCAAAGGCTGGGAATCCGCCGGTGCAGGGTGCACCACAGAAGACAAGGCTGCCGGAGAAGACAACAGTGCGTGGACAGACACCACGGAAGACAACGGGGCCAAAGCAAGGTTGGGGAGTCAACGACCAGGTGGCAGGAGTACAGCGATGTGACCTGTGTACTTGGCTGAAGACACTCAAGCTTGTAAAATGCAACACAGACAGAGACTGGAGAGAAGTTCTCTCTTGGATGGACATTGTTTTGTGAAATAGTGAGGACATAAAGGACAGTTTCCAAGTGAAGTGAACAAGAAAAAAAAGAGAAAAAAAACTGTAAAAGAAGTGTTGAAATTGTTGTAAGGTAGTCGTCACGGTTTGTTGTATCATCATGTTTGATTCTGTGCACCAGTCTGGGGACTAGAATAAACGCTGATCAACTTCCATTGAGGACACCCATTGATAAACAAAGTAAAGTGTTTGATTTCTCATGTTGTTTCCAAAATGTTTCCCTGTTGAAGAGGTTGTCATCATGGATTGCTGGATTAATGTTTGATCTGAGTAACCATTTTGGGGACCAGATCAACGTTGCTCCACATCCTTTGAGGACACCCAATGTTGGGTTAAAGAAAAAAAAGGATCATGTAAAATGTGTTGTATATGTGCTCCTATTCAGGAGAATAGGCCCAATTTAAGGAGGGGGTAGTGTAACGGACAGTCTATGCACACTTTTGTTGTCATTGCTTTCTAGCACTAGTGCTCCGGTGGAGGGGCTCCGGCGGCGCGCACCTGACCTGGTTTTGGGTCTGGCTAGCGCGCGCTCCGGAAATAGGCTCTACAAATAGGTTGGCTCAGTGGGGTTCTTTTGTTCAATTGTGGGGAAGAACTTGGCTGGATTCCAGGGTTGGGTAAAGTTGCTACATTTGTATACATTTGTTCAGATTGTGTGTATGTCTATGCTGGGAATTGATCAGTTGCAGTTCTGGTAGCGGTGTGGCAAGTTGCCCGCAGAGTCCGCTTGGCAAAATAAATGAGATCTTCCTTCAGAGTTAGAAATCCCGTCTGTCTGTCCCCTTTTCTTGCGTTTGGCCGGATTTGGCGGACAAGAGCCCAGTAGGATCCCGCTACAATACTGAATCGATCAACTGTGTCAAAATAAATATCTGGTACCGGTCTCTATTCCTACACATCTCTCCATAGTCTGCATTCAGACTACTGAAGAGGTCAGTCGTTTCAAATAGCTGGACATGTACCAGTCTGGTCTTAGGTTTCAAATTGAAATCACTTGTCTTCAAACTCAGGTGCAAAATATTAAAGAAAAGTCTCCTTAACGGAATTTAAATTTAGACTTCAAACTTGGCTGGTGAAATACTGAGGACCTTGTCTTTGCCTCATGACAATTTGGAGAATTTTGCATCAAATATTTAACTTAAATATTCCTAAAGCGAAATTCCATATTACAAAAAAGATATCAGTTTTACTTCAAAATGCAACCGGGAAGTCACCCCCCAAAAAGAGGAAATTCCAAGTTTTAAATACAAGGCTGTGTGCAGAGTTTTTCAAGTTGTAATGGCATACAAGAGAAGTAAAAACAGGGGGACACAAGGAATATCAAGGAAATCTTGGGTATTTTTACATGTACCTAGATTGCTTGAGGTAATCTCCCTCCCATACAGTGACAAGGACTATCAAGGAAATCTTGGGTACGTGAGGTAATCTCCCTCACCATAGAGTGACAAGGAATATCCGATAATATCGAGGAAATCTTGGGTATGTACCTGGATTGCTTGAGGTAATCTACCTCACCACACAGTGACAAGGAATATCAAGGAAATCTTGGGCACTTACCTGGATTGCTTGAGGTAATCTGCCTCAACACAGAGTGACAAGGAATATCAAGAAAATCTCGTGTATTTACCTGGATTGCTTGAGGTAATCTACCTCACCGCTATAGAGTGACAAGGAATATCAAGGACATCTTGGCTATTTACCTAGATTGCTTGAGGTAATCTACCACACCACAGAGTGACAAGGAATATTGAAGAAATCTTGGGTACTTACCTAGATTGCTTGAGGTAATCTCCTTCACCATAGAGTGACAAGGAATACTGAGGATATCTCTGTTGAATACCATCATTCATTTTAATATCCTATCAAATAAAACAACCACAAATCAATAATCATTACAATGCTGCAACCGAAAATCCATCAGACGATAATGAATACTTGCTTCTTTTCTCCATCTTACAATCAGGAGTAAAAATATTTTATAAATATATTTTTGGGAAAGAATGCTGCATCCTGATGCCATTATCTCAATGAAAGTCAGTCATTGCAAAATGTTGAAAAGACATGAATCTGGAACAAATGTATCGTGCGTGGTCTCTAAATCAGACTATTGCCCATTAGGCAAAAAAAAAAAAGTCTCCGGTTTCTGGTATGCGCGCGCGTCGCCGTAGCCATGCGCGTCGGCAAAATGAAAAAGGTTTTTTTTCAATGAAAGATGATGTCCCAAAACCGCCAAACTCACTGGTTTGACTGGAATCCTGCTGCTGCACAATTTTAATGTGTTTTTAGATGGGGCTATGATCGAGAATAAGCTTTATGTGGCCTCTCTGGACTCCCATATATTTGCAGTAAGTTTAGTCGGGCACCATTTGCGGTCATCAGCCGACATTTGAAGCAAAAAAAGTCAGGTAAAAAAAAAAAAAAAGCCGCGTCGCTGCACCACTTTTTGGGCAAGCTCCATACCAGAAACCGGAGACTTTTTTTTTTTGGCCTTACGGAAATATTTCTTTTTTTCAAGCGCCAAAAAGTTGCATCCTTTATGGTTATTTCCTCCACTTTCCCTCGGAATCCCTCCTCTCCTTTTCTTATTCCTATTTATTAGCCCTCCTGCTGCTTAAATTTAAAAGGTCACAGATGGTCAAAATGTCCTTCCTCACCTCCTGGCATACTGGTAACAAACCAATGGGGGTCTTGACCAATATTGACCGCAGTAATAACAAGGCTCAGGGAAAGATTCCCATATCTGGCCATCAGTTTGATTTTTAAACTTCCTCATATCCCAAATTATATTCCAAACATTTCTGTGGATTCCCATTCCCTTCCCAAATAATGTAGCCTTTCCCTTCCCACCATATGTCGATGTCCTTTTCCCCTACCACTCACCCAATTTTTACTGCATTTTAATGTGTTAAACATGTAATTGTCGATTAGCTATTTTATCAATTTTAGGGTCCTTAAATTTAAGCTTCATCATTTCTTAAAAGTATAATTATAATGATTACTTTTAGTTATAAGTATTTTTAAATTAATAAATCTAAAAATTAATGTGGCCTGACGTTGCGAACTTAGCAAGTTCTTCTTCAGAGGCTAAAACAGAAATGACAGAGGTACATACATTAACATGGGGGTGCACACAAACATGCAGGGCTGAAAGAAGAAACACAAAAGGAGGATTAGGTGTGAAAGGTGTGGAAAGATGCAGGGGAGGGTGGATGAGAGAACAAAGAAACAAAGGGAGATGGCAAACCACAAGGGGTCTTGTGTAAACAGGGGAGGGACCAGAAAGGGGAAGGATCAAAGGTCACAGGGAGTGGGAACGGACAAAAGAGTGTGAGAGTGAAGGGATGATGTGGGGGGGGGGGGGGGACAGTATTGAGGTGGAAAGGGATGAAAGATGGGGGAAGATGGGTAAACACAAACAAGGAAGACCAGATGGATTATCTGTAACAGAAGACAATGGAGGAAGAAAAGGATTAATCATTTCCAAGTTGGATGTTGAGACCATGTGGTTGAATAGTTCGAAGACGATTCATCCACACTTTCTCTCTGCTGAGGCGAACTGAGTCCTTGCGATGGCCAAGAGATTCAATGCCCTGCAAAATCATATCAGAAATGGAGTGGTTAGGCAGGTTGAAGTGATGACCAACAGGGGTGTCTAGTTTCTTGGTGTTGACCGTTGACCGGTGGGCATAGAAACGCTTCTTGAGCGTATTCTTAGTCTCACCTACATACTGCACTCCACAGACCCTGCAAGAAATGAGATATATGACATTAGAGGTGTTACAAGTGATGTTACCAATGGTTCTATGGGTAGTGACAGAAGAGTGGCCAGAAAAGGAGTCAGACTCCTGGATATGAATCTGGCAGACAACACATCTGGAACTGCACTTGAAAGTACCATGCTGGGTGGGAGGGGATGCATCTAAGGAAGGGACTTCAGCTCGAACAATCAAGTCCCGTAGATTTCGAGGACGCCTGTAAGCCAATGTGGGGCCGTTGGGGATGGCGCGGGCAAGGCGATCTGAAGTATGGAGGATATGGTGATTGTCATTAGTGATTTTGCGAAGGGGAGGGAGATTGGGGTGAAACGTGGTAACCAAGGGAATCATGGGTTTGGCCATGGCATCAGGGGCCTTTCCCGTGAGAGCTAGATTTCTGGGGATAGCTTTAGCTCTGGCAATGGCACGATGAACTTGGCGAGAGCTGTGACCCCTGGCCACCAAGTTGTTCCTCAGTATCTGTGTATGGCGGGAGAAATCGGAATCATTAGAACAAATTCTTCTGAGTCTGAGTGCCTGGCTAAACGCTATGCCAGTTTTGCAGTGCCTGGGGTGACAGCTGGAGGAGTGGAGGTACTGGTGGGTGTCTGTGGGTTTGGAATACAGGTCAGTGGTTAGCGAGTTGCCTTGCTTGCGGACGGTGACATCCAGAAAGTGGGTTTGGTGAGCCGAGAACTCCGATGTGAATTTGATGGTTCTGTGGAAGGAATTGATGTGGTTAGTGAAGGTCAAGAGACTGTCCTCATCACTGGTCCAGATGAAAAAAACATCATCAATATATCTCCACCAGATCCAAGGGCGACATGGGGCCGAGGCAAGAATGCGTTCTTCGAGGTCGCCCATGAAGAGGCAAGCCATCGACGGGGCCATGCGGGTGCCCATTGCAGTGCCGTGTACCTGTAGATAGTGTTCACCAAGGAAGGAAAAATTGTTCTTCGTTAGTATAAGTCTCATGAGGGTGCCAACATCACTGATGGGAGGAGTCGTGTGTCCTGCCTTGGCCAGAGCCAAGGAGCAAGCACGAACACCCTCCTCATGTGGGATGTTGGTGTACAGAGATGAGACGTCGAAAGTCCCAATGATGGCTGTGCTGGGAATCTGGTCCTTGATTCCTTCAAGTTTGCGTAGGAAGTCTGGCGTGTCGTGAATGTATGACGAAATCTGTGGGACAAGGGGTTTGAGAAAACTGTCAATGAACAGGGAGATGCGTTCCGTGGGTGAGCCATTACCGGAGATGATGGGTCTACCGGGGTTGCCAGCCTTGTGAATCTTGGGTAGAAGGTAAAATCTGGCAGTCCTACAATCACAGGGAGAAAGAAATTTGTGAGCTTTCTTGGACAACTGGTCACGTGATCGCATATCGTCAAGTACCTGTTGTATATCTCGACAGAAAGTGCCTGTGGGGTCAGAGTCAAGGCGGGTATAGTTAGTGCGATTCTCCAGCTGGCGGTGGGCCTCATCAATGTACTGCTGACGATCCATGATGACCACAGCTGAACCTTTATCTGCTGGCTTGATGATGATGTCGGTGCGAGAGCGCAAGGAGTTGAGAGCCAGGCGCTCCTCTCTGGGGAGATTATCATGAGTCCTGTGGGGGAAATTGTCCGGGTTAGTGACTTGGGAATTGATAACTTGAACGTATGTCTCTATGGCTGGCACACGATTCTTGGGGGGTACCCATGAACTCTTGACTCGAAAAGGCTCTGGCTCACACGGTTCACTGTCCAGAAAAAACTCACGCAGACGGATTCTACGGTAGTATTCCGTGAGATCTTGGCTGAGCTGAACCTGGTTCACAGAACGGGGAGCGGGACAAAAATTGAGACCCTTGGAGAGAAGTTTGTGCTCTGCGTCAGATATAGATGAGGAAGAAAGATTAACTACAGTGTTGACAGGGGGTTCTGGCGGTGGCGTGGTAGATGGGGACCTAGGACGTCTGAAACGTCTGTGTCTGCGTTGCTGTTGCTTGGCAAGCAAGTCACCAATCTTCTTGTTTCTCCTGTTGAGTAGGACAGAGTCAAGGTTAGACAAACCCCTTTCAATCTCATCATGGAAATTCCTGTACGTGGAGTCAGAACAACTGGATTTGAGTTGGGAGTCAAGGTGGGAAATATTCTGATGGAGGTCCTCACGTGTAAATTGACACTGCTGAGAGAGAATATTGATGAGTTTAATAGAGGCACCATGTAAAACTTGATCCCATCTCCTTTGAAGGTGTGGTGGGAGGTTTCCTAAGCAGGGAGAGTGAGACAGTTGCAAACCTTTGGGGATAAATCGAGAGAGGGAGTAAAAACTGTAGTTATCCTGATGGTAGGAAAAGCGTAAGGCCTTTTCCTTTGCCTTTCTGAGCTGTTGGAAAGTGCAAATGGTGTCACTCATATCTGTAGTCAATTAATGTGTTCTTAATATTGTTACAGCTTCACACAATTTCGCTACAGGTGGCAAGAAAGCTGATTTGGAAAGAATTCTATACTGGGCCACCACTCATGTCATATTCCTTAATAATATGACCTGAAGGGTACCAAAGTTGTAAATCTGATGAAGAAACAGTATTTAAGGAATGCAAAAATTCTTTTAAACACTTTAACTTTGGCGATTGTGTAGTGTAGGGCCCCTGTTTTGTTTTGATCAAATTAGAGTCGAAAAATTTTTTATTGCTCAAAAATCACCTTAACAATCAAAAGCAGACTTTCCTCAATTCTAATGACACCCGTTTTGCTATTTTGAACAGTTTCTTGGGGTAGAAATCACGATTTTCCTGCGCAGTTTGTGCCTTGCAATTCAGCGTGCCGTGCGTATTCACAGTACATCGCGCGGCGATCGCCATCTTTATTTTAGCCCCACTAGTGTGGCCGTCGGTATGCTGCGCTGAACCTTTGGCCACACACCGTGGTACCACGCGCTACTGAGGGCGAAGTTTTCATAAAAATTCAGGGCAGTTTCTTACATTCTCAGTTTCTTACTTTCTTATGGTTGTATTCTATGATGTCTCACCTGTCACTTCTGGGATGCTTAGGTCTAATGATGTTCCATTTTCCGAGATATTCTTCAATCTTTCTGGAGTCCATATGCACTCGTGAAACGTCTGGTGATGGCAGCCATTTTGAATGGGACAAGAGATGACCTCAAGCTGTGACGTCGCGTGTATGCAAATTACTTGTCGAGCGCGCGAGGTCGCGGTTGCAAATGCGACGGCTGTTTCCTGTACCATGCATTTATCGTCAGGGGGCCACGTGCACCGATCTCTATTCAGGATCTACGGCACAGAAAACAGCCGTCGCATTTGCAACTCGCGCCCTCGCGCGCTCGACAAGCAATTTGCATAAACGCGACGTCACAGCTTGAGGTCATCTCTTGTCACATTCAAAATGGCTGCCACCACCAGACGTTTCACGAGTGCATATGGGCTCCAGAAAGATTGAAGAATATCTCGGAAAATGGAACATCATTAGACCTAAGCATCCCAGAAGTGACAGGTGAGACATCATAGAATACAACCATAAGAAAGTAAGAAACTGAGAATGTAAGAAACTGCCCTGAATTTTTATGAAAACTTCGTCCTCAGTAGCGCGCGGTACCACGGTGTGTGGCCAAAGGTTCAGCGCAGCATACCGACGGCCACACTAGTGGGGCTATCTTTATTTATGATGTCGCCGCGCTGTCATCGTCACTTTACCCCCAAATTTCCCTCAAAAAATCAAAACCCAGGCCCAGCCCTCTAAAGTCTAATCTACAGGCTAGGCCTAATGAGTAATGTTGCCAACTAGTTTGGTCGGTCTACAATGGTCTAACAATTTTAAAGTGGATTTTGTTCCCTTAAGCCAGTTAAGGCTATACTAGGAACCGGGCCCTACACTACTGACTACACGATCACCTTAACTTTGTCTGCCATGGCCCATAGACTTTGTGCAGGAGGTCTGAGTTGGTGGCCCAGCAGTAATATGGAATTCTTCAGGAATAGGCCTACCCGCACATTCTAAAAATCATGGTAATCCTTACTTTTAGGACACCTCTATTTTCTACGAGTTCTGTTCAAAACTGACTTTTGCAGATGACTGTCCAGTACCAAAGTGACTTTTGCAGGCTAAAGAAGTCTTTTTTCTTCAGACAAACTCATGTTAGTTATAATTTTGAAAGCACTTTCAAAGAAAATGTGACTTTCCTACCTTTTTTTGCAGTTCGCCATCTTGCTTTTTAAATTTATTTTCTGTTTGTCATCGTCGTCTTTAACCCCTCATAAATCGAAACCCTGCCCTCTTTCTACAAAATTAAACCTGCTGATATTCAAGAGTACTCCTAGAACTATGAGGCTCCACGTAGTGGAGCCTCATAGGTTCAGAAGCCCGCAAAATTGTTGTCAGCACAAAACACTAATTAAGTACAAAAACGTCCATCCCAAGCAGGCCGTTTTCCACAGAACTGCTGCACAGTTTGCCCCTAAACTCCATACAATACCTCATGACATACTCACGTTATGTGCACCCAACAAACATCGGTGGATTCTGTCTGTTTTTCGGCAAAAATGATGAAAAATATGCCCTTTCCGCACTGAGCCAACCTAACACTTGAAACGAGCACGCGTGCAGAATGATCGCAGTTATTTTCGGTTCGATCGCTCGGAGCGCGCCGCGGGGGGTACGTACTTGCACTTGTACGCATGTGCATACTATCGTTCCGCTCCTACACCATACCCCCCGCGGCGTGCTCCGAGCGATCGAACCGAAAATAACTGCGATCATTCTGCACGCGTGCTCGTTTCAAGTGTTAGGTTGGCTCAGTGCGGAAAGGGCATATTTTTCATCATTTTTGCCGAAAAACAGACAGAATCCACCGATGTTTGTTGGGTGCACATAACGTGAGTATGTCATGAGGTATTGTATGGAGTTTAGGGGCAAACTGTGCAGCGGTTCTGTGGAAAACGGCCTGCTTGGGATGGACGTTTTTGTACTTAATTAGTGTTTTGTGCTGACAACAATTTTGCGGGCTTCTGAACCTATGAGGCTCCACTACGTGGAGCCTCATAGTTCTAGGAGTAATTCAAGAGGTGTCATTGCCATATGTTCAAATGTGTCAATAAATATCAGAATGTCACTTTTGAGTGTCATAGTCAGCTGTTTTGGTGAGTCTTTTAACCTTATATAGGAAAGGGGTCCTAAAAGTAAGGATTACCAAAATGATGAACATGAATGAAATTTTGAAAATCAATGGGAACGAGATGACGAAAATTATTTCAGTAAACTTACAATATACGACGGCCACTGAAACATGTACGTCATTGCACACCCATTCTCTTCGAAGTTACGAAAAATATCATAGAAACCTAGCCCTAGAAGGGCAAGCAAAATGGAACAAATTATCTTGTTTTTAGTTGCCATTTTCGTTGCTTCCACTTCCACAGTTCCACCCGCCAAAGAAAGAGAGAGAAATTTGCCGGCTTCTGTAGTCAGTTACGAAACGTTGCCAACGCAATCTGGTACCATGTAGTGGGAAGGGGACAGGGCGTACGACTTATACCGGCAATAGTCAGATCCCTCCTTATTTACCCTATCAGGAAGCATGTAAAACGTCAGGGTGTTTTTTCTGCCAGGGTCCGCCCATTGGAAATTGTTCAACTCCGCCTTCTTTCTGAATTTGAATAATAAGTTTGACGGACAACCAATGAGAAACGCTCCAACATTTGATGCTTCTGACGCCAATATTGACTGATATTGAGGCTGAGGGCTCAAACAAATGCGACGTCTGCGTTTTCTGACTCTATAACTTGAAATAGGGATTGCCGCCGGATTAAGAGTAATCAGAGAGTTTCTCAAATCTTTACAACCAATTTTCAGTGACGTAAAGTTCTATCAAGGGTGGGGATGGATGGGCGGCCAAGGCCGGGGGGGGGGGGGGGCGTGAACTTGTGGTACACACCCCCCTCCGCCCTTCACATGCTCCCCTATGCCTCTCCCATTCTCAGCTCATCTGTAGCCAAAACGAAGCCCACTTAAAAATGAGGCCCCACCTCATGCCCATCATCCCTCCAACAGACTCCCTCTCGAGGCAAAAGTGTGACTTGAAAAACAACCCGCATTTCGAGAAAAATTAGTTTGAAAGTTTAATGTCTTCTATTTGTTGTATTTGACCATCAATTAAACCAATTTTTCTACAACAGGTTGTGAATATTGTTGTAAACAAACAGTAAAATTTTTATTTTCTTGTCATTACTAAGTTTTGGATAGAGGCAATTTGAAAACAGTTTCACCATTTTTAACGTGAAGTATCACAAACATTATTAAAAGGATTAATTTGGCAAATGGTGTATTCGTAATTCCGAATCCACACTTTACTAAAGATTCTTCGTTCCGAATCCATACTTTGTGTGACCAGCGTAACAGATTCGTAGTTCCGAATCCACACTTTTAACAATAGTGTGACGTCATAGCAATGGTTTAAGATGAAATAAGCATTAATTTGATGCGTGTCTCGAACACCTTGGAGAGTTGTGAGTATTTTGCCCGAATTTCTGAAGTGGGAGCATTTACCATTGGGGTCTATGGAAGTTTATTTACTGGTCTGCTACCTTAAGAATTGAACAGGAAGCTTGCTATCCAACATAATTAAACAGCGCCCTCTATAAAAAAAACTGCATTGTCTTGGAATTCTCTCTGCATGGAACAACACGTACAAAAGTTTTGATTCACGGGCGAATCCGTCATCTTGGTACACTCGATAGGCCCCTTTCTGTGGAGAAATCGGTGTTCACGATTGTGTAAGCAAAGCAACTACACCGTGCATGACGGATTGCTTTCGCCATTGAAGGGGGCCTTCGTGGTGAAAGTAATAGCTTGCCTGTCTTCTGACCCACTTACGTTGATCTCAAGACATTGTGAATTATGTTTATATTTGTGAGTGTGGGCGGGGCTAGCTTTGCCCTTTCCCCTCTGTTCTCATTTGTTTAGTTCTGAACTTTGCATTGGTGTTTCCACGAGTTTCCACTAAGAATATTAGAGTTTGAAAGAAAAGGTCTCAAGAAAGACTTTTACAGGCCATTTTTTATATACAAACGGTAAATACATTTAATCAGAAACGATGTGTCACTAAAATGTGAAGCTACTGTGTTATAAATGTATTTACAAAACGAAGCGACCGTGCATAAAATGGATCTTAAACATTATTAATAATCAAAACCCAACGCAGAATCTTTGTACAATACCGTGACAGCCATACAAAAACCAGCTGCAGGCTCGTCTAGAAACAGACTGGAAGAGTACCACACAATCCTATAGGATTTAAGGCTTATGCTGTCCATTTATAATATACAGTCAAAGAGATGCATTATATCTGTTCAAAAGCATCTACTCTTTGTCTGCATTGCATAATGCATGATCATATTTGCGCTAAGGACAAAACAATCACTAGATGTCATAGAAACGGGGAAACTGAACAAAACCTCTGTGTAGGCCTGCCTTCCCCTCGTGTCATGTTCCATCAACTCAGGCTACATAAAATCCAAATAACTACGTTCAGTCTTATAAAAGTTATTCAAGTCTTTCCGTGCAGTTGTCCCCTACGTCGCGGCAGTAGCGCAGTGGTCCAAGATTTTGTGACAAAACCCAATCGCCGGCACCGGGTTGGACTATAGCAATTTAGTTTATTGTAAAGCCCATGACCAATCTTATTTAGCTATAAAATGACCCAATATATTCCGAAAGATTGACTGATTATGGCCAATCAGTTTCTAAAACTCGATTATGGCAAGGGCAGTTCGGGGGGGGGGGGGTGCCAACGGGGGCATGCCCCCCCCCAAAAAAAAACGAACACAATTTTTTTTAAAGTGACGTCGCAAAAAAGGCAGGCACTGCGTACACCACCATCTTTTCCTCAAGGAAATTGGGTAAAGTGATCAGAAATTGCCTCAGATCGCACCACAGAGCAGCTAGCCCCCCCCCCCCCAAATTGGGACCCTTAAGTGGGCCCCGAAATCCTAGCCGTAATTTTGTGCCCCCCCCCCAAAAAAAAATTGTGTTCTGGATCCGCCCTTAGATTAATATGTTGACGTATAGATGTCGGGTTCCAAAAAGGGATAAAAGCAACTGGTTATACCAAATCAAGCAGATCTCATATTTTGTTTGTTTTTCAAAAGCTTTTCTTTCTGAATTTCATTTCGGAAGCCTTGAGAGAGTCGTAGTTCGATTTCCAAGTAAACCAAGCCACGCCCTGGTATGGTTCCCCGACGTATCGCCCATTCAGATGTGATTTGTAGCAGCCAGCGTACCACCAGGCCCCGACGAACTGTTCAGCGCAGTTTCTGGTCCAATCATCGTTGTCCACGTCGTAGGTCGTAAACTGCTTATCGTTATGGTTGGCTAACGAGTCACCTAAAAACAGCAAAACAATTTCCAAAATTTAACAGAATTTATTGATTTTGTAAAGGATTAAAGATCTACCATCCCTGCTATTTGTAAGTGTACACTGTTTTCTTTTAGTACTTTTGAATGAGACATCAAAACAACAACATACACATCCGCAAATTTAAGTAATGCCATCATAAATTCTTTACAAAATTCCGAAGGATTTGCGGATCGGTATATAGTTCAGTGGTCAGAGGTAGACTGGTCCCCGATCCTATCAGAATGTACAATAGAACCGGCAACTATACTTTACTCTTTAAGGGAGGCTCTGTTTGTACGCAAAATCAACCGTCGTTCGGACCATTGCAGACCCAATAGATACAAAAGTTTTTGTCTTCGGAATAAATCATTCAAATTGACAAAAGGGTGAGGGCTTGAATCAGTTGGCATCTTACCAGCCGTTCCTGAGTAGCCCTCTATGGTTAAGCGGTAGAAGTCCGACGGATCAGCAATATTGAACGAGGCGTAGCTCGCGTAGGTGGAGTTTCCTTCGAAGTCTGTCAGATCGACTCGCAGTACGTAATCATCCTGGGCGGTCAGCCGGTGTAAGTTGTCATTACCCAGCCAGAACTCACCCTCTAGGTCACCAAAACCCTGCCGGTAACCCTCAAAGTCACGGTAGAAGTCAACTGAACCGTCCTGTCGACGCTGAAATACCTGAAACAATCATTAAAACAGTGTATGATCGATGGGAACTTTCATAGAAAGTAGTTTCATACAGCCCCCCCCCCGCGAAAAATAAATGCATTGTAAACAGGAATTTCCGCAGTCTTGCGTGTCTTATGCATCCACACAGTCGCGTTTGTAAAGACTGACATAATTGGAAACTGTCGTCAATAATTAAGATTTTCCATTAATGACGAGTAATTCATTAATTTTTAAGGAACTGTCTGAAGTGAATTGTCTCTATTTTAAATTGAAACTGATCTCAGCCTGTCAAAATAGTCTTTATTTTAAAAGCTTGAAATTCTTCTGACAATGATACATCTTGAGATTCTCGACACGATGAACGGAAAGGGTTAATCACAGTTCTTTCGTTTTTCCCTGTTTTAATATTTTTAAAATGATGGATTACATTTTCTGGAATGAAAATGGTCAGCTTTTGAACCCACGACCTACACGTACCGATGCAGACATTTCGCCCACTTGACATTGCCAATGGCTAGATATAAATCGATTAATGTGCGAGACAATGTTATCATGTTATCCCTTACCGTCCAACCACCGCCGTCAGTATCCATATCACAGTACACCTCAATCGCCGCCCCTCCGTCTCGTGGCTGGACCATGTAAACACCACTCTCTGCCACGCCCCTTGTTGCGGCTTCCGTGCAATCCATAGGGAGGGGAGCTACAACACAAAACCAGAAAAGGAACCAAGGCAAACCTTTCATAATAATATAAATTCTATTCAATTGATTCAGAATGGGGGAAAAGTATCTTGAATAAGCTGTAACGTGGTGGAAATGTAAAGTTCATTTTCGCCGTTTGCATGGAGAGTTGAATATTGTCAACACAATGCATCACGAAAGTACATGAAACACGCGGCGCCAGACTAATGCAGATGCGGTGTAGGATGCTACATCACATTATATGAATATGTATTATTATTCGTCCCAGACCTGTGTAAATCACAAGTGACAGTCAGTGAGAAAAAATGACTAGTCTAAGTCACAAGTGCCTGACCCTCTGTGAGCTACAAATGTTATGAAAAAAATTTGGACTCAAAACAACTTCTTTCAATTTTTGAAACCAACCTCACAAATCTTATAGTGACTTAGGCCTAACTCTAAAATTACATAAACATGAAATTAGAGAAGGGCCAGCCGCCTAGGGACTGGGAACACACCCATGTCCCTAGACTGTTAGTTCTGCTTCTGATAATAAGGAGTTCCGCTGGCAAATTGAGTTCCGTATGAAGATTTTGCCTAGATGTGCGTGGGTGTTACCACTGATACCATCGAGTCAACGTGCTTTACTGCAGTCGTTAATCTGCGTCACGCAGTACCCATGTGAGGACTTTGTACACTCCACGATCGGCGTTTTTCCCGCGTGAGAGATGTTCTTTTACAGAATTGTTATTAACCCATGCACTTCTAAAAACCATTTTCCATACAAATATGAAAGTGGTATGTTACTGCCTCATATAATATAAAAGGGGGAAATGCAAATATAGCTGAAAATGCATGCACACACTTTATATTCAAACTTTTCGGCTTAAGTATCGGTCTTAGGTCAAAATTAGAAAAGAATGTATGAAGGTTTTGTTGTTGTTGTAAGAATGTTCATTTGCTTTTAATTACGGACAGGATTTTTGTCTTAGAACCGCCAACGGAAGTTGAACCATTTAAGGCAACCTCCACGTATTTTTTGGCCATCTTAAACCTATTACAACAAAATGTCAGTTGGATCAAGGTTGAGGCACACTATATTCTATGGTGACTGCAAGATCCGGGGCACGCTTAGAAAGTGGGTTATAGGTTTAACCAAGATTCATCCGGAAGTGTTGTGAGATGTCAATGTCTAGGTCGTTGGCCGGGAGAATCACTATCATGGAGGGATCACCGGGAAACTAATCGCCGATCAATCAGTCAAATGTCACTAACGTTTCTTCCCTACTTACAAGCAGACCTTATTGCCACTTCCTGGACTGAAATATCATGTTTTGATGCATGTACACACGGATTTCATATGAGAAGCGAACTCGAAGTTCTGGAACGTTTTCGGTGCATGAAAATTCGGCTATGGGTCATTCATTCTATAAATTTGGATTCACTTTTTTCTTCTGTTTGTTACATCTCATTACAAGATGTTATCGTTCTGATGCACTCCTTATTAATGCAGCCGTCTTACAGTGATTAAGAATAGGAAACTACCTAACCCCCAAATAATTTGAAGTCATTCTTAATGATCCTCATTCTGTTTAGCAATCAAACACAATCTTGCTTTCACTTTGTAAAAATGTTTAGAAGCTAAACAATACGTGTCCAATTCCTAAACAGTGTTCAATTGCTAAACATTACACCGGCATGTTTAGCATTCAAACATGTTTACAAAGTGTTTAGAAAAGTTTTTGCAGTGCTTGAATGGTAACTATTTACAAAGTAGGAAGGAAACGGACAGAAAAATGTCCACATTCGACACTAATGTTTATAGAATAACCTATGTTTAGCGATGCTTTTGGGAGAATTTAAAGCCCGATTTATTAGGTAATGCTACCGTGGTACTATGGTTGGGCATGGAATAAGGGGCGAATTAGCGATGAGTCGTCGACAACTTACAAGGTCAGCATATTGAAAACAGAGTCGAGACGTACTTCCGTCTGTGGAGTTGCGCCTAACGTAAGCTGGAGCTCACTGATGCACATGTAGGTGCATATTAAGCGTCAATGCATTACTGCCGGCATAGCATCCATTTTGTCTCCATTTTGGAAGCCAGTATTGTCGTGCTGCAGCGTGCTAGAACGCACCAGTGCACATGCATTATGACAAGATCAAGGCTAGGTCTATACTTGCATTATTGCGCTAGCATCCATTTTGTGTCCAATTTGGAGGCCAGGACTGTCGTAACTATACTGCTCTGAAAGTAGACCCCTTCTGTGGTGCGCTCACAGAAGGTAGAATATTTATTTAAGTGAAAGTGGTCACGTCGCTGCATGGGTTTCTCACAGAGGAATAGAGACCTGCCCTCGGATGCCACATCATGTGCAAGAGGTTTATTATTCTATACATGTGTGTCAAACACATCCTTCACCCAGTTTAAGCAGCAAATACTTTCAGGAAAAAAAATGCCTTGAATAGATTCAAGCTGGATTACCAAAAATTGAGGCAACAATCAACTTTATAACGCCAGGTATTAAAAGTTAAAAGCTATCTAGTACCGGACTTACCTGCGGTAGGTTCAGAAATCGGCTGATGGGCTGAAATGAAACACAGAAAATAAACCAAACAATGTAGTGAACTGGAAACGGAGATCAAAATACCCTTGGAAATGGCAACACGAAAATTGAAAATGTTAAATGGGACACAAAAGTGCATTTACAAGGATTGCATTAAACAAATTACATGGCAAGGGCCCCGCAGAGAAACACCTTTCTTTAGCCTATAGCTGAAAAGACCCAAGTTGTTTCAATGTTACAGTAGATAAAAATTATCCCTTTTTCTAAAATTATTAGGAAAAATAATTGGTCTCACCTGTGGTAGGTTCAGAAATCAATGGCAGAGGAGCTGAAATGAATCACACACACAAAAACGATTGCAGTGAACCGGAAACGCAGTATGAGTGTTTCTTTTAAAACATATTTGCACTAAAAAAAACCTTTATCTCTTAGAGAAAATGAACTAAATAGCTATGCATTCGAGGCCCTGGACGAGCACATTTCTTTAGATTGTGACTAACTTTAATCCAAACCCTATAGAAAAACATCATTCTCCGCATCGGAAAACTGCCATAGTTTATCCCGATTGCAGTCTTAAAGATCGGTAAGGCTACCCAGACCTTTTTACACACAAATGACGACATAGAGTGAGATACATTTACAGTCTGCGCCAGAACTAAGTTCGACAGCAACTCTGATAACCTGTTATCCACAGTGATAGTTGTCGGAATAGTGGGATTTGCGGCAGTAACAACTATGAGGGAGAGGGGGCGGGGAGGGATGGGGCTGAAAAGTATCCCCGGATATTTTATGACATTTTGTCTTGTTCAACCACTCGGCCAAATTAGACCAAAATTATGCCACATTCAATGATGCATCTCAGTTTTAAATGCCTATGCCAGATGTAAAAGTTTGCCCCTTTCCCAACCCATGTCGTACCGGTAACAATGGTGACGTCATGTGGTAAAAGCGCCACCAACCGTCAATTTGTAATTTTGTATGAGCTCCTCCCTCAAGGAACTAGTGGTAGCCCCAACACATCACAAAACAACTCTTTTGTGTCTCCTCTCAAAGAAACTAAAATAAAGATGTCATGTACCTCTCCTTCTTCTGATGTTTGCAGCGAAGTCTGCGAATGCCTCTTGCAGCTGAAACACCTGCAGTCGAATCTCTTCTTCATCTCTCGAGTACATCTCAGCCGTTCTCTCCAGTTCCGAATTGATGAAACCCTGAACCTCGGACAGATTACAAGAAGGAGTTGTGGGATCACTAGGTTCGTTGATGGTGACCTTCGGATCATAAACGATCGGTTCTCTGTCTGTTTTCACACCTAGTTCGCGTACCGTACCGAGCTCTTGGTGAAGGTTGGTATGCTGTACCCCTGCAGATTTCTGTAGTTGGTACTCGAGTACAGGAACGCACTCAGTACCTTCACACTCATTGAGTGTACCTCGACCCATCGTAATCACACTTGCAATAATCACAGCTACAAACAGCACCATTTTCAATAATGGCGGCTCCATAATGATAAATACACAGATTCGTTCGTAATCGAAGTCTGCGTGGATGCTATGGTGTGTCTCGAACCATGACCCGCTGATAAATCAATCCCAGACATTCATGATGAGCGCTGGTTCCACCGACTAGCCTTTCTCGATCAGATCAAGTTCATATGCAAATTGGCATCCAGGGTCTCGTATAAGGCCAGCAGACGGTTGAGATACTTCCTCCTTTCGGTGCAGGATTGGACTGAATCACATGGCCGAGTGATCATGTCTGTACGTTCGATCGATGTATCCATGGAGGTCCTCAATGATTGATCAGTTTGCTGTCCGATGGTGTTTTTCTGCGCTCACGATGATTAATTTACACATCAAACATGTTCAATTACACACTCACCTAATTTTTGGTATTCCTAAGGGCCCAGGCAATTATTCCTCTTTGCGCAGGTCTGACTGACCGACTGTCAGTTGTTCATTAGACTTGCTTAAGTCTTACCTCTACCAACAAGTTTGAAATAAGATTAGCCTACGCCGTAACTCTAATGAATGGGCTACACCCGGACCATATTATGTGTGTGCCACACGAAAGAAGAATACAAGAGTTTCCAGTGGATAGCCATTCTGAATCCATCTAATAGTAGAGTTTGGTGTGCTCCGCAATCGGCTTTACTAGGCTTGTCTTGTTATTTGGCACATGTAGAGCACTGCCAACCTCATGGGCGTCGCCAGGATTTTTTTTATAGGGGGGGGGAGGCAAAGCACCCCCCCCCCAATAAAAAAATCCTTGCAATTTTTGTAGGTTATTCTCATTTTATCATTTTTTCGAGGGTGGGAGGACTTTTTCCCACCCCACATCCATTGACACCCCTGCAGACGCCCGTTTTGCCACACGTGTATTAAACTAAAAAAGGGTAAAGATGCCGAACCTGTGTTAACAGGGAACGGAGTGCCCATCTCTCTTTCTTTAGCGATTGGGCCAGACTCATATGCTGCTGGGGGGGGGGGGGGGGGGGATCGCCACACCTCCTCCACAGTGAGTCTGTTACCTTCCCAGCATTGAATAATGCCGGTACCAATTTAACATATGGGTTGAGAGGAGTAATAATTGAGGTAAAGCGCCTTACTCAAGGGCACAACACGCATGGCCACGGCGGGGCTCGAACCAATAACCTCGCGATCATGAATCCTGTGCTCAACCGCTAGACCACACGTGCCCACAATTATTAAACTAATATGACTTCACACCTCTTTCCCCCCCTCCTTTTTTGGCTTTTCCTGGGGGAGGAGGGAGGGGGGGGGGGGGGACAGCGCCCCCTTGCCCCACCCTGGCGACGCCCATACTACCACCCAAATGGAGATATTGTCACAGAGTGGAATTCAGTTTTTTGCGAGTAACAACTGATTCTTTATGATTTACTCACGTCTATTTTGGGAAGAGTTTGGCTTACTGATTACACTTTATTCAGTTATCATTTTGTTCACTAATTTTCTGTTTATGTGATTCCACTATTTTTTATGACATCGGTCGTGAGATTTAGTGACAACCAACGAAATAAATATTTGTTTGAATGTTATGAGGTCATAAATTTAAGGGCAAGGGTGGATCCGGGGGGGCCAAAGGGGGCCATGGCCCCCCACAAAACGAAACCAATTTTTTTTTTTTTTATGTGACATCGCAATAAAGGCAGGCAATGAGTACACCACCATCTTTTTCTCAAAAAAACATTGGTTAAAGTGGTCAGAAATTGCCTCAGATCGCACCACAGAGCATCTAGAATCCAAAAATTTTTCGGGGCCCTTAAGCGGGCCCCGAACCCCACGCTGTAATTTTTTTGACCCACTTTTTTGGGGGACCAAATTTTTTTTTTTTGGCCCCCCAAAAAATTTGTTCTGGATCCGCCCTTGTTTAAGGGCAATGTTGAAAAGGAACGATATTAACCTGAAAATATAGTTTCCGGGCGTTGACATATAGAAATTGAATAAACCAACAAAGGGCAGTGTAAGCATGAAGTTTAACAAAAAATGAAATCCTGAAACATGAACCCCGATATTTGAGTCTTTATACCAGCATTAAAGACTCTCAAAATGCATCAGGAACTACAGACAAATTATAAAGCCCGGTCGAGGTTTGAAAATGGGTTAATAGCGTGTTCTTGAAAACAGTGTGGGTGTAAGTTTCTTGGCATCACAGCATGTGACAATTATTAAAACACTCGGGACGAATCTAGAACACTTGACATTTATGTCGACTCAGTTTGACCCTTGATCTGTCTCAAGGAAATCCGTTATTGTACTTCCTTCAAGAAAGGAACAAACACCAGGAAGCTATTCTGGTTGAACGACTGGAATAAAAACATCAATTAACACATCAGGATGTAAAGACACGCTCGATTTGAAGACAGAAATCCGCTCCTGTTACGCTTTATGTTGTTTTGAATCTAAACAACCAAGATGGTGTCAGTGGGATGAGGGGCAATACACAACGACGGCTGTTTGGTGTATATATTATAACAGAGAAGATCCAGTTTTGGTGGGGGATGGTGGGGGGTTGAAAGCAGGCATCTGTCTTGTTTTACTTGTTATTTCCTCTCCTTTTTTTACGGCCCAAGAGGTGAGGGCGGGGTGGGTTAACCTATCGATAATCCCCGTAGACCTGCCACTGAAATGTTAAAGATTTTTTTTTTAATTCCAAAGCGTTTGATTGTAATCTTTGTTAAAAACGGCTGCATTTTTGTGATCAATGATGGTTGACATGACTGAATTCTGCGTAGCATATTTTGTGTGTGTGTAATACTATATTTTTCCCCAAACGCACACCCTAATTTTTGCAGCACTAAAAACATATTGCTGTCCGAGATCCAGTTGAAAAGGAGTTGACAAGCTGGCTCTGGGGGGACTCCGGAATGACCGTTGCTGATGTCCTTACCACCCGTCAAAAACGCGCCCATAGTTACGGGCCGTCTGCCCAAATATGAAACAACACAGACATTGCAAATGTTAGCTTTTTTCTATGCAATTTAGAATTTGGGAGATGTGATATTTGTGAAATCAGAAACACATGGCAATTGTCCTAACTCCTATCAAGGGTGGATCCAGGGGGGGGGGGGGCCAAAGGGGGCCATGCCCCCCCCCCCCAACGAAACCCATTTTTTTTTTATGTGACATCGCAATAAAGGCAGGCAATGAGTACACCACCGTCTTTTCCTCAAAAAAAAATTGGTTTAAGTGGTCAGAAATTGCCTCAGATCGCACCACAGAGCATTTAGAACCCCACGCCGTAATTTTTTGACCCACTTTTTTGGAAAAAAAATGTGTCCTGGATCCGCCCTTGACTCCTATAGCAAAAGAGCATTGACCTCAAACCTGTATATAGACTTCATATAGAAAGAAAAGTTCAAGTGCTTCATCAGTTTTACTTTACTACTTTTTAATCAAAACTGATCTATTTTGTTGAACAGACTATCAAGTTCAAGTGTGGAATCATGACATTCTTAACATTTCTTGGAAACAATTACGCTTCTAGAAGCAAATAGACTGCGTTCGGAAGCAATACGGACAACCTGAGCAGTTTGCATGTGTTGCCATCATTTTCTTATAACTTTTACCGAAGCTCACACGAGATGTCTCATAAGATGCCTTCACAAATATAGACAAAAGGCACAAGGATGACTTACTCAACGAAAGATAACAGTCAACTCAACACGACCATTTCTAATTTACGATTTTCATTTGGGCAAATATATAAATGAAAAAGTGGGATAATCAATCATTAAAAAGGGTGACATAAAATATTTTCCACTTTCAGTTAAAAGACCAATGAAGTTTGAAGATCAGTTGGCTTTCATTAGATTTAAAATATAGGCAAGATGAAAGGGGACAGAATGTACATATCAAGGTGATTTGCGGATGACACAGGTCAATTCCCGAACATTTGTGTTTACTTTCATCTGAATATAATATAGCGATATGATAATAATGTCAAAAATCTGGTTCAATAGCGTGGTGTCTCAGATTTGGTCACTTTCGCGTAGTTGATCGTCTCTCAAGGGCTTCCCTGATTTGATTGCTTTTTTTTCTTCCTTTTTTTTTTTGCTTTTCCGGGGGGGGGGGGGGGTGGCAAGCGCCCCTTGCCCCCCCCCCCCCCTCGCGACGCCCATGGCTATACCACAAGAGTGTTGATCCTGAGTGAGGCGGTAGTGTCTTCTTTTGTTTTCATCGCGTGCTCGTCGAAGATTATTTCCCTTGAAAGCGAGCTTTTAACTCCCTTATTGATTGAAACCTTGGGTACCAAACAAAGGAGGCATTAACGAAAGACAATGGCATGACATTGAGGTTACCTTTAAGTTACCATAGTAACCAAGTACAATGATTGACGAAAGAACGAGCACGTACTGACATGTCAGCATAAATGCCACTTACGATACGATAAACAAGCAAAGGCTAAATGCATAATTAATGGCACTGTTAAAGTCTTCATGAAAGCTAATTTATGTTTTATTGTTACTTGTAATACAACCGTGAAAAACCCACCAAACCAACAGAATCCAACACTTAGCCTACAAAATCTTGAATTAATTGAATTAGCAAAACATTGGTTCCATTATCTACCACCCATGAAAAGTCATATCAATCTAAGACAATTTGAGAATAAAGCTAGGAACTTTAGCGTTCCCTTTATTATTTTTGGCCCTTATAATTTTTACTACATAGTATCTTAGCATTTTGAGTCAGCGGCTGAATAGGGGGGGGGGGGGGGGGGAGTTTTTGTGAGGATGGGGGGGGGGGGGGGGGGTGCAACCTCCCCGTAGATCCGTCGCTGACTGTTATAAATACGTAAAATGTATGAGGTTTATATTGTCTCTTCCAGTGTTAAATGGCCCGTGCAAAGTAATTTCGTTTTTTACTATGCTCGAAATTGCACCTTTTTGTCCCATTCAACGTAGTTTTCAATGTTTGTTTTGCCATTTTGAAGGGTTATATATTCATGAGCAAAACTGATATATCATTCCGGACAAGACACTTTAGTATTACAGCTAGGCTCTTTCAGCACACAAAGTCAGTAGAATTTTGGGATTTTTCCGCTGTCATAATGTTCTTTTCATTAGCGACAAGGGCGGATCCAGAACACAATCCTTTTTTTTTGTGGGGGGGGGGGGCCCAAAAAATGTTTTGGTCCCCAAAAGAGTGGGTCCAAAAATAATGGCGTAGGGTTCAGGGCCCGCTTAAGGGCCCTAATTTTTTTTTGATTCTATAGATGCTCTATGGTGCGATCTGATGCTATTTCTGACCACTTTAACCAAATCTTTTGATCTTTTGGAGGAAAAGATGGTGGTTTACGCAGTGCCTGCCTTTATTGCAACGCCACTTAAACAGAAAATTGGTTCCTTTTTTTTTTAGTGGGGGGGGGGGGGGGGGGGGGGGCATGGCCCCCGTTGTCCCCCTCTGGATCCGTCCTTGTTTGGCGATTCCTTGTTGTGTAAGTACATGGTAGTAAGCCAGTGAGAAAGCCTTACTCACAATTGTTTCCAATGACTAATTTTGGGTTCACACATTTTTCTTAGCAGAATATCCCTCAACTGAAGTGCTTTCCTGTAATGACATCACAGCAACAGCGCCCTCAGTTGTCCATAAAAGCATGGAACATTTTAAATGTCCAATCAAGTACATGTACACATTTCAATACAATAAACCAAGAAGAGATGGTAAATAGTTTTCATACATTTTATGAGGAGTAGAAAATTGCACAAAATGGGTTTCTCAGAAAATGTCATAGGTTGGCGCTTTGGATCCAGGGACATCCAGTTTTGGCTTGGGGGCAGGGGGGGGGGGGGGGTTAGGGGGACGTTTAGCTGGCAGGAGGGGGTTCAATACTTGTCCGGTTTTGTTTTCTCTTTTATTTCCTTTTTCGCGGGCCAAATGGGGGGGGGGGGGGGTTAACCCACTAAACCCTCCCTTGTTGTCAGTAGAATTTGTTCTTATCAATAGCGTTTGGTTGTAATCGTCTTTCAATTTGCGATTTTGTTTTAATATTTAATGATGTAATGACATGATTGATTTTTGCGAAAGTGATTTTTGCGTATTATGATTTTGTCCCCGCACACAATTGTATGTATACATAAGCCCTAGTGCTGCCAAAGATCCAACCAAGAGAAATTTACAAGTTGCTCAGGGATACGGGTGGACTCGAACCCACCTCGTCCTGAGTGACCAGTGCTGATGTCCCTAGCACTGGCGATAAACGAGCCCACGGGCCAGCAAGACCTAATCTGACACGACACCGGCATCACAAAACGTCTGGTTTTTTAAAATTTTTGTTTTGTTTTTGTTATAGAATTTCATATGAATTTGCTGTTGGTTTCTTAATTCATGACGTTGTTGATGAGGTGGACCAGTTTTAAAGAGATATATGTACATAAACAACACATTAGAAAAATGGCAGTTGTCCTAAAAGAAAAGAAAATGACCTCAAGCCTGTGTAGACTTCCTCTTGGAAAAAAGATCTAATTTCATTACATTTTAATTATCTAATTTGTCGAACAGACTTCATAGTTCAAGTGTGGAATCATGACATTCTAAACATTTCCTTGACCGCAGTATGCTAATAGCAGCGAAATAGATTGCGTTCCGCGGAGCAATACGGACAATTCGAGCACTTTGCATGTATTTCCATCATTGTCTCATAACTTTTACCGAAGCCCAAAAAAATTATCTCATGGGATGCCTTATAACATTACAAACAAAGGGTACAAAGATTACTTAGCGGTAGATGACAGTCAATACGACTATTTCTAACTCGCGATTTTCATTTTTTGCAAATGTATGAATTAAAAAGTGGGATAATCAATAATTAAAAAGGGTGACATAAAATATGGCTACTTTTCACTGACAGATAAAAGTTGTAGTTGAAAGATCAATGCGTTTGAACATCAGTTGCCTTTCATTAAGCTCAAAATGTAGGTTCAATGAAAGCGGAAAAAAAATGACGTATTAAGGTGATTTGCGGATGACAGAGATGTCCGAAATACTGGTTTTACTTTCATTAGAGTACAATGGCGATATAATAATAATGTCAAAAGTTGATCACTTTGGCATCTTTGATAGTCTCTTCAACGCGTCCATGATTTGATTGTCTCCAACGATGCACAAAGTACAGAGTTCCAACTATATAGAGAATGTAAAATGTGACTGTTAATCCAAAGATTAATTCACCTTGTTCTAAAAGTTGCAGATCATGGATATTTCTTCGAGCGGTAAATGTCTCAACGAACGTCATAAATGAAGATTTTGCTATAAACATCTTAATCAAATGTCAAAACTGTTGAAAAGCCACAGCATGGTACCCCACTCCATCTACATCAAGTTGGGATCGTGGACGCACTGACCGGAGCTGGTAACCAGACGACCATCTGTGCCAGCAGTCATACAATACTTGACTGGACTGACGCGCCATGTTGCCTTCCTCTCGCAGACGACACTCGCTTGCCCATCACAATATGTATGGCGCCATTTTCCATCCTCTGCTTTCATGGTGAGGCAGTTGCCATCCAATTCAGGCTGAAGAGAGTCTGGATTGTTAAACGGTGGCCACTGCCCCACCCCGTTCACGATACACAGCCACGCCCCATCTCTATGGCAATTCAGCCACGCCCTATTCACTCCCTCTTTCTCCAGTAGTGAGTTGGCGAATGTGTTCTCCTCTGCTGACTTGGGCATCAGTAGGTCGCCCCCGATTCCTCGGCAGAATTCCCTTGCCTTGGCCCATTCCATAGGATCGGACTTGACGTGGTATTCAGAACCCAGTCGTTTCTGCCAAGTAGGTGGACAAGGTAGAGCTCCCAAAGTAACCGACAAAGAACAAATGGCGTTGATGAAAATAACCGAAGCGAGTTTACCGTGTGGATTCATCTTGAGATGCTGAGGTTGTATCAATCCAGCGTTCATTATACCGCGAGAGTTTGGATCCTGTATGAAGCGGCTGCGTCTGCTTTTGTTTATAGCGGTTTCTGTGTGTAAGGGGTTTGTTTACTGATGTTGAAACCTTGAGCAAAAAATCGATCCCACGGAAATGAGCTTTTAATATTGTTAATTTTTAAAACCTCGGACAACAATCTGACAGGGGAGTCAATACCGTATGAAAATTTCATGTCTTTGATGTCACCTTGAGGTCAATATATATGATGGTTGAAAACACGCACACTTACTAGCCTTTATCCTGTGTTTACGTAAGCCGTGTCCTCACTGGCTTTTTTTTTAAAAGGTTTTACCGAGACGATGGTAAAATGAGAAATGGTCAAATGTGACCACTGTCCGCACTTGGACTTTCGACACGGGAAAATTTACCCAGACCGCGTGGGAGAAGTAACCGAGCTGTCACAGTGTCAGTATAATGACTAACCGTACACAGAAAACAAATTGCCGATCACATTTTCAGCCGTCGATACGCACAGTAATATTACACACGCCATTTGCATGCACAACATAATCGTTTACACGATATTATTTCATCTTGACACGCTAAATCTTGACGAAAAGGCCATTTAATTCTGACGCATTTGTGACACGTCGTCGAAGCCATGCCGCTGTACGATGTTCCGTGCGGCAGCAGTGCCATCAGTATTCGTTGGTTCCCATCGCATGCTTACAGAATCGAAGCTACGATGTCGGCCAGGAACCAGTGACTACGGCCTACGTTCGGTACCGGACCATGATGTTCCGTGCATGACTACACTAGCGCATCAGGACGAATTTGGATCGTAGAAAATAACATACATTGGTGGAAAAAGAGAATTTCCGCAAATTAATTCTCAGAACGTGATCTCTCTTATCTGTGTATGTATTTGTCCGTTGAAATATATATTTTAACGAGATTTTACCGCTCGGACTTGATACACCGCAGCGTGTTTCTACAAAATGTTCGGCCACTGCACGTGCAGGTTCGTGCGGTCTCTGTATGCATAACAGGGCGCTCGGGCCGGATGTACGCTTTCCTGAGCCGCTTTTACCGACTCGCACTGTCCGCACTGGACTTATCGTCTCGCTGGGCACGTGGGAAGTTTTCCTGGGCAGCAGTTGGCCAGTAAAAGTAACCGCTGGACTCAGGAAAAGTAACCGAGAGGAAAACGTCCTAGGCTGTCCGCACTGGACTTAAAATGGGAAAAGTACCCATAGTCTCAGTTAGTTTGACCAAAAAAGTCCAGTGCGGACAGGGCCAGTACGACGCGACGAAGTGAAAGCTTGATGCACAATTAATGACACTATACAGGGTGAATCAAAAAAGTGGAACCCTCAAAAAATATATTTCATATTAAAAAAACATGTAGCACCAAAAATAATAATGACTAGATAAAATGACTCAATCCGTTCAAACTCTATCATCATTTCAAAACAATGATCCTAAAACCTTTTTCGTCCAAAATACGATTTCCAGAATTGTTGTCACATTTGTCTTCAAACACCACCAGCGATAAAACAAAGTCCTTTTGAAGGCCCCTCTTTTGAAAAAAGTTGGATTTTGTAAATCATTTTGTAAGCAGGTTTGCTAATAAAGATAATGTGTACTAACAGTTGTTGACAGTTGTCGAAATAAGTATTCTCGGTCATTTTCTTTGTTGTTCTAAACAGTCAGAACGCACAATAAATTGACTTTTTTTGGACGAAACAGGTTTTAGGGTCATTGCGTTTAAATTGTGATATCCTTTGAATGGATTAAGCAATGTCACTTTTTTTCATTTAAAAGTTGTTTCTGAAATTGGGCTTACAGTAATTAATATTTTCGGTGCTACATATTTATATATGAAATATATTTTGGGGTTTTGGGTTCCACTTCATGGATGTCTTTATGGCTGATTCCATGCTTTGTTGGTTACTTGTAAAAAAAAAAAATCCCAACGAAACCAGCAGCAAGACAAAAAATCTTGAATGATTTGAATAACTGAAACATTGCTTCCATATCTTCCATTTGTGAATATTCATGGTCTAACTGTTGGCATTTGATTGCAGATTACAAAAAATCTACATGTATTACTTTCAGAGATCTGGTGTTCAGTTTGAAAATGTATTTGGGTTCAAATAAAAAACAAAAGAATTCAATCAACCTAAATCATCTTAGCAATGTCGTTTCAAACTGTATTTGTTTCTTTGTAATGTTGTAAAATATTTATAATAGTTGCTTTACGATCATGCAGTAATCTCATATGCTTTTATTTTATTTCATTGTGGTGTATTGTATTTGTAATGTATTGCATTTGTACATGTGTATATAATCATTTGTAGTGTATACAGGGCCCCAATGGAAACCAGTTTTAAACTGCTTGGGCACACCCTGGGTAGAAAAATCTAATAAATATATAGATAAAAAAATATTCTCAATTTTTTTTTCAGTAGGTGTACATTTTATTCTCAATTAATAATGCTAAAAATGCAAAAAGTGATATTTATCAAAGTACGAAAAATACTATAGCCGCAATAGTTACAACAAAAACAGCTGACCAATTATTGCTGCCGAGGAAAAACATAATACATATAGCATACATGTTAAGAAACTCATTAGCTAAAATTGGGATCATGCTTTTATAAACAGCAAGGATGAACACTATACGTTTGTATGTTGTTCGTCGACATTATTTTACAGTAACTAGAAGAAGAAAATACAATATTTTAAGTTTCTTGCAGTTTTAGTGGATACTTTAGTATGCTTAGCGGAAATTGAGCTTATACTGACGCATCCGGGTACGTGATCACTTTACACACCCACACACATAATTCCCTATGTTTTACATAACTATCGAGGACAAGGCCTTGTCTTTCCCTTTGTCCCTGTAATATAACACTCTCCAACAGACTAAGCACATAAACGCACAATCGATGACCAATTATGAACGTTCGAGGACAACAAAGAATCTGTTGTTCTCCCTTTGTCTGTCTGTCCTCGGGGTGAAGTACGTTTGTTTGTGGTGTAAATCGATGACACCTACGTGCAACATCATCGATGAATTGAGGACAGGAACCAAACTGAGGATTCGTCGGTTAGAAAACGTGTACAAAACCAATGAGAGCTGATGCGTTGAGTATAAACAAAAGAAAAGGGAAGAGGAACAATAGAAAATCCTCGATTTACACCATAAACACCACACGCATACACCCACAGGAGGCCCTGCAATGGGGTAAAACTGCCTCACAAGAAATTGTTGTAAATATTGTTCAGAACAATTTCTCGTGAGGCAGTTTTCCCCATTGAAGGGTAGCACAATGCTTTGGCCATTGAAGAGGGCCTCCGTGACAGAGATGACAGCGTGCCTGGTTTGGTCTTTAGGATGAAGTCCTCAAGCGGGCATGTGCTAGCAATGTACCGTGCTAACATGCATATAGGCCTACTTGTAGAAAGTGGTATTTGTTGCCTGACGTTTCGAGGTATCTACGCTAAAATAACCCCGCCTGGTTACATGTAAATACACACAGCTAACTCTTTTGGTTGGGTACAAGTTCACATTTTTTCTTGTCAGATTTACTGGAGTTTTTTCTTCAGATTGTACTGACGTGAACCTGTTCTTTGCTGTGCTTAATTTATAGTTGTTAAAAAAAAACAACCAAGTGTAAAATCGATACCAGAACAGCAGTTCAATGGAACTTAAAATGTTCATCAACATGCAGATATGCTAGGTTTCAAAACAATGTTCCCCTAGTTAATTTTTCTTTCTGAATTTCATCTCAGACGTCTTGAGTGAGTAGTTGTATCCTTTCCATCGTCTCCAGACCACGCCCTTGGCGTATTTATTGGTAGGGCCGCCCAGGTAGTTACCGTTGAGATTGGACTGATGGCACCGCTCATACCACCATGCACCGTGGTAGAGCAGAGCACAGTTACCGGTAAGAAAATCGTCGTTGTCTACATCTTTGGTCGTGAATTGTTTCTGGCTGTGACGGGTCAAGGAATCCCCTTAAAAAAAAAGAAAACTAAAATTAAACCTGATATAGAAGGATATTTTCAATTTTTTTGTGTGGGGGGGGGGGGGTGTGTGAGCTGTGATCACGTCATTTTTGAATTCATTTTATTCCCGTTTTTTTGTCTACTGAGGCATGTCACAACCGCAACCCGATTTTAAAATGAATGACAGCAATTCAGGTCCAATAAATTAAAATGTTACATTTTTTGCACTGTGATCAATAATGCTTTGTATTTAAAAGTATGATCTGATTAATCGACAAAGATCAAATCATTCTCAATATTCATATTAAAAATTATGAAAATGCGCCGGACAAATACGAGGTGAGCGACCTTTTTAAAAAATAACAATATACCATGAAATGACTTAAAAATATATTTTCATTTCAAATTATTTTTCTCTGTAAAGGAAACAGAAAAGGCCTATGTGGAAAATCTCCGGATGAGGTTTTGTTTTAGACCCTCCCAAAAATATTCCTCACAAGCAGCACAATCAGTCCAAGGGAGCATACGACCTTGATTTATAATATAAATATGTCGCGTCTTTAAATTCTTTTGTGAAATGTTTAACTAGTTAGGATTTAATGTTGCACGGCTGAAGGAAAGCAACAAAGCACATCCCTATAGGTTAAAATTGAGGTCAACCGAATCCTCCTTAGGGCGTATAAGGAACTGCTACATCCATGGGCGTCGCGAGGGGGGGGGGGGGGGGCAAGGGGGGCACTTGCTCCCCTGGAAAAGCAAAAAAAAAAAAAGGAAGAAAAAAAAAGAAAAACAAGGAAAGATAAAGAGGCGCGAAGACAAAGTGGTGTAATTTAATGAGTTGGGGGGGGGGCAAAATGTCCCTGCCCCCCTCTAAAACTGATAAATCGAGAATGTGTTGAGAAAAACAAGCATTTTTTGGCAAAAAAAAAATTGCCCCCCTCTAGAAAAAAATCCTGGCGACGCCCATGGCTACATCACAACCAAAAGGTGGATCTTTCCCCAATAAAGCTCATGCCCTGTGCGATGTCATGGCATATTTTCTCCCTTGACTGCATGGATTCTTACCAGCCGTTCCCGAGTACTGGCCCAAGCTCAACCGGTAGCTGTCACTCAAGTCGGCCACGCCGAACGAGTTGTAGACAGCGTACTTGGAGTCGTCTTCGAAGTCTGTCAGATCGACTCGCAGTACGTAATCATCCTGAGCGGTCAGCCGGTGTAAGTTGTCATTACCCAGCCAGAACTCACCCTCTAGGTCACCAAAACCCTGCCGGTAACCCTCAAAGTCACGGTAGAAGTCAACCGAACCGTCCTGGCGACGCTGAAACACCTTTCATGTTTGAAAAATAATATGTATACATTTAATTCAAAATTTGCTTTCGAAATTCGAGTTTTAAAATACGTGGACATATAAGGAACATATTGACAAAACGGTCCAGAGTTATGCGAAAACACTATTTTCAAGCAAATATTATCAATGAATCAACACTGGATATATATTATATAAAGAGCCAGAATATTCAGATGTTATCATGACAATGATATAGCCTGACGGAGTAAAAGTCTTCTTTTTTCCAGAGGGGAATTGCAATCTTTTCTTTTTTGAAAGTAAGAAACATGTACAAGACGAAGTTAAAAAGGACTCAGTTAAATTGAAAGAAAAACGACAAAACTATTCAAACCGCTGACTTATTCGAATGACATGAAATCTACAAATTAAAAAACAGTTACAGTGTCTGACATTTCGATCCTTGCTGGATTTTTCTCAAAGGCAAATAAACACGTTCACATTAAAACAAACTAGCCAGAGACACAGAAGCATTCATGGGTAGAAGGAAAACACAAAGGAGGGTGAAGATGTTTTAAGTTGGCAGATTAAGATAGCGGAGAACAAAGTGGAAGAGTTGGAGATAAGGCGGGGGAAGGAACATTGATGTGAATGTTAACTTTTTTCAAAACAAGAGAGTATTTGAACATTACGTGATCTGTGACAACAGATTGAATTAAAGTTAGTTAAGTTAAGTTCCTACCGTCCAGCCACCGCCGTCTGTGTCCATATCACAATAAACCTCGATTTCCTCCCCATTGTCCTGAGGCTGGAGCTTATATACACCACTCCTTGTTACACCCCTGGCCAAAGCATTGGAACAGTCCTTGTAAATAGTCACTGAAAAGACAACAATTACGTGCTTCACATTATCTTAACGGTAAGGCCAAGTAATGGGCTGTTGGCCATATGAAATTGAAAGCAATGTAAAATTTTCATTTTTTGAACTTGTGAAGAGAAAGAAAAGCAAGGACCTAAAGTTAATTACAAATTAAAAACCGGTCTGCTCTGACGAATAATTTAAAATTTGTGATTAAACATGCACTAATGTTTTAAGCCACATTAAAAAAATAAAGTGAGGCTAGAATGCATAAAAAGTCTATGGCACCGTTCCATCTGGCACCATCTCATTCAACAGTTCACAACAGAAAAACATTCAGGGAACACGACCAAAACGGCTTCCTCGTATAGGTCCAAATGCAAACCAGTTTCTTATTCCCGCCTCCTTTTTAACTTTTTCTTTTCAGTGACACATTTTATGTGCTTCAGGCGAAATTGTATCAATGTACCAAGTTCAAAATCTGGTAGAATGAGTGACTGCTCCTTTGGATACAAATTTATCAGCAAAAGAGTCGAGAAAACGGAATACTCCTTCTTAGAAAATTTGTTATCTTGGGTAAAAAGGTCTTCTCTCTCCCCCCCCAAAAAAAGCACGGACGAGACACCTTCTTTTAATTTCGCCTAATAGACCATTTGAAACAAGTTTATTGTTGCCGATTCAGGGTAACAACATTTCAAAATAATGTAAGAGTTTAAAAACCTAACCTATCGAAATTTCGGATCAGTTGATATACTTTGTGAGAAAACTTTGAAAAAACATCTTCATTTTTTTCTTGACGCAAAACAAGTTTTACGTTTGAAGCCGCCCATTCCAAAGTTCATTAATGAATATTTACAAATCATTTCCATTACCTTTACTGTAAGTGGCGCAGATCACCAACGTGCGTGGCGCGACCAAGTTCACGTCACATGCAATATCTCTAATAATATATTTTCTTTCTAACCCTATGAGTGACGAAATCAAGTGCAATCTAGACATGTGTCGGTAATCCGTCTGAAACTGAATGTGTAATTTTGTTTTCGAGATTGGATGGATACTCTGGTAAATGTACTGTTACATGGTTGTGCTATGTGCCTAGAAAGTTAATTTCTTTAAGTTCTTCCTGAGTTGTAAACTGTAGTAAAATGACAGAGATGGTCAAATCGTAGCGACAATCAGCCCGATATTATACATTTCTGCTTTTCAAATTGACGTCATGCCATACACGACCAAAACATTGAAATGCAATTTTATTTTTAAAAAAAATCGAAGCAATTTGCAAAATAGTAATTTTGCTTCACCACCTCCCCCATCCCAAATAAAATAACAACACTCACCAGTCGTAAATTTGGAAGTCGACGGAGCAGATGTTGTTTTGGGTACTGGAATTCAAACGTACACAAATTTGAAAGCACAATAAGTATAAAATAAAATCTTTTATCTCAAGATTAGTTTACTGCAAATCAAAATCAATGAACATTCATTGTATTTGTGTATTTAGGCCTAATGCTTGTAAATACAAACATACTAGGTTGGGTTGTTGTTTTGGGTGTTGTCGCAGGCTTTGGCGTAGTTTTTGCCTCTGGAAAAAAACAATACAAATAAATAAAATAATGTTTTTAACACAAATTAGAACATGCAAGAACATAGAAGATTTTCTATGTATTAATTGTCAAAACACCCTTACCAGGTCGAGCTGTGGTTTTGGGTTTCGTTGTCCTAGGTGATGGCGTCGTTTTTGCTTCTGAAATAAAAAAGAAAGAACTTTTACTCACTACAAAATTACTAAAATCATCAATTATTAAAGTCTTTGCAAAGAAAGTATGTCATATCAAAATCTTACAGTAAACCTTAAAAGAGTTTTTTACCAGTTGTTCTTGTTGTAGTAGTCGAAGGTGTTGTCACCCGTTCTAATTAAAAAAACAAAACAAAAACAACTATAGCACGAATATCACAACCAAATCAGCACACTAATTAATTTTTATTTACAAAGCAAAGATTAATATACTTCATATGTTCTTACCAGGTAGGCCTATGGTTGTAACTTGTTTTGGTGTTTGTGGCACTGAAATGAAGATAAAGAAATATCTTCTTGTTGAAGAAACTAAAATGTAGATGTACTTCACAACTATTCAAGTTATTAGATTCTAAAGGTGGAGATCAGGGTGCCTTGAATGGAACAACCATACAGGGTAGCATGACCTTTAAAAAAAGGAGCCTTCCAAAATCAACTCTCGATATTCCTAAGATATTATCATTCAAATGTGAACGAAGTTTGTTATTTTTCTTTCTAGAGAACAGTTTCAGGTTACACCTCAAGTTGGCGAATACTCTTCATGTCAGATGTCAAGCTAACATTTGTTAAAAAGCTAATTCAGTTGTGTGAAACCTAGTAAAACAATAATGACATACCAGTTGGAGTTGAACTTGGAAACGTTATCTTTGTTGTTGATGCTGTAAGAAGGATCAATAAAAGAGGAAAGGAATATGTTAGTAATAAGCAGGGAAATCATAGAATAACTTGTCTTAGACAATAAACTTACGTACGAGCAGGTGTGCACTTGTATGTACACCATGGGTGGAGAAGGTTACGTGTCATTAAAAAAACAAGCAAGCAAACAAGCAAACAAACAAACAAACAAACAAACACCCCAACACCCCCAGCAACCCATCAAACAAACGAACCAACCAACAAAACCAAACAAACAAAGAACCTCAAAAGACCCAAACAACCAACCAATAACCCCCCCCCCCCCCACCCCCGAAACACAACAACTTTAACTATCAAGAGCCCATCATGGCTAAAATGTACATGTAGCACCTGTTTCCTTAATCTTCAGTATTTTGTTATAGGTTTCTACTTACTAGGCAGAGTAGACCTTTCAGGGCTGGATGTCGGTAGTGTTGTCTTTTCTACATTTGTGACAGAAAATAGTAATGTGATCAAGAGTTACCAAACCTTTGTTAGCTTGTAAATCCTTTTCCCAAAATACAATCAAAAACGACTTTTTGACTGGAAAGCGATCACTGTAAAACAAAGTTCAAATCTCAGTAAAGCCCCAGTTATGAATTTCTCGGTGTCACGTCAAAAATTCATGCAATCAAATTTAAAGAAAAGCAATTTACGGAACTACTTGGACTACGTCCGTGTGAACAAAGGAAACACGTTTCCTTCTGACCCATTTTTGATGGAAGTTGTTTCTTTTGAGTCTGTAAGATTAGGCTGTTTTCCTGAACTTGTCCTGGAGGGATATTCGACAAAGTTTCATCCGGCCGTCGATTTATTTTTAGAGTACAAAACGTGCAGCTAATTCCAGTCATCCTTTAGCTCCACAAATTTAGACATCTCGCATATTTTGACATTTAAGAAAGTCGGCCCAAAATAGAACAGAAACAATTTACGAGCCTGGCGTTGTCAAGCCTTACCGAGTGTTTGGAACACAAAACATTTGAAGTTAAGCTTGAATATTTTGTACGACTTCAAGCTTTTATATACGCGGCATAATCTACATCAGAACAATTCTCTGTGCACAGACAAGCCATATAAGAACAAACGTTTGTAGGGGCGGATCCAAGTCTTGATCAGGAGGGGGTTTGCTGGCAACAGGGGGGGGGGGGATTTTGGCAGACATTTGCTATCTTTTTCTGCACAATGATCCTATTTTCGAGGCCCAAGAGGGGGGGGGGGGTTAGAACTCTATCCTCGAATATCCTCTGCCGGCTTATTAAAACAATCAGTTGCGTTTACACTGCTTAGGTTTGGTAAACTATTATGTTTAGAATCTATGTTAAATTTGAAAATTGACTGGTGCGGGGTTTGAACCAGCGACCTTCTGAGCTATCCAACCATATTATGGCGGCGCCCCACGTTAAAATCAATTCAAAAGCTGATGCTGTTTTTACCATTGTTTCATGGGCGTCGCAAGGGGGGGGGGGGGCAAGCCCCCCCCCCTGGAAAAGGGGGAAAAGAGGGGGGGGGGGGAGGGGAGGGAAAAAGTACGAAGCCATATTGCTGTTAACTTAGTAACATGGATAGTATCAAACTAGAATAAAACTGAATTTAAAATCCTGCACTAACATTAAATAGAATTATGAGACTATTTCAGAATGCATCAGTTCTTTAAATTATAATAAATTAATGTTTCTTTTTGACGGAATGGGTGGAAGGAAACGGTCATCATTGAAAATCTAGAATCAAAGTAGCTTATGGGAAATTGAGTAAGTTAAAAAGAACAAAAACTTGTCCAAAGTTTGTCGAATTTTTCCTACCAGTTGCGGGCGTCAGCTTCTCCGGATTTGATGGCAGTGTTACTGCGGGATCTGAGAGCAAAAAAAAAAACCTTTTAAATTTCGAAAAGTTTACTCTGCAGAATAACGGAATTCGATTTTTTAAATGGATTTTTTTTTTTAATTTACTGGAAATTATATTAGGCACTTCCTTAATTTGCAGTTGTGGAAAGTCCACACTTTACAATATGTCCCCAAAAAGTGTCCGTCTGACTATTTTTGAAATAACTACAAAACCATGAAATAAATTTTACCTTTTTTCCATTTGAATTCCCCTCACGCTTCACTACACAATCGTCAGTTGATCTTAATCACATTTTTTGGACACTGCAACCAAATTCCTTGCCTTAATGGATTTCAGTGCTGTGCCATGTAAGCTGTGTGAAATCCTGCATGTTGTGAACAAGGCTAATGTGGTTTGGGATTGGAATCATTTGCCCTTGAGCATTAAACTGAGGTCTTGCCATGATGACTGATAGTCAGGTAAATGATTCCAATCCCAACCGCAACCCTTTTCACAACATGTAGGATTTTACACAGCTTACATAACACAACACTGAAATTCATTAAGGTCACAGTGTCCAAAATAGTCGTTGTGATAAATCGATAATTTCGTAGTGATGTCTGACCGAAATTAAATGAAACCCATAGGGGTTTAGGCCAAGGATAAGGAGTATCTGCACGATTAAAAACTTTTTAAAATTGACTTCATGGTTTTGTAGGTTTTGTAGTAAATTTAAAAATAGTCAGACACACTTTTTGGGGGGACATTCTGTACAGTGCAAATGCACTACTTCCTCCCCTATGTCTAGCCTTGGTGTGCGAGCAACGGAATACAAAGTATTAAATGGGTCATATTCCACTAATTAAATTATGTCTCTACACCTGCTAGTTAATCTCTTGTACACACATCCATAACACCATTAAGAAAGATATCTAAACTCTACCTGGTAAGTTTCTAAGCATCTCGGCAAGATCCGACATCGCAGCTTGCAGCTGTTTGAGGTGCTCCCTTGTCTCATCCCGAAGACGTCGGTACGCTGCCTCAAGTCTCGTTGTCTCAGTGGAGACGATGTCTTGGATTGAGGAGCAGTTGCAACAGGCTTTGGCTACCCCTGTGGTGCTGAACCGTGGCGGATTGATGATGATGTGCGGGCTGTAGACAAACTGGTCATATTCAAGATCATGGACCTCCGTCTCAGGGTGGACGCCAGATCCAATCGTGTCCGAGAAACCTTCCCCACGTCTCTCTGGTGCTTGAGCAGTAGCAGTCGCGACACACAAAAAGCTCACGAAGCACACACTTAATACAAGCCTCATTTTGAAAGATGTCATCATCGTGGATGTTAATAGTTCATTTATTCTCAACTTCTAACTGAGCTGGGCTATACGCTGTGATGTAAAACTGCCGAACCTGCAAACCCTCAACTTGCTGCCATTTACTTCAGTTCAGCTGTGCCATGCTTTGCCTTAGACCCAGCTATCCGTTGATTGGATATAGCAACGCTCAGGCAAAGTTCATCGAGGGGCGCTGTTTACCCCGTGGTATAGCGGCGTCCTTCATTTCCCGTCTTGGGGCGCGCCGGTCCAATTTCCTCGTTGAGCATCAGGATAAGGAAGTCAAGCTAACTGAAAGGCACATGAGAATATTTATTTTTGGGATTTTCTTTTTTTTCATTAAAAAAACCCCCCGAAACTGCTCAAAATCTTAAGAAGGTTGCATAACAACAAACTGGTTGAAGTTTCAGCTCAGTGGAAACTATACATTATGAGAAAACAGAGATCGGGGTCTACAGGGTTCCGTTGATAACGCACGAACAAATCTGTTCCCTCGGGCACAGTTTCAAAGACTACTTTCCAATGATTGTTTTCTTCTGAAAATTCCATTTCAGGCGGAATTATTTCACAGTCTTATATCTTAACTTTTAGCAAAGATTTCTTTCGTTAAATTGGATGGTACGTTTTCGGATTTCAAATGTCCCTACGTGCTTTTAAATGTGTGCATCGGCAACTTGAATATGGCCTGCTATGTTAAACTGATGTTAAATTCTATTTTCCCCGGCACACTTTTGTGACCTTAGTAAGCGGAAGTTTCAAGACCTTGGTAAAAAAAAATCCGGTGAAAGTCTTGTTCTCCATCGAATCGAAAGGAGGTTTTCAAGCGTAAAGTCAGGTCAACTATTTGTTTGTTTTGAGTCTCACTTAAATCCTTTGCTTCATTTGAATGCTATAATTTGGTGTCCCGTGAAGCATGTGTTTTTACCTTTCAAGGCATACAGGATCATTTGTGTTTCATTTGTTTTGTTCTTTTCCAATAATAACAACACTCACAATCCAAAGACTGAATTTTCAAGACCTAACCTGTTGAAGTTTCAGCTCAGTGGATATTACACTTTTCGAGAAAGCCGTTAAAAACCATGCGCAACCCGCTGATCACGCATCACGATTTTGATCAACAGCACTTTATTCAATAGTCTTTATTTTTAAAAAAAAATCAGTCATTTTTATGATGACCTATATTGTTGATTTCTTCTAAATGACAGCAAGCCAGACAGAATCATTTTACGGGCTGTTCAATCAGTTAGATTTTTAATCCAATTAAGCTTTTTTATAATAATTCGGTGGACTACGTTCGGCCTAAATGAAAATGATCCTATATGCCTTTATAAACGTGTGAACTGATTTCATTTGTCGATGTGAAAAATACTAGGATGAAGACGACACATTTTGTTTCTTGCTATAAATTTAAGGAGCGTATGCTTGGTGCATATCTACAGACATAATTTTACGTCACTTTCTTAGCACGTTGAGTTTGAATGCAATTTGGAAATCAAGCGACCCCGGCGGAATATATCACGGCTCATAAACCAATGTCTTATCATTTGGACCGTAATGCCTGAATGCAAGATATGGGAACAGGGCATGAAGGGTGGGCGGGGCGGTGGAGGGGGTAATCCTGGATTCGCCACTATAGTGGCGAATCCAGGATTGTCCAAAATGGGTGTGGTGTTGTAGTCCAAGATTTTTGAAGGGGAAATGAGGCATAACAATCAACGCATACAAAGACGTTTAAAGCAATGAATCAAAATTTGCAATTATAGACTTGAGTAAAATTCACTTTCTGAGAACATTTGAGATTTTGTTTCCCATTACGGTCAGTCAAGGGGGGGGGGGTGTTATCATACTACCCAACCACCCTTGGATAATTCAATGCAAAATTCTGACTTGAGACATCACGTTTACTTCTCACAGGGCTAGGAGGAAATCCGTGATCTATATTTCCCGAAGGACACCAATAAAAAGCAGGAAGTAGTGGGTGTAAGCGAGCACTTGAGCAAAGGATAAACGGCTCATTTAAGATTGTAATCGGGGCTACTGTGCTTACGTGATAGCGATTGAATTGAAAGTGATGTGACCTTTGACCAGTGGCGTAGCCACCGGGGGGGCGTGGGGGGGGGAGGCGACCGCCCCCCCATGAAACCTTGTCGCCCCCCCCCCAGTCGCCCCCGCCCCCACTGAGATTTTGAGTTTCTAAAAAAAAATTATCATTGATCTAAATCTAAATAGTCGCGAATGATCCACATGATGACCACTGAGAAACGACCCTTCGACCGGCGACCGCGGACCAGTAAGCTGACAACCGGCGTGACATAGCGCATAATGATAATCTAAAATGCGTATTAACACCCACTGCACTGCTCGCTCACACCACGGAACACGTATTATAGACAGGTGGTCCGTGGGTCACACAGTTTCAGTCAGCGGTATCACGCGAATCGGCCACGCACAAACTTTTTCCTCCATTCATATAAGCTAAATAATAATAATAGACCAATTAAAATTCCTTAAAATCAGTGGCGTAGCCAGGGGGGGGGGGCCGTGGGGGCGACAGCCCCCCCATGAAACCTTGTCGCCCCCCAGTCGCCCCCCCCCACTGAGATTTTGAGTTTCTAAAAAAATTATCATTGATCTACATGACGCAATGGGCGTCAATCCTGGGGGGACAGGGGGACTGGGTCCCCCCCCCCACACTTTTTGAAGGGTGGGGGACACAATATCAAATGTCCCCCCCCCAGATTTTTGAACTCGTGTCTCATTTACAGGGCCCTATTATGTACTACAATGTATCTTTTGCTTAGAAAATATTGGTTAAAGTGGTCAGAATTTGCCTCAGATAGCACCACAGAGCATTTAGAATCCAAATTTTTTCGGGGCCCTTAAGCGGGCCCCGAACCCCACGCCTATAGCTCAGAATTCTGGTAGCTGATTCAATGACTCCAACCTCGAAAACAATGTTCAAAAAATTTTCTTATACCTTTAGCTAAGAAAACCTCGAAAATTATGTTTAAATTATTATCTTTTGTGCTAAGATAATTATTGGTTAAAGTGGTAAGAAATTGCCTCAGATCACACCACAGAGCATCGAGAATCCATTTTTTTTCGGGGCCCTTAAGCGGGCCCCGAACCCCACGCCTATAGCTCAGAATACAGATAGCTGATTCAGTGACTCCAACCTCGAAAACGAAGTTCAAATAATTATCTTTTGCTAAGAAAATATTAGTTAAAGCATGGAGGAAGGTGGTAAGAAATTGCTTCAGATCACACCACAGAACATCTGAAATCCAATTTTTTTTCGGGGCCCTTAAGCGGGCCCCGAACCCCCACGCCGTAAGGGCTTCGCGCTTCGCGCCCGCATCAGTTCTGATCAAGGTATGTCCCCCCCCCCACTTTTGAGAAGCGATTGACGCCCCTTCATGACGCCCCCCCATGAAATGGTCCAGCCCCCCCCAGCGCCCCCCCACTGAAAAATTCCTGGCTACGCCACTGCCTTTGACTTCAAACTAAGACTCGAACTCTGTATAATCAGGGGCGTAGCCAGGAATTTTTCAGTGGGGGGGGGGGGGGGCGCTGGGGGGGGGGGGGGGGGGGCTGGAACATTTCATGGGGGGCGTCATGTAGATCAATGATAATTTTTTTAGAAACTCAAAATCTCAGTGGGGGGGGGGGGGGGGGGGGCGACTGGGGGGGACAAACTGTCGCCCCCCCACGGCCCCCCCCCCGTGGATACGCAACTGTGTATAATAATCAATACCATAAAGGGCTGTTGTAAACTCATACAAGTAAGGATATATTTGTCATTGAACGCTTATCGATTGAGGCTGGCTTTATAGTATGAATGTTAGATTTGTCCAGTCATCCAAATTGTTGGTTTTTTATATTAAAAAAATAATCTCAAGGCCGGTGCTAGAATTCGGATGGATTGGACAACCCCTCACAAACGATGTTATTTATTTGCGGATTAAAGGGAATGTACATCATTGGCTTTTGCTGTAATTTTCAGAAATGAACTATTTGAGGTGTTAGCATAATAGATGAAATATTGTTAAACTAACATGTTTGAAGTTTTGTGTTCGAAAATGCTGGAAAAACCAAGAAAAACTAAATGTTTAAATAGTCTGGTTCCCTGACTCCACTAAAGATAAAATGGATCAATTTATAGATGCCAGAAAATTGTAAGGTAAGGAAACCAGTCTAGCTGGACTGCCTGCACCCGTTCATGAACATGTAACCAATAGCAAACAAAATTTGGACAGAAAAAGGGTACATTTGCAGCAGTAGTTGAAAAATAGTTAGGTTTTTCCAACGGTGGTCGGCCGACCACCGTTGGAAATTTTATACAAAAATACCCCTTTTCTTGAAAATTACTTCACACCAGGTGCCATAATTTTACAGGATGGTTTAGACTGTCATTTACCAACATCCTAGCAAGGTATTTCGTACAAACTTTGTAGTTTTGTTTTTTGATGTTTGCAAATGTTGTATATTCCCTTTAATGGTCGTGCACAGTGCTTCAATTACTCTCCCCCACCCCAACATGATGTGAACAACCCGCTTCGCCTCTTTAAATAGAAAAATCCAGATTTTACCTTGCGACAATATCCCTCCCATTCCACTCTGAGCCACTCAATATTTGTATACTGTACCCCTGAATCGCGGTTGTTACAGCGCCCTCATACGCTGAAAAACGGTCAATTGTAGTGTTCATCAAAGGGCGCCCTCGCATTTGTTGCAAAAGTTTTTCACCATCGCTATTGAGGTTGACTCAACCTCGTTTCCATGCGTACGATCTTGCTGCGCAATGTTGTTTCCTATCATTCCTTGCGCGATCTTCACCCCTGGAATTGTGTGATTCAAATGTGCCAAATATTGCGCGTTCGTTTAGCTTACGCGTGCAAGTGAAAGTTACTCACGAAGTGAGTATAGTGGAGACATTTATGACACAGGAGGGGTGGAACGCTTTTCAAAATGGGGGGGGGGGGGAACATGTTTTCATACGTGTGCATTTGAGGGGCAGTTTTGTTTTCATTTCGATGGGGCACATTTATAACCTTGAGAGGGGCACTTTTGTTGGCCTGGGAAAAGCGGGGGGTGGGGGGGGGGGGGGGGGGTGGGGTGGGGTAGGGGGGTGGACCTGGGCTTAAAGAGTGAGGGAGGTTCCACACAACACAAAAGACTCACCCTCCCAGTTCAGCCTCACATTACTCCAGTTAAATATTGAACTTGTGGAAAACTAGTGGAGAATTAAAATGAAATTGGCATTGCCGTCCTAAACTAAAGGCGGTGTCCGCAAAAAGAGAACAAAATGCCTAAAGTTTTTTTTTAAATAGTTTTTCTTATAAAATATCCCAAATTAACTTATCGAGATTTCTTGTTATTTGGAAAATGATGAACCATAATTATGACTACGCAGCACAATGTTTCTCAAGAGAAAAGTCGTATTGAGGCGCTGCGCACTTTATAGGAAAATCGTTAAATCGCGTACAGAAATAACATTTTACAAGTGTAGTGGAACTACCAAAAAATAACTCCATTAAAAAAAGATGTTTCAGCAACAACTAAAATAAAGAGCTTTTATTTCATAAACTGTAAAGTTATAGAGAGTACATTAAAAGGCACATGAAACCAGAAATACATAAATAGGATAAACACGTATAGTACCAAAACACGAATTAACATCATTCACATGAATGCAAATAATTATTCCATTCTCTAATATCCGGAATTTTCACATGGTTGTCGGGATGGATTTCATTGAATTCATTTTTGTAGTGCGTTTTGAACCTTGTGGTTTCTGCTATTTATTAGCTCCTTAAACTGTCAAATTTGGTGATATAAGTTAGAGTGTATTTTTTCTACTTGTCGAATATTAGAATTATATCGTGTCCCGCAGACAAAGCAGTCAACCGCCATCAAGCGATCAAACTGTTACATTTTAGATATCGTTTAAATTTCTGACTGGAATACCAAGCTAGCAAGTGGCATTTAAACTTTAATCAACATAATAAATCAGTTTATCGACATATACTTGTTTAACTTGACATCAAACTTAATTGCACTGAGCTAGGCAGCCTTGATCATGGCGCTACACATCTATCCTCGTACAGGCAGCACAGAGAAGATGACGCCCAAACCAAATGGTAAGAACAAAGCAACAATACTGAAAGGACGCATTTCTCGAAGTCAGTCAGCAGAATAAGACTGAACCACCAGATCAGAATCTGCAGCTTGTTATGAATACACTGCTCCGAAAATCAGAGTGAAAAGGGCCGAAAATCGGTAATTAAAATGAATTAGCTTTTCTATATTTTTCACAAACTATACTTCCAAAATAATGGACCTTCTATTTCAAATTCAAATTGTTCTTTTCAAGTGGGCTCTCTACTTTCTCACTTCACGTTTTCTGTCAAAATAATCCGTGACAATGTGAGCTGTATATCCGGTCAAAGGGTAGGCTGGTAAAAACTTAGTAATATAGGCCTACCTACAATTTACTAATAAAGTTTAGTATGTGAGACATTTGACTTAAGAACGAGTGAAATTAAACCATTAAGTTTTTTTCTCCAAATTCATTTTTTGGAGGATTTACCAATGAATATATGAAAGCTATTTCTTTTCACCGCTACGGATTTAATTCGAACAATGGAACATGGAACAATGCTAAAGCCTTTAGCAGAAGACTATTTAGTTAACTTACAAGGAGAGATATTGGTTGCAAAGAAGCAGAGCATTATGCGATGTTGTTAATTGATTTTTATAAGCCCTTGTTTTTTTTTTAAACAAAGGATTTTCATTTAAACAAAAGTTAAACAAAGATAAAGACTGGAGCGGGCTTTGAACTTGCGACATCCGGATTGCCGTTTCGGTGCTCTACCAACTGAGCTATTCAGCCCTATGTTGGCGGTTCCCCAATTTATCAATGTCTTTGTTCAAGGGGCGCTAGCCAGAAGCCGTTGTCCAGTTTATTCAGTTAGAAATAAACCAAACAAAAAGAACTACACATCTGATATATGTTCACGAAGCAACGGCTCGGAATAAATTGCTTTTGATCTGCAAACTACTACTATGGACAAACGTAAACACAATTGCAAGTAGTACGACAGGAATGAACCTTCATACGACAGTCAGATTGTGAACACGAATTTTCTCCCAATTCACGTAATCAGAAAATCAAAATACATTTGACAATAAATATGTGACGAAGGGGTCACTTTTCGAAGGCCTTTAATAGATTATTGGCAACAAGTGCGAAGGACGCGCAAAGAAATCAAAATTCGTTCACATTTTCGACAAGGGTTTATAGACCGTGCGAACTAATTTAATTCTAGTTTTCCAGTTCACAGTGCGTTTTGATTAGCGACTCAATTCCACTTACGTCAATAATTTCAAATATTCAAAGAAGAAATTTACCAACGGTCCTAATAAATTCTCACTCGCAGAATTTGTAAAACACCCAGTCTCCGTTGGCGTAAGACCGTGAAGCGATACCAATACGTACTTGAGTTGCTACTCGCTGGTGATATGCACCGGCGTCCCACTCCAAGAAAGCCTCCTCCTGTCCTCCTTTACCGACCCTGATCACGCCCCCTTTGTAGTCGATCCAGAAGGGGCGGTATTCAGTGGCGTTAACCAGACCTGCCTCATGGTGAGTAGCAACCAAGTCAGGACACTCGACAAAATAGCAGGATCTCATCAGTGCGCGAATATTCTCCAAACTTCCGATGTCTGGTATTAAAAAAAGAAAAAACATTCTTTCAACTTTCTTGAAATATGTATCGTTGCATTCATGCTTTCATGTTTGTTGTGGCGACATTCACCGAACTCAGGGCCCAGGTCTTCTGCCGGTTTTCAACAAGGCGGTAGCAATCATGCGCAAAATAAATCTCTTCATGCTGTCTTGCTCAACGCCTGAAGTTTGGGCAAAAACTGCTTGACTTTCAGACAAAGCTTACAACAGACTGCATCAATATTGCTTGTGTGACTGAAACCTGGTAAGGACACCATCTCCATTGCCATATCGAGAAGTGAGCGCCGATCACCTTGGATAACCCCTGACATCATACTATACGAAAGAAGAACAGAATATACAGGCACAGGCAAGCTGTCTCTCACAAAAAAAAACAGTGCAAACCTTTGGCGCATGACAAGAAATGCGTTAATGATTTATACGAAGAGTCTTGAAATCGATTGTAAGTCTAACCCAAAGCGTTTCTGATCATTTGTGAAAGCTAAGAGAGATTCCTATCCTGTTAAATGAGATTGTGCATGATGACCCTTATTATGATACTCCTTGTTCTATTGCCAATGATTTAACAATAATCATTTTCATGGTTTAACTCTTTAAGACGATCCGTCTGGAGATGTAATGTTCTTTTTGTTTTATGTTGCTGTCTTTTAAGTGTTTGTTTGTCTTGGTTTCACTGTCCATCCCGAGAAATAAAGTAAATGTAAAATGCCCACAGCTGAACCAACCTTAAATAAAGGCAATAGTAATATTCCACTATCTCGATAGTCAACCATAATCTTAAAATTATCAATAATATTTTGGTGTCCTTCGGAGAAAATGTATTCATAATGCGAATTGTGGTGGTAGTGGTGGGGTGGTGTTAATTTGGTATTTAATTTTTTAATAGGGGAAGGTTATTCATGAAAAGAAAGTACCGCAAATCTTCGACCGTGAAAAAAATGCTAAAGAAGGGAGCGCGATACATGTACATCTACCGTATTTTAAGAAACAAATAAAAATTTGTTAAGACTTTGGTGTTTCAGACAAATTACTTACTCATCTCGGCAAAGATGGAACCATGTGTGGTGTTCTCTGCCAGGGCTATTGCAGCACCTTGCTTGATCTTCACAGCGAAGTTCAACCGGAAAGGCATGCTGAGAGGCTTCAGGATGAACTTGAACGTGTGTTGTCTTGCAGCCATGGTGGAGAAAAAGCAAGCTGTTGTACAAATCAAAATCAAATCATTCAATCATTTTGCTGTCGTAGCACTTCTAACGATGACATTTTTAGTACAAACGAAACAGTGGTGCGTCCCACTGGCACGGACGCCTTTAGCATGGCCCTTATACGTGCCAAGCCAAGTCATCATAAACTGTTGCCAAAATGGCAGCTAATAGTTCAACAACAACAAGAGTCACTACGAGGATAGCAGCTTTTCGATCCTCAAAAAAAAACCCCACCGTAATACCTTCGGAGGTAAAATATGAAGTTATATAAGACGAGGTTTCGCCTCGTCAACTATGAGAGGGACGCTTTGCAGTCGAGAGGCGGACGCCTGTCGCCCGCGTCGCGATCGAGCGACTCGTGAGCAACTCGTGAACGCAAACTTACACACAAGCACGAATTTTTCTTTGTTGTATAGCGTTGATATTTGATGTAAAATTTGCAAATTTCAGCAGAACAACTTGACTCAGGAAGTCAATTTTCCCTTGCTTCTAACTTTTACCAGTATTGTTTGCTGAAGACTTTTGCTGAAGTCTGCAATTAGTGTTCATTTTACTATGTTGCCTGAGTCTATTTTCACTTTTTGGCATTACGATGTATACTTTTTAAAAACACGATGTGTCCTTTTAAAAACAGAGAGGGAAACAAAATAAATTTCTTTGAAACACAAATTTTTGTTCTCGACTTTGAAAACCATATATTTTGATGAGCCTTTAGCAAAGGTTCTTCACCTTAAAGACAAATTAGTTTTGGGAAGTAGTATTACTTACATTTGCTCTCATCGAGTTGGTCTTTGTTCAGTCGACATTTATTTCTGAACGCCGCGAATGTCTTGTCACGGAGCGTGGTAAGATCATCACCGGCTGCAGCCTCGATCATGGCGCTACACATCTCTCCTCGTACAGGCAGCACAGAGAAGATGACGCCCAAACCAAATGGTAAGAAAACAGCGAATCTTAAAGGACGCATTCCTCGAAGTCAGTCAGCAGAATTAGACTGAACTACCATATTAGAATCTGCAGCTTGTTATGAAGATGCTGCTACGAACATTAGACTGACAATAGTCGACAACCAACCGTGATATTTCAGAGGTTTTTGAACGAACAATGCCAAGAATAATTGACCTTCTGTTTTGCTAATTGGATTTCCGTAAAGCAATTAACTCTGAATTCCGAGTTCCAGTCATTGACAAAATGCAGATGAAAATACATCAGTAACAGACTTCAGTCGTGTTATGTACTTCGGCTGCCAATATACCGTTCTAAGGATACGCCATTTTGAAAGTCTAAACGTGGCATGCAACGCAACAGTACAAACAAACTTGGCGGTGTAAATAATGTATGCGGTGAACGAGTGACTCTCGCAAAGTTACGGCAGATTGAAAGCTTTATAAGTGGACGGATAGATAGCTCGAATTCCCCCGAAACATCAATCCATATTCTAGCTATAAGTCATGTCTCTTTAACAGATCCAAGAGTTCCCCAAATGAACCATCGGGGATTTCTATGAATTTGACTAATTACGATAAACCACTATACAGCATGATGTTTTTTTTCAGGAGATCTTATACAGCATGATGTTTTTTTCTGGAGATCTTATACAGCACGATTTATTTCTAGGAGATAAAAAAATCTTATTTAGGGGCACTCTGAAAAGGATGCACTGCACACTTGACAGGAAAATCGTGAACTCGCGTAGAAATAACATTGATCTTGTACGGGTCTGTAATTGCCAGATTTCCTGCTGCTTCGCTTCGCTCTTACGCATCAAAACAGTTTCATTCTAACGAAGACTTCAAGAAATTACAATGAAAACAGTAGTCAATTCCGATATTTGACCTTTATCAGACAAAAAGCAAGCAATAATCTTAGTGGAAATTGGAAATTGGACAGGAATTTTACGCTCTCTCAATCAGGCGAAAAACACTCTGTAAGATTGAGTTGTACTTTCTGGCAGGGAATTCAGACCATAATCGCTGGCCAGAAATAACCAAGGAAACACTAACGCAACTTTTGCCTTACACCTGTACAAATGACAATACACTTGGTATCAAAACAACGGGTGGAACAAGCAAGTAATTTTCATTTGACCAGTTCTGAGCAAAAACGTCATTTCTAGAAGTTCATGGGTTCCAATAACGAGAATAGAAACGGGCTAATTAGTGTTTTGTAAAAAAACAGTCAACAGAAAGGGGGTCCCAACGATCGTTCACTAAAGAATTTTGAGGACAGCATCAGTCATCGAGATCAACCAGTCGACTTACGAAATCTGCTTGATCGTTTGGATTTCGAGGTAACCATTCTACATCTATATGAATCAGATGTTGAAGAATTTATGTCGACTTAAATTGCAAATGGCCATGGCAATATTTCGCAATTCAACTTCTATGCTTCCTACTTTAATTTCAACTATTCCATCTGCTATTTGGCTGCCTGAAGTCGCTGCAGTGCTTAAAATGAACTAGCTTTTCTCTATTTCACGTTTGCATGGTTACGGTCAAGTCCGTATTAATGAATTATCTATGTCTTAAAATTACAGAGGTTACAAGGTTACACGAAGCTGGTGAGCAATTAATCCGGAATTCCGAGTTCCGGTCATTGGCCAAAAACACGATGAAAAATACATCAATGACAAACTTCAGTCGTGTTATGTACTTCGGCTGCTAATATCTACTACTGCTGCGCTGTTTATTTTGTTAATTATTCAATGCTCGGTTTCGACTTGATTAGCGACTTGATCGGAATGATTTCAGACGGATATTTATATGCTCACAGCGCAAGGCATACGCATTACGTTTCAATTCAGAGGGCCATTGGTAGCTCATCGATAGCAATCAGAAGTGACCAACTGGTGGAAGTCCTTCATACGTTCATCGACGAGTCAGAACTGCACATCATTTGACTCCTGCTGGGTGATAAGTCACTTGAACCTCGTCTAACGAAGGGTACCTCTGAGCCCTTCAACACAACAATCGGCACACTCTGTTACAAATAACAGATTTTGAATTTGAAATTTGAATGAATTTACATTTTGACGCTGAATGAACAAGTGACAAGCATACAACCTGATTTTATTCCTTTTATTCCGCTTTTAATATATCCATTCACAAAATGTTAACTATTTCACCATCAACTAACTTCAAAGGTTTTATTTCACAAACTGTAAATTTGTATAGAGTATTATTCTAAGCGACATGAAACCATGCAGAAATGCATACGTAGAAAATTCATGTACCTGTACAACAAATACATGTATCAGCATCATTCAATAGGCCTGAGACCAAATGGCGTCACGCTTTGCTTTCATTTGCGCTTTCCTTTGTGGTAGACGGTCCCTACTTCGTCTGGTGTCCCGACTCTGCTCCCATAGGAAAACGCATTTGTAAATAAAGGCATTGCGTCATTAGGTCTTAGGTCTATTGAACGCCAATAATTGTTTCATTCTAATATCCGGAATTTACACCCAGTTGTCGCCAAGAGTTTCATTATCCTCATTTTTGTACTTAGTTTTGAAATTTGCGGTTTCTGGCAATGCATTGTATTTGTTCCCTGAATTGTCAAATTTGGAGACGTAGTTGAGATGTTTCTGTGTAATTGTCGAGTTTTAGGATCTTATAATAAATGTGTTGCTCTATTGCCTCTTGGTATGAGCAGACCGCAATCAATTGCTCAACTCTCAAATTTTAGACATCGTTCTGAACCTAGCACAAAACTTTGACAGAAATGCAAAGTTATTGATTTGCATTTAGAATTTAATCAACACAAAAGATCATTTTAGGCAAAAAAAAAATATTTGTCGGTCTCTGGTCAGCTCGCGCGTCGATTTTAATCGTGCGCGTCAACCTTCTTTTTTTCTTCAAATTGTCCGTGGTAGCTACAGCAGCACCCTCTATTGCCGCACCTCCTCAAAATTTTGTACCAAGGAATGGGGAAATTGCACCACGTCAAATGATGGAGGGCATCAAGGCAAATTATGGAGGACCCCAATGAGGACACAACAAAAGCAAAATAGTACCCACCTTGTCTGTACAATCCAAGCTTGAAAAGAAAGGCCCCTCCCCCCAAAAAAAACCCCGCGTCACCGAATATTTTTTTTTGCCTTAGGCCAAAAAAAAAATATTCTGTCTCTGGTCAGACCAAAGTTCCGGAATTGACGCGGCCACGCGGCTTTTTTTTTTTTTCTGCAAGCTTGGATTGTACAGACAAGGTGGGGTACTATTTAGCTTTTTTGGTGTCCTCATATACATTGGTGTCCTCCATAATTTGCCTTGGTGCTTTCTATCATTTGCCTTGGTGCAATTTCCCATTCCTTGGTGCTCTTTGTTAAAAAAAAATTGAGGAGATGCGGAAATAGAGGGCGCTGTTGGAGCTACCGCGGAACATTTTAGAAAAAAAAAAGATCGACGCGCATGATTACAATCGATTTTTTTTTGGCCTTATCTACAGAACCTTGTTTAACTTGATAACAAACGTAATTGCACTAAGCTAGGCAGCCTTGTTCATGGCGCTACACATCTTTCCTCGTACAGGCAGCACAGAGAAGATGACGCCCAAACCAAATGCTAAGAAAAGAGTGAAACTTAAAGGACTTATTCCTCGAAGTCAGTCAGCAGAATAAGACTGAACTACAAGATCAGAATATGCAGCTTGTGGTGAAGCCGCTGCTCCGAAAATCAGAATGAAAATGGTCGACAATCAATGATTAAAATAAATTTGCTTGTCGCATCAATGGTTAATACGTTCAAGCCGCCATCTTTGAATTTTCTACGTCGTAATAATAATACAGAGTTTTCATGGTTACAATGACGTCCACAAAAATATGCCTTTTTAATTGAAATCCTATAAGTGTTCTTTTCAAGTAGGCTCGTTACTTCTGCCATCCACGGTTTCGTTAAATATAATCTGTGAAAATATGAGCTATATTCCTGGTCAAAGGGTAGGCTTATGCAAAATCGTAACCTTCAGGGGTCATAGGCCTACCTGTATTTCACTGATAAAGTTGAGTATGTGACACATGTGATTTCAGAAAAAGTGAAATTAAGCCTAAAGATGTTTTTCTCTGATTTCATCTTATTCCGTGAAGTTAAAAATTATTAAATGATGGTTATTTCTTTTAAATATTGGGCTTTAAAAATGAATAAAAGCGCCTGCAGTCATGGCGGGGATTGAATTCAAACAATGGCACATGGAACAGTGTCAAAGCCTTTAGTAGAAGTCTATTTAGTGAAATAAAAGGATAGACATTGGTTTTAAAAATCAGTGAAGGTAATGCACTGTCGCTGACTGATTGATTTTTTCATGAGCCCCCTTTGGATTTAAACCAAATTTATTCTTTTTTATTTTAAGTTGAATGAACTGCCTGTAGCAGGGTTTGAAATACAGGAGACTTGGCTCCGTGGATAACGGGTGATACTCAGACTAGGTTGGAACCTGCGACCTCTGAATTGCCGTTCAGGCGCTTTACCAACTGAGCTATCCAGCCCTATATTGGTCGTACCCCAAACCAGTTCGAGCCATAAAACCGTTTATTCAGTTAGAAATAAACTTCATAAAAAGAAGTGAAAATCTTACATATTCAAAATAGAGAAATGGCTCAGAATAAATTGCCGCTGAAAAACGAATGCAAGTACATGTAGACTGATGTACAAAGAATGAATCTTCATTATTATGGCATTCAAATTGGTAACATGAACCATCTTCCCAATCGCCTAAGTAAGATACAGTGTCATAACAATAATGACATCAGGAGATTAGATACACTTATAGGAAGTAGCGAAGTATAGGCAAAAGTAAACAAAATTCGTTCACACTTTAGCAAGGCTTTGCAGACCACGTTACAAAATTTGATGTTGTGGTGCTGAGTTGCCAACTTTCAGCAAATGGTTCTCTTATTCACTGCAATGTATCACTTGAAATGCGATTGGTGTAGAAGTGGTGAAATATACTGTTTAATGTGGGAAACACAACATGCAATAAGATACTTAAATGTTTGGGTTGCCCATCGGTTGTCCGTTGGTATGACATGGCTTATACCAAGAAGCGTTTTGATTAGTGACTTAATTCCACTTACGTTAATGATTTAAAGTCTTCTAGTAAGAAATTTACCTACGGTCCTTATAAGTTTTCATTCGCAGAATTTGTAAAACACCCAGTCTCCGTTGGTGCTAGCCCATGAAGCGATACCAATACGTACTTGAGTTGCTACTCGCTGGTGATGTGCACCGGCATCCCACTCCAAGAAAGCCTCCTCCTGTCCTCCTTTACCGACCCTGACCACGCCCCCTTTGTAGTCGATCCAGAAGGGGCGGTATTCATTGGCGTTAACCAGACCTTCCTCTTTGTGTAAAGAAACCACATCAGGGCACTCGAGATAGTAGCAAGATCTCATCACTGTGCGAGCATTCCCCGAACCTCCGCCGATATCTGGTACAAAAATATAAATATGAAAACTTTCTTGTTAGATATAATGTTTCATTGCCCTCAACCGTATCATTAACCTTTGATAGATGCCGTAGTAACATTCAGCTATCTCAACACTAAAACTAGCATTAAAATACTCTCTTAATTATTTAGGTGTGGTGCAGAGAAATTGTATTCATAATGCGGCTTTTTTTGGGGGGGGGGAGGGGGTAAAAGGGAAGCTTTTCCCGAGAAAAAAAGTAAAAAACAAATGAGATTTTTGTCCAGACACTGTAGTTTCAGACTAATCACTTACTCATCTCCGCAAAGATGGACTCACGTGTGGTGCTCTCTGCGAGGGCCAGTGCGGCATCTTTATCAGTCTTCACAGTGAAGTCCAACCGGAAAGGTATGCTGAGTGGCTTCAGGATGAACTTGAACGTGTGTGGGTTTGCAGCCACGGTAGAGAAAGAGCAAGCTGTTTTACCGAATCAAAATCAAATCATTCAATCACTTTGCTGTCCTATCTTGACTGGAAACAACATGATATAAGAGTGTATTTCAGTCGTGCGGAAGTTAAAGAGATCCTCAGCTCGCCCTCTACCAACATGCCGATTCTAGTTATCGAAAAATAAATGCTGCAAAAATAGCGTCGAATGGTAGGCCTATGCATACTACAAGCGTCAATGTGAAGAGAGCATCTTTTCAGTTCCTCAAAATACTTACACTATTGGGGGTGATATTTCGTTATTGAAATATAAAAGTCTTTTGAGATTTTCGATGTAGAATACGACAAGCTTCAGCTAAAAATGACTCCGTTCGAGTCGACCATCCTAATCACATTTATACAACGTCTCAGGAAGACAGTTCGCCCTTGTACCTAACATCACCACTATCGTTTGCTTTACGTGGAATGCATCCAAGTTCTGCAGTGCCTATTTTGCAATTTTTAAAGGTTAGTTTTACTGTTTGTTTCATTACGCTGTATCTTATTTAAAAATCACAAACAGGCAATGAAACAATTTTTAATTTAGATGCACGTCTATTCAATTTGATTCTACCTTTCATTGTGTGGGTCGGAGTCGAGGGCAAAGCTTTTAAAAGACAAAATAAATTTGGGGAAATATCACTACTTACGGTTTTTTTCATTGAATTGGTCTTTGTTCAGCCGACATTCGTTTCTGAACGCCGCGAATGTCTTGTGACGGAGCGTGGTAAGATCATCACCGGCTGCAGCCTTGGTCATGGCGCTACACATCTCTCCTCGTACAGGCAGCAAAAAGATTGCGATCTCCAACAAGATTTGAAAGAGTACCGCCAAGAGCAGACGCCAAGCTGTTCGGTGGAACATGCTTAATATGTTGTACTCAAAACGAAAATATTCTTTCAAAAATCAGCAATCAAATTTCACAAGAATGATCAGGCTTCGGTATTTTGAGAGTAAAGGCGCTGCATTTTTATTTTTTCGTTTTGTTTTATTTCCATGGTTACCGTGTATGCTTTCTGCTGACGTAACGAATGATGAATACAGAAATTCATTACCATGCACGAATGGGTCGATAATTTATGTAAGTGTCAGAGCAAAATTAAGTCCAAGCGGATTCTATGTCGTATAGTAAAATTCTTAATTGTGTTCATTGAAGCAAACCAATTAAGGCCAGCGCGAGCACGGTTATTGATTGGGGATAGACGCGAAAAGGGCACTTATTATAGGTAAAAAAGAAAGAAAGAAAGGTTTGGGGCCGGGGGGGGGGGGATTCGTTTGACTTGTTCCTCTCGCTTTCGTTACAACCGTTCCGATTTGGCATTACTGCAAATCAAGTCCGCGATTTAAAATCACGTATTAAGTAGCCCTTATTATTGAATTTTATAATGAAGTTAAATCAAATGACTTGGCTAGACTAGCCTGAACACGGTGGTTGATGTAACACAGACAGCGGCGGCGGAACGGGTTTAAAACTGGGGGGGGGGGGGGGGGGGAGGGGGGTCATTACCAAAAAGAGGCACTTGCTCAGCATTTTTTTTTGGGCACATCCATGCTCGAGGCGAGGGGACACATTTATCGCCGCAAAAGGGCCACTTGGGAAAATCTGGGGGCCAAATGCCCCCCCCCCCCCAGACCCCTGGTTCCGCCGCCCCTGAACACAGACTTCGTTTGTATATCTACTTTAAATAAGTGATATGCTGAACCATGGACATTGTGCTTGACAGAGAGGGCGCGTTTTCAGGCAGTGTCAGAATTACTTGGCTCTGGCTGGAAATTACACACGTGTCTATGGAAGCGGCTGCAGTCACTTCCCATAGACTCGTGCCCCAAATAATTTATCAAAATATGTGATGCAGATTTTAACACAATGTACCTAACTTTGCACGGTATTTTTCCCAAATGATGTTTTTTTCACAGAAATGGGACATAATGGGCGTAAATGCGCCTATTGTATATGTATAATGTAGACCGATACATTTTTGAACAGCGCCCCCTATATTCTGATAGTGTCTACGCCCCCCAACTTTTCGAACTTCCAAGCTGCTGGTCCCCTCCCCCATTTGACAGGAAGTCACCGCACCTAGCCCTGCGTGTGTGTGGGTGAGTTTGTTCTGCATTCAATTTGGGACGTTCAACAATAGAGGACAATGGGGTCCCTAATCTCCCGATCGTGTACAAAACATATGGGAGGTCTTCCTAAAAAGAGTACAAACAAAAGAGGGACAATAGGGGGTCCCCGACTGCAGAAAAATTCACATGGGTGTGTGGGTGTGTGCGTGTGAGCTTGTCTTACATACGCAGTGTGGACTTCCGAACAAAACACGTCCACATAATGTAGGTAGCACCGACGTTGTGTGGACTTGCCCACGTCCACACAGTGTTTCCCCATTTCTGGAAAACAGGTTTAGAGGCATTTTTGGGTTAGGTTTATCTGTAGCAGAATGAAGAGAAACACTAAAGGGAATCATAGAAAAAAAATTGGGTTGAAAGAGTTTTCACAGTTTGAGAAAAATGAGTTTTTCCACTGGTGTTCCTTAACTACACGAAAAGAAAGGAAAGTCCACACTACTTATGTGAAACAGGTCTGCGTGGGTAGGCATTACATTCACTGTGTGTGGACTTCCGAACAAAAGAGGTCCACATAAACCAGGTAGAGGCGGCGGTGTGTATAATCAAGGAAAGACCAATTACCTTTTGCCTGCTACTCATCTGTACACTTGTACAAATATGACTCAATACACTTGGTATCAAAACAACAGTGGAACTAGCAAGCAATTCACATTTTGCCAGTTCTGAGCAAAAACGTAATGTCCAGACGTTCTTGGGTTATAATAACGAGAATAGAAACGGGATAATTTGTTGTTGTAATTTTATTTTTAAACATTAAACGGAAAGAGGAAGGGTTCATTTGTACACTTAATATACTATGCCTGATTGTAGGATTTTATCAGCGCTCCCCATTGAAAACTACATTTCAGCACGTTTCCCTGAAAAAAAACAGGATCCACCCTGCTAGCCCCCCCCCCAAAAAAAATGGCTCTAGAACCGCTTGTGCTGCCTAGCTGTCTGTGAGAACCTTTACATTTGAAAGAGAATAAATCGACAAAAAGGAAGATAACGCCGAAAATGTAGTGTTTATTTCACGCCAAATAAAACTGGCCCCAGATTCCTCTGGTGTCCAGTTCTTATTTGCTGTTTGAACATCATTACATAATATCGCACCCGAACCTACTGCACCAGCATCACACCATAAATAATTGTATTCACTTTGCTGGACTTGATTTGGGGGTGGCGGCTCCAGGGGTCTGATCACACATCCCCACCCCCCGTTTTTAGTAAATTTATTTTATTGTTAATTTGATACCCAATACATATAAATAGACAATAGTGTAGTAATGCGTGACGAAAATTAAATGAAACTCATAGGGGTTTAGGCCAAGGATAAGGAGTATCTGCACAATCATTTTTTTTTTCAAGATTGACTTCACGGTTTTGTTGTTATTTCAAAAACAGTCCGACGAAATTGAATGAACTATTGGTCTTTCCATTGTTCTTTTCATTGTTACTACTTCCACATCCCGCATACGGATTGAAGGTTAAAATGATATTCTGTTAAATTGTAAATGCTTGAACAGAGTTGTGTTTTAGTCGTCTGTTTTAAGTCGCAGAAATATTATTTTAATTGAATAATGTGGTGAGACGGATGCTATACACGCCTATCTAATAGCTGATGTATATGGTGATTCATGGGCAGTGTTGTAGTCGTGTACTTTTTCCCCCAAGTACCGAGTACTTAGAATACCGAGTACGTGTACGAATACTTGTATTTCCGAGTACAAGTTCAGGTCTCCGAGTACAAGTACTTGTACTTCCGAGTACGAGTACTGGTACTTACGAGTACGAGTACGAGTACTTCTATTTCCGTATTTGGTCATACGGCAAATGGTTCATTGTGCGTAATTACCCAGGCCCAGTCAATCCGATATACAGACCCACTCATCACGGCTAGCTGTTAAATGTGTTTGTCCGGACGTGCACAGTGGAAAATCAGGAATGTTCGAGTTCTCCGCAAGCCAATCATTCATTGCAAACTGTACATATATCGACACATTTAATAAAACTGTATTAAGTCAAGCTATACCATTTTTTTTCGAGTACTGTTACTCGAGTACAGGTACTTGGATGATCGAGTACGAGAAACGTCATTTCGAGTACGACTACTTTGACATTCGATTACGAGGACAAGTACGATACTTTAAAAAGAGTACTCGAGTAGTACTCGAGTACGAGTACTGAGTACGAGTACTACAACACTGTCCATTGGTACGGTAAGCGACGGGTTTTATTTAATTCTTTCTAGATTATACTAGAAATACGTTTTTTGCCCACAAACCCGTCAAAATGCAGTAATTAATAGTCTAGAATGGTTTTTGATTGTTCATAATGAAAAGTTTTGGCCCCAAACGCGCAAAAGCTCTGTGTGTAGGTGCCAACGTACAGCTTTGCTCGCATGGACTGTACGTATACAGTTTTTTCCCAACTTTCAGTCGGGAGGTAAAACACTGAGTATACAGTGTTTAAAACGTCGATGAAGGGCAAAACCTAATTTGATCCCATTGAATTTATTTATAAAGATCGGCGAGATGAAATAACCTTTTGCCTGCGATAAAGAAAGGGCGTATCGCTGTTGTTGCAGGCGTTGCTATTGGATTTACTGCACAAAGAGGTAAATAGTGGCATAATGTTTTACATCTTGCATTTTCTCCAAATCTGTTGTGTCTCAATAATTGCTCATTTGCCAGCTTGTAGGGTCTACCAATAAGCTTTTGAATAACGTACAGTTTGTGTAGAACGTCTCCTGGTAAGGTACATTTTGGCTGCGATATAGACATTGCCTATGATTGTGGCTTGCAGACATTACTCTAGGATATACTGCACAAAGGCATTTTGGATTTGATTTTTTTTTATGCACTATACATTTAAACAGGGGTGAACCCTTCCGTCTGAGCATGACACGTGCATTTGTATGAGGCATTTGTATAAAACATTTTTTTCCGTAGGTGGGTTGCCCAAAATGTCATGCATAATTCAGTTTTCCTTTGAATCGTTGCAAGACACTCATGTTCTCGTTCTCTTTTTTCCCCTTAGAATAAACTTATCTCAACGATAAATTCAGAAGAAAAAAAAATAGTTGATGGCAATGAGCAGCGACAACGTGGATTAAGAACCAGGGATCTTTGTATCCGTAGCTCATCACGCATACTGTGTGGTAGATCGACAACGACCTTACTTTAAAGTGCTTTAATGTCTTATTTTTATTTATTGCTCACAAGCGTGGTATAACACCCAATCTTCGTGTGGGTAACCCCGTGAAGCCACACCAACGTGCACTTGAGTTGCTACTCGCTGATGATATGCACCGGCGTCCCACTCCAAAAAAGCCTCCTCCTGTCCTCCTTTACCGACCTTGTCCACGCCCCCTTTGTAGTCGATCCAGAAGGGGCGGTATTCATTTGCGTCAACCAGACCTGCCTCGATGTGTTCAGCAAGGATATGGGGACACGTAAGGTAATAGCAGGGTCTTACGAGAACCTTTCTATTCCAGTCACCTCCGATTCCTAGATAGAAAAGATTTCGAAAATTACCATTTGATTTTTCTTGCAACATGCAGTTTCTTGTGTAAAAAGTCTATTAGCTGTCGTACGCGTAACGCAGGTTTCTTTTTTTTTTTTTTTTTTTGGGGGGGGGGGTCATATACGATGAAAAAGTTATCGCTGAAGTATGAATACAGTGGGAACGATAATTTCGTAATACACTAACATCGACATTTTATACATTGTATTTCATAAATTGTATGTGAAAAACCACTGCACGTCTTTCAAAGTACATAGGCTACTTGTTAAGATTGAGGATCGCTTTAAGCAGCTCAAACCACAAGTTTGAATCTCACATCAGCTTATAGTTTTTGAGATTGAGAAGAGAAAGTATTTGTCATTCCGAGCTATAATACTAGCTGCGCCACTTACCAACGATAGGAAAGTGTAATTGTAGACCTCAGACTTACTTATTTCGGCAAAGAGGGACTCGTCTGTCTTGTCTTCTGCCAAGGCGATCGCCGCACCAGACTCAGTCTTCACCTCAAACTCCAGCCGGAAAGGCATTATGAGTGGATTTAGTTTAAACTTTGTTGGACCCGGGTGCACACCTCGGCCCTCTGTGGAAACTGAGCAAGCTGCTGTACGGGGAGTCACCCAAAAGATAAGGGGATAATATGAACAAAATACTACCTTAATGACCATTGTTATTATTTTCTCGTAACTTACGGACAATGAGCCACCTCTGATCATGCATCACTGAGTTTAATTGTTTGAAAAAATGGTATGTAAAAACCTTCGTGGGACATCATGGGGAAAATATTGTGAACTCAACTCGACATAAAAAGAGGTTCAAAGTAACATTGAACTTTATGAAAACATGAACCCATTACTGCAAAAAACAACACCATTACTGTCCGTAGTTATTCTTAATAATTAATCCAAGTTCAAGGAAGTATCCTGAATTGCAAATGGGAGATGATAATTGACCATAAGTCAACTGACTTGTCAGAGGGCTAACTTTCTGGATCATAATAGTGGACCCGCCAAAGTGGGATATTGCATGATGTCATTTGTTGGTAATGGCAGGCAACCACGTTAGATCAATCATTCGTAGGATGGGGAAGAAAATGTAAGTGGATGCAACCCTTAATTTTGACCCTTAAGGTCATTTTCAAGGTCCAAGGTCAAATAAAGTCAAAACGGGTATTTCTTTTCGTTTTGGAAGAATTTACATCACTTATTGTATAATTTGTAATAAACCTTTAATTTATTGTAATTAATTACAATAAAAAATAAATTTGGTATTGTATGACCACAACTTTTGGTTGAATTTAACAGAAATTCTAATCCAAACAATTGGGTAAAGATCAACCGAATTTTGGGTAGTGGCAGTTTTCACCCTTGCTTGGATAAAATTAACCCAGGCAATTTTTCAGTGTGCCTCTGCTGTTGCCTTGTGTTACTTTTTTAATTTATCTGCTCCGGAACTGAAGATAAAGTTGCTGGCTTTGTGCCATGTGATTACGGGTGCATAAAGGTCTTCCTCCAAACGGATCTCAAGCCTAAGTAGCACATCTGCATATTTAGTATCACCAATTTTTGTTTTTTGTTTTTGCTGAACAACGGTCCGAGCCCTGGCCTTTCCATCCGCTAAAGCCATGTGAAGTTAACTATCACTATATTGACAGAAGTCGTCTTTCTATTGCCTCTTGCACTTGATTCTTCAAAAACAACAACTGCTGTTCAATCCACAGGAACACCAATTAGGCCATTCAATTTTAAATCACCAGTGTCAACTAATTGAATCAAATAATTGTTTTCAAGTCCAGATTTTACCTCATTTGACCTTTGTGACCTTGAAAATAACCTTGAATCTAAATTGACGATGGTATCCACCACCCATATCGTGTTTGTTATGGCTCAAATAATTTATCTAGCATGGGTGCCTGCTATTTCCAAAAAATGCCACGATTTAGTTTTCTAGATAATTCTTCCACATGTATACCTCAACAAGTTCTGACCCTTACAAGGTAAGGGCAATGACATTAAAAAGTGGGGGTCTTCGCGCGCAAAAAACGATTCAGACAATTTTACTTTTCTTTTTCGAATTTGGACAGCTCACCAAAGTGCTACATCACGAGAATAAAATCCTTTCGAAATGCTGCCTCTTTTGCGGTTGGGACCATATTTCATAAAAGTGGGGGTTGGCAAATAGTGTTAACAGAAAATCTAACCGTAACTTGGTGCGGTTTTCCCTCATTCAGTTATGTGATCGGGAAAGATAGAATGTTCGCATTTCAAATCAAAAACTTTTTGCCCCCCTTTAAGGGCGTGTCCCAATTTTTTTCATAAAGGGGGCGCATCTTGCATATGAACCCCCCCAAACAAATTTAACCCGAATTTATCTAAGACATGAATTTAACAAAACCTTAAAGCTAAGAATTGTTTCTATGAAATTTTTGCTGGTATGTCACGTTTGTAGGCGTAAAACTAAAATTTCAAAAAGTATAGGAAAAGAGTGATTTCACATAAAAATGCCGGTAATTTATGTAGGTTTTTTTTTTGGGGGGGGGAGGGCTTGAATCAGCAATTTACATCTCTAAATGTATTTCAAATTGCCATAATAGTTTGACAATAAAATCGACATTCAAATTTGAATTTCACAGTAAATTTACTTTAAATTTTCTGTTCTTCTTTTGTATCCACTCTTAATTGTTGTTGTTGTTGTTTTCATCTACCCCAAAGTTTCCCTTTTATGTTCCGGATTCGCTTCAAAGAGTAGACGATCCAGCTGTGTTTTCCAATTTTAGTGAAACAAAATTGATTTTAAGGGCAAAATTGTAATTTTTTACCTTTCCTATTTTTTTTTAAAGACACTGTACTTTTTCTTGCATAAAAGGAAAATACAATTGAAAATTGTGCCTTTTAATGTACTGCTTAGACTAGCAAGGCTAAATTCAGAAAGACAATTAACATGAGTTTAGATTAATATTGTAAATTTTAACTTAAGGCTCACAAACAATATCTGGAAAATATGAAGCCCGGAAAGGGACAGGGTGGAATTTTTTTTGGAATTTCCTAATTTGTTCGCACGAATTCCTAATTCGTTCGCACGAATTCCTAATTCGTTCGCACGAATTCCTAATTCGTTCGCACGAATTCCTATTTCGTTCGCACGAATTCCTAATTCGTTCGCACGAATTCCTATTTCGTTCGCACGAATTCCTATTTCGTTCGCACGAATTCCTAATTCGTTCGCACGAATTAGTAATTCGTTCGCACGAATTAGTAATTCGTTCGAACGAATTACTAATTCGTGCGAACGAATTAGGCCTAGTAATTCGTTCCCACGAATTAGTAATTCGTGCGAACGAAATAGGAATTCGTGCGAACGAAATAGGAATTCGTGCGAACGAATTAAGAAATTCCAAAAAAAATTCCCACCCTGTCCCTTCCCGGGCTTCATACTATTAGGATTTACTCTGGCCCTGGCAGAGTGAAGAATAGGAAACTGATCAATGGTTATGCACGTATACTGATGATCTACTTTAAACTTAACTGGGCCAAGTTGGACTGTTGCATGACTAGTAAAATAATGGTATAGCCCAAAATTTAGAATCAGGTCAAATGCTATAGTGAGCAATTTGTACAAAAACATTCTGTTAAACTAAATTGAGGTATGGGGGTACAAACATACACAAAACATATAAATAAAACAATAATTAAGTCTATTTTTGCTACAATACCGTGTGTGATTTCTTTTTCATTGCGGACCATGTGGACAAAATTGTGGGAAGCTAATCACTGCCGCATCCAAATTGCACGTGCATTATGTACGCATGTGTCATGCGAAGTCGGAAGTATATAAACATTAATCAAGTCCAAAAGAAATGTTTTTTCCCTTCAAATTCAAATAGATGGTTCTACTATATAGAAGAGACTGAATTTATTGATCCTTTTTTTTCTGTTCTGACATTTATTCACAACTTAACTGATGGGCAATGAAATAGTTGTCTGCCCGATATCAAGCATTCTACGTTTAATTTGTAACTCAACAAAACGAATTTCTAATTTCAATTTATATTTGCAAAGTGGTCTCGGTGACTCGCCTGACTGGACGAATGTTCTTTTTTGCAACAGGCAAACAATACCCTGGTTAGGCGACTGATTGAGAGATGTTCAAGTTGGTGTGTGTATTGTTTTCTTTGTTATAAAATTGTGTAGTACGGTTTTCTTACACACAACACTTTAATGGCTGAATAAATTATGTAAAAGCAAACCGGGTAGTTAATGATGGCTTGTCTTTTTTAATTTAAAATTGCCCCAGCTCTGACTCAACTTTTTCATAGATATACAATTTTGGTTGTGTACTATATGAACCTAGCAACCAGTTGTGTTAAAAAATGAACAACAGTTTACACAAGGGTTGCTGGGTTCATATAGTACACAACCGTTTGATTTTTACACAACCGAAATAACAGTGTAAAAATAAGGTTAAATGCCCCCCCCCGCCCGGCTCTGATTCCCCCCAAAATATGGCATTTATACTGAAAATAACATCCGCCAGTGCACAAAATTCGGTCAGTCAAATTCGGAGCAAGCTGGGTTACGAGGGTATTTCTACACTATTCTGTAATAGTGTTGATTTCAACAGCGCCCCCATTAAAAGTATTGTACGAGCCAAGTGCCCGCAGAAACAAATAAACTGTCTACATTTCAGCATTGATTTACTGATGACCCCACACACACACCCACACACACAAGTTTACGTTACATACCAAGTGTGGACTTTCCATTGCTTTCGTGTAGTTAAGAAAAACCAGTGAAAAAACTCATTTTTCTCAAACTGTGAAAACTCTTTCAACCCAATTTTTTTTCTATGATTCCCTTTAGTGTATCTCTTTATTCTGCTATTAATATCGGTCCAGTTCTATATATACGGCCTTTTTAATATCTGTAGTCAGCGTTCGTAAAGTCAACAGAAAGCGAGTCATATCACCATGGAAACAGAACAAAACGCCGCTGACAGCAATAAATCTTACACCCGTTCCCCAAAACCATCGGAGATTGTTTTGTTAATTTGCTTGTGTGAGAGGGATGGTAATATGTTTGACAGACATAACTGTTTCTTGTCAGTGAGCAATAGTTATGTTCCACCGAGCGGTTTCGCGTATTATTGTGTCTGCACTCTTTCACATCTCGTTGGAGATCGCAATCTTTTTGCTGCCTGTACGAGGAGAGATGTGTAGCGCCATGATCAAGGCTGCAGCCGGTGATGATCTTACCACGCTCCGTGACAAGACATTCGCGGCGTTCAGAAATAAATGTCGGCTGAACAAAGATCAACTCGATGAGAGTTATTGTAAGTGGTAATCTGTTCTTGCAAACTTATCTTGTCTTAATCAGTTGGTTTTTTTTAGAATCTCTCTGTGTTTTTTTGGTTTGAAGCTACAAAATTGCTGATTAGCTTAACCCTAAAGGGGCCGGGGGGGCGGAATCCGCCCCCCCTCAACATTTTCCGCGATAGCTTCTAAAAAAAATTTTTTTGCGACCTGAGCTGTTAT